TATTTCATCATCATCATCATCTATATATTACGATTTCGATCTATCTTCTACACTGCTCTCTTGAGAGTAGATGCCTCTCTACGAGTTCTTTAAAAACCATCTCAGCACCCACCCGCGCGCCTCCGGTAGCTCCACGTAGTTACCTCTCAATTTACGGCCACATGCCAAGAACCGCATTCATTTGAGTCACTAAAATTGTCAGCTTCCAGTGCACAAGAAGTATCGATAGGCGGAGATTATAACTCATTGTAACACTTTTGACTACATATTATGATTTCTGCTACTACTGGAAGAAGAATATTTCTGCAGCAAATTCTTCCTAAGCTCAATGATGAAATGAGAAAAATCTTGCTATCACGCTTCTCATAAAATTAAAACTAATGTGGTTTTGAAGTAATTTGTTTCCAATCAGGCTGTAGTATTTTTTAATGTTTTGCCTGTGTTTAGATAAACAGTAAAACTCCAAACGAGAACATCGTTGAATGCACCAAGTCACGCAGTTTTACAACGAATGCATGAATTGTATACAAAAATCAGACTGCACTTAACTAAATAGCAAGCATAATAAAATTATCATGTCTCAAACTCAATTTTACATCAATAACAATTTGTAGCCTACAGAATAACTTTAAAGTATGCTCTTACACGCCTGAATTCATAAGTCAGAATGCTTCTAGCTTCTGAAATCCCATCACGCCACTTTCTTTTGCAAAGCTGAAGCGTATCTTTGATCACATGGATCCTCGACAATTGGTACAGTGAGGCTCTTTAGAATCAGTCATTCAAATAAAATAGTTTAATCAAACAATTAACGAGTACATCACAGAAATCTGAAACTATCCAACAATGCTATTTTTATTCTCATCTTTTCTCATTCGGTGCTCTTAGCGGACGTCAGTCTCCGAAGCCGAAATGTCTCATGTATTAAAATGAATATTAAAGCCGAGTTCGACATTCAAGAATGTACTTAAAATAAATTGTCATGTTTCTCTAAACAGTCTAGACTGCGCTGTCGATCAACATGAATTACAACCACCAGCAACTCCGAAATGTGATAATGAGAACGAATCCACGTATCATTATATAATACTTCAATTTTTACGCCATTTAGATCAATTTCCTTCATATCTGAGATTTATCGGATTCTTTTTATCGGAACTCTTTTAGTCTTTCGCAATATGTAAGCGAGCTGTATCGTAGTTTCGTCTTGGTATATTTAAAACATATTTGTCTTTGCCTTGGCTACATCTAATGAATTGCTTGGCTCTTGCTTGGCTCAACAGATTGCTTGCGTGAGGCAGGTTTCATTTTGCGGCGAACAAAGCGTATAATGAAGGAGCGTGAAAATGGTCGGCATCCACGGGATATTTTAGCTACCGCTGGTATCCGTACATATGCTCAGGTGTCCTTCCATACATATCGGTTCCGCTGCTAAGCGAGCACTGATCTTGATCACTTCTTGATTAGATTTTGAGCTAATTTGAAAGCGATCTTTCTTTAACCACAACCACAACCATCTTCATGCGTTTCGAAGCTCTTTCAACCCTTACCGCCGCAGCTCTTGCAGCAGCAGCACCTGCAACAGCACCAGTCGAAGCTCGTCAAGAAAAAACTGACGTACCAAATGTTACCGTGATTGGAACTGGTGGCACTATTGCAGGTGTTGGATCTGAATTCGACACCACTGGCTACGAAGCTGGCGTTATTCCAATCAAAACCGTTATGGATAGGATCCCTGATCTAGACACTCGTGCGAATGTGTCCGCTATCCAATACAGCAACAAAGCCTCTGAGGCATTTGTTTCTAGCGATATGGTTGACATTGCTAAGCTTACCAACGATCTCCTTTGCGCACCTGATTCAGATCAAGCTGGTGTTGTGATCACTGAGGGTACCGATACCGTCGAAGAGACAGCATTCCTTCTCGATTCTCTGATTAACTGCAACAAGCCAGTTATCGTTACAGCTTCAATGAGACCAGGTACTGCTGTTAGCTCAGACGGTCAAGGTAACTTATTAGAAGCCATCACTTTAGCTGGTTCTGAAAAGGCCAAGGGCAGAGGCGCGATGGTTGTTTTGAACGACAGAATTCAATCAGCATTCTACACTAGCAAGATGAACGCGTGAGTCTTAATATTTAGAATAGTTGATATTCGCTGAGAAAGTTACAAAGCAACAACATGGACGCTTTCGATGAGAAGAACGCAGAAATTGGTGGATTCCTCAACTACGAGCCATACTTCTACTACACTCAAGCACAGCCAACGTTCAAGAAGACTTTCAACCTTGATGAGACACTTAAGAACAACGCCACCTCGCTTCCAAAGGTTGACATGATTTATGGTTCACAAGATTTTGATTCAGGTCTCATCACCGCTGCAGCATCATTAGGCTCAGAGGGAATAGTAATTCAAGGAGTGGGTGAAGGATCAATCCCATCATTCGCAGTAGACGCAATCAACGAGGTGGTTGATCAAGGAATACCAGTCGTCGTTTCTGCTAAGCCAATTTACGGAGCATCTGTACCAATGGAAGACGCATCTTCAGCATCATACATCAAGTCAGGATACGTGAAAGCAGCACAAGCAAAGGTATACTTGGAACTCGCATTAGCCAACGGATATAATATGGATCAAATTAGAGAGTTGTTTGAGGGCGATTTACGCTCAGCAATCTTCCACCAATAAATTTTATAGATATGAGCAATAGAGGGATTCAATTGCCTGTAAAATTCCAAGATATTTTAATATTGAGTGATTTTTGTGATTTTTTTGTCTTAATAATTACCATCATGAGCTTGGTTACAGATACAGAGTGAGTTTTGGTGAAAATTTAGAGACTGGTTCAATTAACAATAACAGCTATCATATGCAACTACTACGGTTATCATTTTTACGTCACGTTTCATCTACGCCACTTAAATTAGCAAAATCGACGAGAAATCCTTACGTAAACGCAGCTGGACTGACAGATATTGAAAAATGGCCTGAGATTGAAAATACTCCAAACTCCCCAACTTTTAATTATTCTTCTACACCAAATCAATCTTCGAAATCTTCTGCTGATCTTCTTAAAGCGGATGATTTACCACAAACCAGAGGTTCTAGCTTGAAATATACGCAGACTATCGTTGGTCCTGGTCGCTCATTGGCTTTGAGTATGCGTACGAACGCTAGAAAGTCACAGGATGTGAACAACGTCAATAGAAGGCGACGTATACCAGTTAATGATCAACGTGATCAACTTCAACAGACTCTTAACCCTCAAAAGAGTGACGTAGATTCTAGTCATGATGAACCCCCTTCTGTCGTTGTCCATAGAGAGGAAAATGACTCTGATACAGATAACATACACACAATACAATCTGATGAGGATGACGACGATTACGTCGTTGACTACGATTCTCAATTGATGAGGAATGCTACTTCACCTTCTTCTGCTTCATTTCAGGTCAATTCTCAAATTAACTCTCAACTACCCAATTCAATCAATCAAACTTTATCTATTAATGACAATATACCGCCAGTAAACGTTAGAAATACCCACTCTGCTTTAGAGACTAGGCCAAGAGGCGCGAGCACTTCGACTGCTGATGCAGACGACGAGGATGATTTTAGACAGCAACAAATGCCACGTATAACTCCCAAGATACCCGATGAACATACTGGCAAGGTCTACACAACAAGTCCACCATTACCAGTCGCAGCACCTCCTCACAGTCCTCTCGCTCTTGCTGTTTACAACAATACCACCAGACTACTTGACTCAAAGAGACCGATTACAATGACTAGAGGTAATAGCTTAAGTGCAGTTGAAGAGATCAACCAGGAAACCCAGCTTGCACCAGCTGCTACAAATGACCCCAGCCAAAGTCCACAGAGCGCTGTCGTAAACAGGTTCAGATCAGCTTCAGTGTCCACTAGCGCCGCTCGCGATATTGACGACAGAAAGGTAGATCCAAAGATAGTTCAAAAGATGGACAAAGAGAAGGAGAAAGATCTGAACAAGGACAATCTTCTCAAAAAACGTCCGCATCTACCACCTCAGCAAGGCACCTCAGCGCTCACCAAGCTCATACAGACCAAGTCTGAGGCTCAAAAAGCATCGCAGATTGGTAAATCGACCTCGGAAAACCCATTCAGGAGGCTATATGCTGCGATGGACGCGAGCGAGATTGGTTCATCTGTCAATCTCAGCTTGTACTTTCCTCACTCATCAAGACCTAAAGAGCCCCTACGTATGCAAATACGCAAGGATGCCACATGTGAAGAGGTCATTGGTTTTGGTTTGTACCTGTTTGTCGAGCAGAGGGAGAAGGATATCAAGGGCATGTTGGGTAGCTCTACCGATAATGTCAGGTGGTCCCCTGAAGGATGGAATCTGAGAATTGTTGAGGAAGATGGCGAGGTCGATGAGGACTTCCCTGGTTTGTGATTGTCTTTGTGTGAAATTCACTTTCTGATCGCTCTCAGCCCTCGATAGATTTAGGCCGGTGTCCAAATTCTCTTTCGATGAACTTGCTATTTGCGAAGCTACAGTGCCACAAGGTGGGCCCTTTAATGAATTTGTGATTTATCTGACACACTATCAAAGTACGCTCGAATCAGCTTGCGGTATCGAAAGTCCAACGTCGCCAATCACGCATAACGGTTGATCCATTCACAAGCACCGCAAATAGCAACAGCATAAATAACAACAGTACTAACAACAACAGCAATAACACTAAGACCTCAAACGGCAACCCAATGCTGGCACCGGGCAATGTCAACACTACCTCGTCAACATCACTCGAGGGTGCGATCGAACACAGCAACCAGGTTGCTACTCCTACATTGTCTAGAAGTGCAACTGCTGGTGTTAGTAGCTCGCTCGCCCCTAGCGTATACCTGCGAATAGAGGTACATCCAACAGCTGATGTAAGCTACACGACCACTGTTAGTGTTCCGAGCGATATGTACCTGCAGGACGTTCTAGAAATGGTGAGTCACTGTGTGTCGATGCTTACGCTTTCTTAACTTGTGTAGGTGTGTACCAAGAAGAATCTCAAGAATCCAAATAGCTGGGCATTGCTGGTCAAGTCTGCAGCACTAGTTATACCGTTAGATAGAACAGTTGCTTCACTAGAGGGTGTCTCCTCACTGATGCTGATCAAGCGCTCACACATTGATGCTGATTTGCGTCTGGACAGACGTATGGAAATGGCGAGGAGTACAAACCCCAACGCGTCGATATTCAAGCGCCTGAGCAAGGATCATAAAAGTAATATCGGGTCGCGCCAGGGCACAAGTCCATCTCTCGATTACACATCAGCTTATCGGAAGTATACTGTTAATAGGCGTATATTGGGATTGGTCGGTAAACATGAGCGTACACTCGCTATCGATGGTGACTGGATACATCTCATGCCTCATGAACAGAAGGCCGCGCTGATCGATTCAAGTACAAAGACACGCTCGTATCACGCAGCTAACATTAAAGCATGCAAGCAAGTCAAGAAGGGCGAGCATCACTTTAAGTTGGATTTCTGGCGTGGTGGAAATCACGTCAAGCGGTATGAATTCGAAGCTGAGAGCGTTAGAGAGGCAAATGAGATTATCACTCAAGTAAAGAATCTTATGGCGCTGTTTAAAAGCGAACGTAACCAACTTGCGAGAATAGCGTCCAAGAATGAGTATACGAATTACGACTAGAAAGTTGTCTAATTCAAGATATTTGTACAAGATGCATAGTTAAATTAAAGATTAGCTTTTGTGTACCGGCTGAAGTAGATTCTTAAAGGAAGAGTGGAGTAAACTTCCGCTCAAAGCTTAGTCCATATCCATAGTCATCTTTTGTCCGGAACCACCTGCAGAAGCAAGATTTGAAGACTTGTTCTTTGGTACTTTGACTTTTTGCTTTGCTGTTTGAGCAGATGCGGCTGCTTTGGTGCTTGCTTTGATACCAGGGAGAAGATTAATAGATTTAGATACTTCCTTCTTGTCTGCCAGCTTGCGCCTTTGCGAGTTGGCTGCCATTCTGTTTTTCCAAAATGCAACTTCACGACGCTTGCGAATCTCTCCAACTCTCTTCATTGCCTTAAGCGTGGTTGCGACCAATGTTCTGTTGTATCTGACTGGAACGTGTCTACGCTTCTCAAATTCGAGTGTAGAGTCCTGCGGTGAGTGATTAGACGGTGAGTCGTAGCCATAGATCGACACCCACAATCGTCATCTCTTTGCCAGCAGCCTTACGGAACGCCTTGGTCCATCTGAGCTTACGTGGGTTACGCTTCATCTTGAAGTTCTTATGGCATCTGCTCGCTCGTTAGTGGTGGGCTGGTGAGGTAGAAAAATGAACTTACTTTGATGAACAGAATCTAAAGTATTTGCTGTCGTTGCGCACGAATGCAGTTCCTGTCGCTATGGTTAGAGCCTTCTTCTTTCCGTCGTCAAAACTCACCATGACCTGGGTATACGTTTCCAGAACAGAAGTAACAATGATCAATACGCTAGCTGGTGTTAGCTGTCGTCCTGAACCCGCTCCACTATACTCACCATCCTGGCGGCACTCGATAACAGGAGATCGAACCTCCATCAGCAAATTTCTTAAGAATATTTAATTCTGATTTCTAAAGATTTAGATTTTTCCCATATAACAGCAGCTCTTGCTATTCTACTTTTATATGAATTGGACGGATCAAAGTGGGTTTGAGGTAATTTTAAATTATTATTATTGGCAGATATTGTTTTGGCATTAATAAGTGATTTTCAGAGAAGTCGTAGTATAACGGTTCTTCAATTCGAATGATTACTTGTTATGATGAGGTCCCAGGTTCGATCCCTGGTATCTGCAAACCAGCAGATATAGCTCAGTGGTAGTAGCGCATCACTAGTAAAGTGTCATTTGTTTTTGTCCTTTTTTCCAGAGCGATATAAGGAATTAACTCTGGTAGAAGTTAACCTGATGCAGGCTAATTTTTGTAGCTGGAGAGGAAGCGAATGAAATTCGTATAAGAATAAAACAATCGAGTTTATTCAGTTATGTTTCCACACTAATGTTCTTTATGATTGCCTCTGCTTTTCCGACAAGACAATGACTACGCTCATATCTTTCGAATTAAATTCAGATGAGCTTTATTGAGTTTTTGAGTGTCTTAAGATATGTCATATTGAAAAATGAAACACAAAACCACTCAATATGACAGCATGAAGCCTGCCCAAAGCACTACCCAACAAACGCGACGAAAGGATATGAAATGATATATGAATGGTTACAATTCATCTCTCCACACGGCATGCGTGTCGTGGTGGTTTGCGCCACGGAGTCTGATAGTACCGTCATCGAGGACTTCGGTGACGATTGGGCTAGCCGCTGGTCTGTATTTGTATTCTTTTGAGTATCTGTAGTGGAGTGTATGAGTGTGGTGTTGTGGGTGCAGGAAACATGCTTACCTGTCCGCATGCGTGACTCGCGGTCTCGTATCGCTCATACGAGCTTGGAGCACTTTGAACAAGACAAATCCTAGTATGAGAGAGAGAATGGCGGTGATAATGTTCTTGCGCCACAACGCGTTCCGCCTTCTTCTTGCGTGGGTATTGTAGTGGCTAGGCATTTGGTGGTAGTCAAGACGGAAAGAGACAGTGCACAGAAGACACCAAGAAGACATAAATACATCACATACACGCAAAAAGGTAAGAATATAAAAGCATACATTATATTACAGACAGTCTTCATGTCGGTCTAGGATGCGTCGTCATCAAGACCGTGCTAAGTGCTGTGTGCTACTTGAACTTTACTTGCTACAAGTGCAAGATTGGCCACCTGGAGTTTGTGAGTTAGGCGGTAAGCTTGCGCTGCTATTTCAGCTCCTTACATTGGCATTGATCACCACCTGTAACAAGTGTTAGTGCTTATCTCCATTTCAAAATTAATCCTCACAGCTACATGAGCAACCGTTGTTTACGAGAACTTGAGTGTATTGCATTGCTGAGGGTTTGTCGTTAGTCTGCTGCATCGATGAATACTACAATTCTCACTTTAATTTGTTTGATGAATGTTTGGTAGAGAGAATTGTAAAATATGATTGGATCTCTTATAAGGCTGTCAGCTTCCCCTGCATAAGTGACCTCATAATCTAAATGCCATCAGTATTTGAGCTTTGGCTGCTATGTACTAATTAGTACTCCAACTGCTTCACTTTAAAGCGTGTTGCCACATGAAAATATCCTATCTGATGCAATCTAGCTCCTACGGATGAGGTCAGACGAGCACACCTCACGCGACACTCCGAAGCTTAATAAATAAGGCAATGCATTGCTTGGTAGATGCCTGGTCCAATCATTGTAATCACTCTTCCAAAGTGTGCACTTTGGCTGTATCCCAGTAGTTTGCAAGCGACTCGCCCAGAAACTCCTTTGCCTCCCTGTCACTCTGCATTTCCTTAGTCAAAAAGCGGTTGAACAGTCTATCGCGCGCTGGTCCCTCCCAAATAAGGCGACAGTAGTTATCAGCCAGCGATTGCTGCTGTTGAATCTCCCCTTGGTCGTCCTGGTTATCGGTACCGCCTCTGGGCTCTTCCGTCCAGTCGATGCGCACTGTCATCAATCTTTTGTACGCTCTTACGCTCTTCTCTCCTCCTTCAATGTATATAAAGTGAAACTTGTCATTTTGCAACCAGCATCCCGACAGGCCATGTTGCTGAGCATTTTTGCGTACCTTAAATTGATGCGATGGGTTATTCATATATCTCACCTTAAAGACTGCTGCACGTGTACCCCTCGTTTTCTCATTTTCCGCTCTCTTACTGTCGTCTTTCTCGTGCCTCTCCTCTCTCGTCAACTTATTCTCCTCATTTGCACGCTCATGCTCAGCCTTGCGCTTGTGCATATCTTTGCGCACTTTAGCCTCTACCTTTGTAGGATCCTGGATGGCGTCACTTGCCAAGACGCGCATGAGATTTGATAGTTTGACTATAGTGGTAAAATTAGCAGTGCTTCAGCAAAAAATCAGTAACTCACCCTTCGGAGGGTCTGGAGGAAGCAGTCCCATCTTAATTCTATCTCTCTTATCACTCAACTCCCCTTGTCGTCTCTGTTTGCGCATCTTCTTCATTTCCTTCTTTGTCAACTTCATATCGAGAGCGGCGAACTTGGATCTGTCGTGAGGAGCAGGTATAGGAATAGGATGCTGAACGTAAAGAGTGATGAGACTGTCATCTGAGTGAATTTTTGAGTCATTGTGGACATCATCAGGATATGATTCAGGGTTGTTTAACAATGGTTGATCCCACCACTCAACAGCAGGCGGAGGTGGTCTCTGAAGTGCATCGTTAGAAAAAATAAGCATATGAAAGCATGCTCACCTTCAAAGCACGCTCAGATGCAGCTTCAGATTCACCAGTGATACCAGCTTTCCTGGCATTCTCATCAATTTTACGCTTTAATTCTTCTAGTTTGGCCTGTAGATGATTGTGAGAAGAGACCATGTGATTTCGACTGGACTGACTTCATTGCGTACCGCATCAGCTTGAGCTATATACTTTCCAGGCCTAGAGAAGACCATTTGACGTTTGCGTTTAGCAGGAACTTCGTTAGCATCTCCTGCTTGAAGGTAAGGGTTAGCTGAAGCGGCTGGAGCTGCGCCTTTATTTGCCTGTGCAATGTTAGCACCGCTCATATCACGTCGATGACGCACCTTTACAGACGTGAATTTGGGCGCAGCAGGTTTAGTCGACGCTGGGGACGCTGGTGAGGAGGCGTTGGCCAATAGAGGATGGCTTGTAGTGCCTAAACCACTTCCGGGTGCTTTGGTATCGGTGCGATTGGCTTCAAGATGAGGATTTATGCGCGATTGAGTGCGCTGCTTCATTTCATGCGTCTTGCGTGCAATTTCTGCTCTGCTCTTTGCGATGGAAGTGCTGAGATCTGGTGTTTGAGGCGGAGCAGACGGAGCGGAAGGAGCTTTTGATTGGTTTGGCTGTGACCAACTCGCTGTGAGCTTTGCCACTCTTGCCTTAGCTTCCGCTAGTTTGTCCTGTACTGATTGTGGTTGTGATAAGCTTGCCGGAATACTTGATTCGCTGCTGTCGTTGCTGCCGCATATGTTACAGATGGCTCCACAGAGGACACGAACTCACCTGCGTAAGCGCTTAGAGGAACCTTCCTCCGTCCCCTGCGTCCCATCAAGTGCTCTCTTGCTCGACGACATCAACGTCCAAGTTTAAGAGATGAGCGCGCCAATCCACGGCAATTATAAAAGTGCCAGCCATTCATTGTAGCATATTCACCTGCTTACAAAATATAAATTAGATTACTACTCGAAGAGACAGAGCAACGTGAACGGTATTGATAGCAGATTGGATGCTCTGGGCGAAGATTTCTGCCATTCGCTGCGAGGAAAGAGGATACTTGATATTGGTTGCAACGAAGGAAAGATTGCGATTGAAATTGGTGTGTTTGGCGTGGTGACGCTGCGAACATAGCCAACAAGCTAACACCACACGATAAGCCCAAAGATATTCCCCTGAAGTCATACACGGAATCGATATCGACGCGTCTTTGATCAACAAAGCAGTAAAACAACTCAAACTGATTTGGTCGACGACTAAGCCTGTGGAGGAGGAAAAGGGAAAGCGGAAGCGCGTAGATGAGCCAGCGACCGTCCAGCCTAACTACTTCCCAGTATCAATGTAGGTGAAGTCACGTGTGCATCACACTACCTAAACCAAATACAAACAGGCCAAGCATCTTTGGCTTTGTGCCTTTTCCAGAATCAATGAAAGGTTTCCCGCGTAATGTTGAGTTCAAACATGCAGATGTTACGCGAATGGAGGTTGAGGATGGGTCATATAACGTCATTCTCGCACTATCGCTCACAAAGTGGATACACTTGAACGGGGGTGATGAGCAGCTCTTGGAATTTTTCAATAACGCGCATAAAATGTTGAGCGATGGAGGAGTACTCGTGCTAGAAGCTCAACTTTTCAAGTCGTATCAGAACGCAGTGAGCGACATGCGTGTGGGTTGATAATGAAATGAAAAGAGTCATATCTCACAAGCCATTAGCAACTCAAGGAAACTTTTGATAGACTTGAAATAGACCCTTCTCAGTTCGAGAAAATTTTGATCAAGCAGATAGGATTTAAAAAGGTGCGACATTGCACGGGAATTCGGGGTGAGTATGAGTTTGTATTTGTAGGGGTTAAGCTGACATGCGTTGAGACCGCGGAGTATCAATCTACACAAAGTAGCCTTCTTCTCAGTATTTTGGCTGATCGAAAGGATATACCAAATGGAAATAGAAAGTGGTATTGTAGAATAGAAGATTCAAATACAGCGCATAATACTTACACATCTGGCCTTTAAATTGGCTCAAAATCACAAATTTTAGTTTTCGCCTGTGACGCCTCATAAAAAAATTATCAGCGAATCACCTTCTTCAACGACTTACAAGAGCTCAACTTCAAGAAATGTCAGCTGCTCGTCCAACCGTCAATGTCCACGGTGGTGAAGCCTCTTCATCATCAGTACCACTTCCAGCTGTTTTGACTGCACCAATCCGTTTGGATGTTGTCGCCGCTGTTCACAAGTCAATTGCTAAGAACAAGCGTCAACCATACGCAGTCAGCCCACAAGCTGGTCACCAAACCTCTGCTGAGTCTTGGGGTACTGGTCGTGCTGTTGCCCGTATTCCACGTGTTGGTGGTGGTGGTACTCACCGTTCTGGTCAAGCCGCCTTCGGTAACATGTGTCGTAGCGGTCGCATGTTCGCTCCAACTCGTGTTTGGAGAAAGTGGCACGTCAAGGTAAACCAAAACCAACGCCGTTTCGCTGTTGTTTCCGCTTTGGCCGGATCTTCACTTCCTTCATTGGTTTTGGCACGTGGACACAGAGTTGACCAGCTTGAAGAAGTTCCATTGGTTGTTCCATCTTCAGTCGAGTCTATCCAGAAGACCAAGCAAGCTATTGACTTGCTCAAGTCTGTTGATGCTTACGACGATGTTGTCAAGGTTTCCAACTCACGTGGTAAGCGTGCCGGTAAGGGTAAATACCGTAACCGTCGCTACCGTCAACGTAGAGGTCCTCTTGTCGTCTACGATGAAGACAAGGGTCTTAGCAAGGCTTTCCGTAACCTTCCAGGTGTTGAACTTTGCAACGTTCGTCGTCTTAACCTTCTTCAATTGGCTCCTGGTGGTCACATTGGTAGATTCATCATCTGGACTGAGGGTGCTTTCAAATTGTTGGATGAAATCTTCGGTACCTTCGACAAGCCATCTTCTCAAAAGCTTGGCTACACCCTCCCACACGCTAAGATTGCTAATGCTGACATTACTCGTGTTATCAACTCTGATGAAATCCAATCAGTCCTTAGACCAAAGGGACCAAAGGAGGCTAAGCGTCCATTCACCCAAAAGAAGAACCCTCTCCGTAACAAGAACGTTCTTTACAGACTTAACCCATACGCTCAATCATTGCGTCGTCAAGAAATTCTCAAGTCTGAGAAGAACAGAAAGTCTAACGTTAAGAAGAGCGCTCCTTCAGGTCAAGCTAGTAAGGAATTCTTGGAGACTTTGCTTGCTCCATAAATTGGCTCTTTAAAGTCGTTTAAAAGTCGTTTTACTTCATTCAATGTGTTTCATTTATGCATGAAATGATGTTTTTTTTTTCTCATATGTGCTATGTATAATCGCAAAAGCTACAAAAAAGTAAGGTGTAATGGGGTTTGAGAAGCTGATTGTTGTAGTTCCATATGCAAATAATGAAGGTGTGATTTGGTGTGTATATGAATGCTTTGTCTGAGTGAATAATTGATGGTATATAATGTGTGCCTTGTGAGGATGTAATCTATGGTGAATTTAATATCTATAATAAATCACTATTCATCTACTCTCTCACTTGCGTCGCCATGTGTTGGTGGTGGTGGAGCAGGTGCAGCAGTTGGAGCGGGTGGGGCAGTCAATATGGCCGCCTGGCCCAGTTTTGTAGGACTGAGCGACATGGATGGAGAGCGGGAAGTGATAGCGAATGACGAGTTGCGTGATCGGCGTGGTGTGATTTCGAGTGTGTCGCCTTCTTCTGACTCGCTCGATTGGCTGCTACTGCTGCTATTACTGTCATATTCGTGGTGAGCATGGTGTGCATAGTAAGAGGGGTGAGAAGGGTGAGAAGGGTAAGGTTGCAATGTATTTACGTGTAAATGCCCTTCTTGTAATTGCTGCTCTTCCTGTGCTCGCGTCTGCTCTTCGCGCGGCCTTTTCATTTTAAAGGTAACCAGTGAGGCGGTATCGGTCATGGACTCATTGGCAGTGCTATTATTATGAGCGAGCGGGGTGGAGTCTTGCTTAGAGTGCTCAGAGTGCCCCGAGTGATTTGAGTGCTCAGAGTACGTGTGCTCCGAGTGCACATTAGGTGTGGGTGTGCTGGTGCTTGTACTAGTAGCATCATCGCCACTAACAGCGCTATTCAGCCCCATCACTGCCTCCTTATCTTCCCTGTCTCTATCACCTGTCTCGTTGAGATCATACACACCATCTATACCGACATGCCGCCATCCGTCGCCCCTATTGCTCCAGTACTGTGTCGGCTGGTTCAGTTCGCTCGCGTCGCTGCTCTCTGCGCCGTCGTCGCTCTCTTCTTCATCACCCATTGCAATAGATGAACGCAGGTGAGATGAATGGGAGTGGGAGTGCGCGAGAGCCAGCAGTTGATCACTATCTTCCTCCTCATCGCTGCTGTCTGAGTGTCCAGACAGCTGCACATCGATATCGACATCGTCGTCGTACAAACTCTCTGCCACCGGCGAGTGAGGCGAAGGCGGGGCAGCGTGCAAGATCGCCGGAGTTTGTTGTTGAGAGGTGGGTGAGAGTGACGAAATACTAGCTTTGTGCATCTCCCTCTCTCCCTGCTGCTTTTGCCTAATCTCCTTTTCCCTCTTTTCCCGCTCCGTGTGGTGGTCACTGAATGAGGCAAAGCGAGTAGGGGCTGAGGTATTTGAGGATACGGATGTCTTACGGTTGCCGAGCGTCAATCCTTTGAGGAATCCTCGCAGGGTGCCGCGCTTGCCCGTCGACGCTGCAGGAGACGCCGCTGAGCTGCGACTGACCGTGGGCTGCTCGTCAAAATCTCCCGTGCTGCTGCTGTTGCTGAGTGTGACCGTGTCCGAGTTACCGCGCATCATCGGTATTGGTGTCGGGGCCGTGACCTGGGTGAATTGGGGTGGTTGCGTTACGTTGGGCGATGATGTACCAATCTCATTAGATAAAGACGAGCGCGGAGATTGTGCGGCATTCAACTGGAGATGGTTCATCGATTGTCTGCGTGATGAGGGATCTGACTTGTGAGCTCTACTCGACTGCGAAGACAAGGATGCCGCGCGTGAGAGGTGGGTCGGTGGTTGAAGATTGGGTGCTGCGTTGTTGCTATTACTACTACTGTCCAAAGAAGATAACCTGCGTTGTTTAAGAGTTTGTTGGTTTGTTGCTGGAGATAAATCAGCATTGTAAAATTGCTTAACGGCTGATGTCGGTGCGTAGGGGTTATTGTCGTCATTGTGCTCATCCAAATCTGACTGTGAGTGGTACTGATATGGATTGTAGTTGTTTGAGTTGACAGAACCACGTCGAGGTACACCAGTTGCACCAGTAGCAGCGTTGAAAGCATTTGCTATATGCCTCCAACCCCTCTTCAATCGCGTTCTGAAATTAAGTGCAGACTCAACCTCTTCATTTGTAACTTGAACAGCGGGGGATGCGTTGACATCGGTGTGTTTGAGCCATTCAGAAGGTTCATGTATACCTCTCAAAATCCATGGGTGTGACTATATTGAAAGTTAGAAAGTGGATTTAATGAGAAAATCACAACTCACCTTCACTTGAGCCAGTTTTATGCGCTTTGTGGGATCCTTTTCAAAAAGTTTGTTAAGTAGATCGCGCAATTGTTTGCCTTCCTCAGAATCTTTCAAAGACAGTTGATCAGCGCCCGCATAAGGAGGGTATTCGACAGGTTGGGCAGGTATGACGTTGAACAGAGCAAATTCGTTTTCAGCAGTGAAAGGAACTTTACCAAAGAGGAGACAATATAGGGTAACTCCTAAAGCCCAAACATCAATAGCGTTGGTAATTCTTGGACGTTTAGAATCGAATTGAGAAGAGCGTTGAAAGCATAATTCAGGGGCGAAGAAAGCGGGGCTACCAGCAGTTTTAGCAAGATCTTGATCAGTGAAGAGGGGTTCCTCAGAGGAAGTGGGGCTATTTGGAGTAGAAGAGTCTAGTTGAGTGGAGGAGTTGTTGGTGGTGCTACTGAGAGTAAAAAGAGGGGATTGATCAGGACTCTGCGCAGATAACGCGTAACTGAAGTGACTAACACCAAAATCACTTATTTTAACTTTCTTAGAATCATTCCATAATAAGTTAGCAGGCTTAATATCACGGTGGATTATACCTTGGTAGTGTAAATATTCTAAACCGAGAATTACATCAGTGAGCGTGGATCTTGCCTGATTAACTGTCATTGTAGGCAGAGAATGCTCATTCTTCCACTGAATCTCACCACCTTTCATCAACTCCAATATCATATAAATAGTCTTTGAACCACCGTCATCGATAATTTCCTTCAATTGCACGACATTCTCGTGGTGCAATTTTTTGAGAATTGCAATCTCTTTGCATATTTTGTTATCCGTCGGCTTACGGAGATGGTTTTCAGCGGTTGATGGACGTGATTTCGAGCCGAGTAATCGTTTCTTTGGAGCTCTATCAACCATTTTAACAGCCTGGGATGATGTATTAGATGGAATTTTAGTGGGTGACTATCCGCTCACAAATCTCTCATTGGTCTCCGTATCAATCGCTTCCCTCACACGGCCGTGCTGGCCTTTACCCAACTCTGATAATAATAAATATTGATTTATAAGTAATCTTCCATGCTCATCTCTTGATTTTATTATTTCAGACGTTAGTATTGTCTGATCTGTCATGGGTTTGTTTGATGGTGGTTAGGAAACAAGGAAGTACAAGGATTTAAAGCGAGATAAATGGAGATAATTGGCGATGGATCCATGAATGATATATATATTTATAATTTAGCCTATTCCCCATCACTGAACTGGACGAGTTGCTCACCATCGTCATCTCCTTCAACACCTTGATACTCCCTCTTATCAACCACTTTGTCATTCACGTTTATGAGATTTGAATCGCTATTTGCTAGCGTTGTATCCTTCTCAAATAGTTGTTTACCAGATTTCCTTGTATTCCATCTCTTCAATTCCTCTCTATCTTTGTTATTAAGCTTTTGAAGCTGGGCTTCCTCAGCCTCCTCTAGCTTGGCGTTCCTTTCCTTTATAAAGTTAATCCTCCACTCATTAAAGTTTTGTATTGTTAATTGAGTACCTCTTGTTCTCTCCAACTCGGCTTCAATCTCTGCTTGCTTCTTATCAGATTCAACTTGTTGCTTTGATTTTAATCTATTGAGAAGTAGATCTGATAAACTATCTTTAAGCGTTGAAGATAACGTAAATACTAATGGCATCCCTAAGCTCTCATTACCCAAATCAACTAAGTCATTGTGCAAATTTTGAACATCTTCATCACCCAAATCACCTTCCAAAACATCAATTTCAAACTCTGGCAATTCATCTGGATATTTTGGAGTATAATTGACTGACAAATTAGTTGAAATAGTATCTTCACCTTCAACTTCCTCTGAGTCTAATTTAATTGATAGTTTATTATCAGATAAAACAGTTAGTTCATCTGCATAGATTGATTCAAGTACCTTGGTCAAAAGTTAGTCTAATGGTTAAAATCAATTACAGTCGACCAACTTCAACTTCCTCCTTAACTAATTCATCTATTTATTTATTCATTTAGAGACCTTGAGTTCTAGTCGTACAAATACCACCCACTCATAATTTATACTTAATATCTTGATCGTTTGAACGTTAATCTGAAGGGAGTTTGGTACATTCAATTTCAGTTTCAGTGGGGGCTTGAGGTAGAACACAGAACATGTTTAATTTCTATTGGCTGGTTAAATGTTATTATGCCTATCAATCAACCCACTTACATTCATCATATTAATCATATTATTCCGTTTAATCTCCAATTCTATACAATCGTTATCACTTCTACAGACTAACACGTTATCACTCTCCAGCTTTCCATCGAATTTGTATTTTTGCTGTGGTTTTTGTGATATAAATTGGTCGAGTTTGGCTTGCTCTGACATCTCGGTCATCGTTGTGAAGTTTGATGATGTAAGTGGAGTTTATTGGTTTGTTATTTGATTAGACCATAGAAGTACACAGGTATAAACAATCTTATCTCAACTTTGGTCAATCAAACATGAGTATTATATCTTGTAATACATGTCAATTCAAGTACACGCGTGGTAATTTGAAGGAATCAAAGTTACACGACCTATTTCATAATAACTTAGTACACGGTATGACTTGGAAGCTTAAGCCAAACAAATCAATCAAAATTATTCATCAATCGGGTGATATCACTCTACTCAAGATTGATTATAATAATATAAAGCTGAATTCGAAACTATATTACGCGTTAAGTCAGGTTCACGATCAGTTAAACGCGTCTTTGAACTCCCCTCCGCTAACTACTACAATTCTCGTAAAATCTTCATCTTACATGATTCTACGCGATAATCACATTATTGCTTCTGCAATTACTTCTCCTTGGAATGTTGCATACAGCTTACACTCCCAAGCATCACACTCGAATCTTATCATCAACATTCACTCACCTGTAAAAGTCAAATTTGCTATTCACCGCATACACGTAATCAACAAACACAGAAGACAACGTTTAGGTCTCTTACTGCTAAACTCAATAGCCCAGAATCAAGTCTACGGCTACACTCTATCTCCTAACCAGATTGCATTCAGTCAGCCCACTACTGCTGGTTCATGCTTAGCGTCCAGCTGGTTCAATATTAACTCAAATACCTCAAAAGCTCTTAGTTACTTGGTTTGCTAATATTCACTGAGTTTTACGCTTATTCTTAGCATCTCTTTGCATTATCTTGGTATTTTTCGTGTTTTTCTAAATATCTTCGCATTGCATCATCACACTCAGTCTTTTTTGTACGGCGTCATGATACTGTCAACTATATCAGCGTTAAATAGGGCAGCATTTAGAGGAGGAGCATGTAGAGGATTCATAGCAGCCACTTCAACTGTGCCACTCAAAACACACTCTCACCTTAGACAACTCTCCACGGTCAACCTCGCATATGAGAAAATAGAGGGGAGTTTAGACTCTGAGCCGATTGTAGTCTGCCACGGACTGATGGGATCCAAGCAGAACTGGCGGACGTTGGCGCGTAACATGGCAACCAAAACGCACAGCTCCATCTACACGCTCGATTTGCGCAACCACGGCACTTCTCCACACGCAACGCCTCACGACTACGCTCACATGGCAGCGGATGTATCTCAATTCATCGAATCGCACAACCTCCACAACGTCACCCTCCTCGGACATTCGATGGGCGGTAAAGTCGTGATGGCGTTAGCGCTAGCACAGCCGCATCTCCTCCGTCGTCTCATCGTCGCTGATATGTCGCCGCAGAGAGCATCCATATCGGAAGAGTTCCTCGCTTATACGCAGACTATGGTAGACATCGAACACGCTAACGTGCGTTCCAAGAAGGAGGCTGACGAGATGCTCAAAAAGGTCGAAAGCAATATGGCTATAAGACAATTCCTTCTCACTAACGCGGAGATGAATAAGGATACTGGCTTCTACAAATTCAGAATCCCTGTCGATATCCTCCGCGATTCTATAGACGCTATCGGTGACTTCCCTTTCGGCGAGCAGAGCAATGCAGTGTTTGATAAACCTACAACTTTTATCAAGGGCGAGCATAGCAGTTATCTCAACCACAAGAATATCCCACTCGCCAAGCGCTTCTTCCCCAATATGCAGCTACATACACTCAACGCTGGCCACTTTGTGCACACGGAGAAACCTGCTGACTTTGTCGAGCTGGTGCGGGAAGCTGTTGAGAATGACCGGGCGTTGTAAAGAATATCGCAATAGTCGTGTACTAATTTACTTACATGTTCATCTATATCACTTTATCGGTTCAGTACATTAGTCGCCTCGTCTCAGCTGTTTCTTTTCCTTGTGCATTTTCTTGCGCCTCTCCATGCTCGCGCTTTCCTTGCGCTTGAGCTGCTCTACACGCTGCGACTTGGCTGGGGCAGTATCTCCGGGAATGTTGCGGGAGCTAGCATGAGCGATAATTTGCGCAATACGCCTTCTCACACACGCTGCATTCTGTTGTGCTGACCGGCTGCTCGAGTCTGCTGCAACGATTGCGTCGCTCGAACGGACGTAGTGGGGGTCAATTCGTAGCGCTGTGTGCACATAAGCAGGTAACCACTCCTGTACCACTCCCATTCGCCCTACTGCTTTGCTCGCCGTCTTGTTCACATGCTGCCCCCCACTGCCCGAGCTACGTGTGTGCGTGATGGCGATTGCATCTTCTGGGATACTCTTGCTCAATGCTGGAAGCTTCTTCACCCACTCTCGAGAACCCTCTGGCACACTACTTTCCCTCCCTCGCTTGCTCCACTGGCTTGCGCTTCGCTGTACTGCCCACCTTGAAATCATCACCCAGATGTCGCAAAGCCAGCCTATTTAATTTGTAAAAATGCAGAAATGCAGAAATGCTCATTTATGTTTCTTATCTTACTTGTTCAATTGTCTTTTATCTTAAATCAATGTGTGAAATAATTACTATATCTTTATCAATGTTATTATGCAAATTATTAAAGGAGGCTGACCCTCAATCCACTTGCATCTCCTGCTCTTCAGTAGATACTGTGAGTACCTCTGAAAGTGCGGAGCGAGTGCGAGGAAGATAGTCCTGCGTTTGGTTCCGTCTCTCGCGTTCTTCAGCACCGTCACTAATCGAAGCTGTCAATGCGGGCGACACTGACTGTGTAGGCGGCGACGGTGTATCTTCCGTAGCTGCAGCTGCAGCTGCAGCCGTCGCCGTCGTCACCGTGTTAAACGCCGCGGCTGGATTATTCTCATCAAATCGCAAAGGCGCTAGTTGAAATTGATTCTGCTGTGCATTTCCACCCCCATCCATCCCAGTGAAGCCCCTGAAATCATCCTCGAATATGTTAGTCATGTTGGCCATATTCGTCATGTTTCCCGTCGTATCCGTCTCTACACCCATATTCGTCCAGTTGTCAATATCACGATTTATCTGGTTGAATGTGGTGAGTGGTGATGCTGGTTGAGGCATCTGCTGCGTTGGTTGTGCCTCTGGTCGCATGCGCGGCGTCTGCTGATTATCGCGTGCCAGGTATGGCGCTATATAGTTGTCGCTCTCGTTCGTCATATCCGATCGTGTTTGACACCTGCAGTTAAATTTCAAATATTAACCTAGTTATTCCTAATCATCACTCTTTCACTCACCAGAATCTATGTCCTACGCGCCACGCTCTGCTTTGACACTCCTTACTGCAGTACTTGGCCTTTCTGCAGATCCTGCACTTGGCAAACTCCTTGGGAGATGTCTCCCACTTGCCACATGCAACATTGGCACATTGCCTAATACCATTAAATGACTCATGCTTCCGACACGCATTCCGCATCGTTACTCCTGCCCAATACCTGATCTCTGAAGGGAGGTATATCGATGTAGGATCATCAATGTGTCCTTCATAGGTGAATGACTCGACGATATAGAATAAGTTCCTCTTATAATGATCTCTATAGCTAAGTCTGTCAATTGGACTCTCTTCAGGATCAAATGATGGTCTACCAACTTGCCATGCGCGTGAAGGTGCTTGAAATCCTTCTCTTATGTGTGGGTATTTTGAGATATATGCTAGTAATTGTAAAGCAAGTAGAACGTCCTCTTCACGGTATATAGTATTCTCTTCAGGCCTGAAATATTCTATATGCTCAATTGGTCTGCGAGTAACGGGTGATGAGTTGGTAGATTGTGTTGGTAGTGTAGATTGCGTAGGTTGTGTCGGCTGGGTGGGTTGTGCTACTGCTGCTGGTTGCATCGTTTGCCCTGGTTGAGGTGTTTCCTGTTGCTGATTTTCTATTCCTGCAACTACTTGTGGAGTATTTGCAGGCGTCGGTTGGGAATTTATGATGGTCTGTTGACTAGATGGAACAACTGTCCCCGATCTCGATCTTACGTAATTGTTTGTCTCAGGTTGTTCCTCAACGTCATCCTCCGATTGGACGACACTCGACGACCTTGATTCTGATGCTTCAGTCTGAGTTGATGTCGATGGCTCAGGCTGGTCGTGCTCATTAACCTGATCTGTGAAAATTGGAGTGCTGTTCGGAACGGCGGGTGGCATGGGTGACACTTGTGATACATGCACTTGTCCGAGACCCGTGATCGGCTCCTCGTCACCAAGAAGGGTAGATTCCGGTGTTGCAGAGGGCTCAGCAGATTCGGACAATTTGCTTGCCTTGCGATTATTCTGATCATTAAGCCAGGCTATGGACAGGTATTAGTAATCGATTCTAGAAAACCAAGGTAGTCGACAAAGACCCACCTCTCAAGCTTATCGTGTGCAGGTGATACTCCTTAATCTTTTTCAATCTGTACCTATCCATTGAAGCTTTCCAAGTCCCGAGGATAGCGCCTGCGACATCAAGCACACCAGCTTGAACGACCTTTGTGCGGAGCTCTTCAGAACCCCTGACGCCAATGTTTACGCAACACTGAAATGATAAAGTCCAGATATAAAGAATCTGCCTGTCATACACGCCTTGCAGAGGCTGTGAACCACGATCGGGAGCGAGTAGAAAAGGCGTTGGAGTTGCAGAAGCGCCTGGGACAAGCAAAATAGACATTGCCCACTTCATGATCCTCACAAGTCGCTCAATTCCACCGTCATACGCCACGATATCTCTGACTTTCTGGGAAACGGAGGTGAGGTATTGGAGGTTAGTGAGTGAGTTGATGAGTGCTACTGGATCGCGTGCATCGAGTGCTGATCGTGTGGACTGTGTGAGCCGTGTGGGCTGCGTGTAATTAGAGCGTGTGCTCACCTTTGCGGTCGTAGAAAGACGTGGAAACAACACACGATGCTCTGTTCTGTGCTGGATTAGAGAAATTGCTTTCCCTCATATTTAATTCGCAGTATCTCGTTTAGTCCGCTGACGGTACGAGTCCAAGAGATTAAATCGCGTGCAAATCCCGGTGACTGAATTTAAATCGTGTGGCTATGGTAGTAGGGGGATTCGTATGCGTAGCAGCAGCTAAATAGTCCCCTTGTATTCGGATCTACTCATCTCTCATCACCGCCGAAAATGGCAGAGATATGGCATATGCGATAGATGGGGCCATAGAGATCACTTGGGATTTAACCAACTTGAATTTTCATCGAAATCCACGCTTTTACCTGTTTTATCTCTTGCATCCTCACTACTATGTCTGAAAGACTCGATAGATGGCGCACGCATATTGGGGGCATCCCAGCACTGGCTCTGCCTACAGATTATCCAATGCCTTCACAGCCAAAGTTCATCGAAGCCGTTGAGAAGTTCCGCGTCGATCAATCTGCACAACAATCGCAGCTAATCTCAATTTACTTGATGCTGCTGTACAGATACACTGGGGATACATCCATCATTCTCGGATTCAACAGTGACGACGAGCCATCGTTCTCGAGGTTCGAAATCGATCCAGCGGCGTCTTTCGGTTCTCTTGTTGCCCACGTTGAGCAAACACTAGACGATGCAAAGAAATACGCTGTTCCCTTTGATCAGCTTAGGTCTGAGATTCTCAAGGCAAGCCATTCAAACGATAGCACCATCTTTAGAGTCTCTCTCTCAACCACCCCCAACGAGCGCACTCAATCGGCATTAGCTTCCGATTTGGCTGTTTACTACGATCAGGTTGAGAAATCTATCGCCGTTGTCTACAACGCACTCCTCTTCTCAAACCAGAGAATAAAGAGCCTTATCATGCAATTCAACCTCCTCAGGAATAACACTGCCAACATTTCAAACATTGGCTCTTTTCCTCTCTTCACCGAGTCTCAGGCTGGTATTTTACCTGATCCTCGCGCTGACCTCGACTGGTGTGGCTATAAGGGTGCCATCACCGACATATTCTCAAAAAATGCTCATATCGATCCAACTCGCACTTGCATCGTTGAGAGCACTGACCAAGGCAACAAACAAACGTGGTCGTATAAGGAAATCGACGGCGCATCTAATATACTCGCTCACCATCTTTTGAATGGTGGTATACAAAGAGAGGAGGTCGTTATGGTTTACGCCTACAGAGGTGTTGACTTGGTCGTTGCTGTCATGGGTGTTCTCAAAGCTGGAGCTACCTTCTCTGTTATTGGTAGGCGATAATATTTCATTTCATTTACATTAACTAACCTCGATACTCAACAGACCCCGCCTACCCTCCTTCTCGTCAAAATATCTACTTGCAAGTCGCGCGTCCTCGTGGTTTGGTGGTGCTCGACAGAGCCGGAGTTCTGTCGGCAGAAGTCAAAGACTACATCAATCAGGAGCTAGACTTGTGCGTCCAAGTTCCTGCTTTGCGCCTCACCAAAGATGGATTAAGAGGCGGCTCTCTCGATGGCCAACAAGACATACTCGCAAACCCATCACCAAAATCTGTTCAACATCCAGGTGTTATACTGGGTCCTGATTCAATCGGCACTCTTTCTTTCACTTCTGGCTCAACTGGTATTCCAAAGGGTGTGATGGGTCGTCACTACTCACTCACCCACTTTTTCCCTTGGATGTCTGAGCGTTTCAATTTGACAAAGGATGAAAAGTTCACTATGCTTAGTGGTATCGCACACGACCCTATCCAAAGAGATATCTTCACACCTCTTTTCCTCGGTGCTGAGTTGCACGTTCCAACGTCTGAAGATATTGGCACACCAGGTCAGCTTGCTGAGTGGATGGCGGATTCCCAAGTCACAGTCACACACTTGACACCAGCGATGGGTCAGTTACTGTCAGCTCAGGCCGTTAGACACATACCGTCTCTCAAGAATGCCTTCTTTGTTGGTGATGTCCTCACTAAACGTGACTGTACTCGTTTGCAAGCTTTAGCTCATAACGTTCAAATAAATAACATGTACGGTACAACTGAGACCCAAAGAGCAGTATCATACTACTCTATCCCTTCAGTTAACGCTAATTCTTCTTTCCTCGGTAGACAAAAAGATATAATGCCAGCTGGTCAGGGAATGATTGACGTGCAGTTACTTGTTGTTAATCGCCAGGACAAGAACGTCCTATGTGGTGTTGGTGAAGTCGGCGAGATTTACGTCCGTTCAGGTGGTCTGTCAGAGGGTTATTTAGATCCAAATGCTACTAAGGAGAAATTCACCGAGAATTGGTTTGGCTTTGGCGTTGAAAGGAGAGATACCATAGCCGAAACGAAACCAGACTACAGTAAATATTGGAAAGGTATTCGTGACAGAATGTACAGAACTGGCGATTTAGGTAGATATGGCCCAGATGGGTTGGTAGAGTGTACTGGTAGAGCAGATGACCAAATCAAGATCCGTGGATTTAGAATTGAGTTGGGTGAGATCGATACTCACCTTTCAGCTCATCCATTGGTAAGAAACAATGTTACTCTCGTCAGACGTGACAAGGACGAGGAAAAGGTTCTTGTGTCGTACTTTGTTCCAAATGAAACAAGCGAGCTTGAAGGATACATGAGTAACGACGAAGATGAAGGTCACGACGTTCAGGATGATCGTTCAAGGGAGATTGCTAGAGGACTGAAGCGTTACCGTAAGCTTATCAAGAACATGCGCGAGCATCTCAAAACCAAGCTACCAACGTATTCGATCCCATCTAGTGAGTCTTAGTATTTTATTTGAATGATGCTGACTAGATTTTTCAGTTTTCATCCCACTCACGCGCATGCCACTCAATCCAAATGGTAAGATCGACAAGCCAGCTCTGCCATTCCCAGATACGGCTATTCTTACGCCGCGTACAAACGTGGGTGACGACCGTAAGCTTACTCCAATTCAACAAACTATCCACGATGTCTGGAAGAATCTTCTTCCTTCAGCACCATCATCTATCGCTTTAGATGACAACTTTTTCGATTTAGGTGGTCACTCCATTTTGGCGACTCGATTGATTTTCGAGATAAGAAAAGCTCTCGTCGTTGAAGCACCGCTCGGATTGGTGTTCGAGCAGCCAACTATTGAAGGATTGGCCTACTCAATTGAAGGAATGAAGGCAGCCGATCTCGGACTGCATGCTGACGTTGTCGGTGTGAAGAAGGATGACAAAGCAGCGTCGGATGAGGTTCATTACGGAAACGATTTCGATTCTCTCATACCTCGATTGGCTGACAAGTACCCAGCACTACCATCAGACTTGAACAACAAGAAGCTTACTGTGGTTTTGACTGGTGCCACTGGTTTCCTTGGTGCTTTTGTTCTGCGTGATCTGCTCAAGTTGCGTGGAGACAGAGTGGATAAAGTAATCTGTGTTGTTCGTGCTAAATCGAACGAGGACGGTATCAACAGACTCAGACAGGGTGGATCAGCGCGTCATTCATGGGATGAGACGTGGGTCAAGCAGGGCAGAGTTGAGGCAGTAGTTGGTGATCTTGAATCTAAGCATTTTGGATTAGACGAAAAGGAGTGGAATAGGCTTTCGAGTGACTCTGACGCCATAATTCACAATGGTGCATTTGTGCACTGGGTTTACTCGTACGGCAAGCTTCGTTCGGCTAACGTTCTCTCTACAATGACTGCTATTGAACTGGCAGCCAACCAGAAGGCTAAGGCGTTGTCATTTGTGTCTTCAACTTCCGCACTCGATACTGAACATTACATCAAGCTTTCTGATGAATTGACACTGTCCGGTCAATCTTCAGGTGTGCTCGAGTCAGATGATCTTGAAGGCGCTCGCGAGGGACTTGGCACTGGTTACGGACAGAGCAAGTGGGTCGCCGAGAAGCTTTTGATGGAGGCCACGAAGCGAGGCTTGGCCTGTACGATAGTTAGACCGGGGTACGTTGTTGGAGATTCAGAGTCAGCAGGTAGGTGAGGTGATCTACTAATGAAAACAATCTAATGAGGCAAAAGTGACAAACACGGATGACTTTCTGTGGAGGTTAGTCAAGGGATGCGTACAACTCGGACAAGTGCCAAATATCCACAACTTTGTTAACATGGTACCCGTTGATCACGTCGCCAGACTTACAACACTGTCTATGCTGAGTAGGGTTGAAGACGGAAATAGTAATGGAGTTGTCCACGTAACAGCTCGACCACCTGTGCGTTACTCAGACTTATTAGGATGTCTGGAGAAATACGGATATCAAGTTCAGACGAGTGACTATCTTGTGTGGAGGTCAGAGCTGGAGAAGCACGTAATGGAAGTTGGAGATAACGCATTGTTCCCATTGCTGCACTTTGTTTTGGATGACCTGCCTACGTCGACCAAGAGTGCATCGCTGGATGACAAGAATGCACAAGAGTTGATCAAGAAGTCCAAGGCGGATGAGAAGGTCAAGACGACGGTTGATATGCCTTTGTTGGGATTATACGTCGCGTGGTTGGTCAAAGCGGAGTTCCTGGGAGCACCAACTGGGGAAGGGGAGTACAAGTTACCGAGAGTAGACGAAGCACGGGCTATTGGAAGAAGTGGACATTAGAATATAAAAAATAGAGATATATTTATTTTTTCACAAATATCTTGGACTGCAACCACTTAATACTCATACGCTGAGATTGAAATGAATCAAGCGAGCAGAGGGGGAAAGAGAAACAACAACAATTCATTTAACAATGGTGCAAGGTGGGTTTATTATTGGGCTGTGTACCAGCCACCTGCTTACAAGGTCCAGGAGACAGAGCTGGAGAACCCATAATAAGAGCGCAGATAAGTTACAAGGAGCGATAGTGAGTATATGATGACGTATATTCCAATCTAACACGCTTTTAGGGCAAGCAAGTCGTCATCTCCACGCGTCAAAACGAGAAACTCAGAGGGACACTCATTTCAGCCAATCATGAGATTACACTTAAGCAGGACACCAAACACACAAAAGTACAGCTCAAAGACTTGGTCGACTTGGAGCAAATAAAGGCTGATTGTGAGTGGTATTAGTGGTGCTACAATTCACTCAATCTCACAACTCCAAAAGCCTTCAAAGTCGATACAGATATCTCTAAAGCTAAGCACACCAACGAACGCGAGCTAAAGCCTTGGACGCCAGACGTCTTACCGGATGATCCTGCTATCATTTCATCCTCACAAGACGCTTCTGCGTCGTTGAGCTGGGCGGATGATTATCCAAGTAATGAGTCTGTGGAGACACAAGATAATCATCAAGGTGGCGCCTGGGATCAATTCAAGGCAAACGAACAGATGTTTGGATTACAAACAAACTACAATGAGGAAATGTACACTACAAAGCTCGATAGGTCGGGAAATGACTACAAAGAACGCGAGAAGAAGGCTGATAAACTGGCAAAAGAAATTCTTAACCAGCAATCTTCAAACGCTCACGTTAATGAAGAAAGAGGTCAGTCTGTGGCTTTAACCGAGGAAGAAAAGTATTCTGGCGTCACAAGAGGTCCAAATGCATATGTTCCTCCACAAGCACGTAGAGCTTCACAGAAGGTGCAACAACAGCAGTCATTGCAGCAACCAGAAGAGCAGCCATTGCAACAACCAGTGCAACAACCAGTGCAACAGCCAGAGCAGCCATTGCAGCAAAAAGAACAACAACCCAGTCAACCAGAGCAACAACAACAGCCTCAGCCACCCACCGCTCCAAAATCCCAAGTTCAAATGCAATTACCTCATGAGAAAGTGCCCACAAAACCTTCGGACCCTTCTCTTATTGGTGACTTTAGAGCTTTTGTCTCAAATGAAAAAGAGCGCTTACAACAAAAGAAGCAAGCACTCGTAAACCAAGAAAAGTCATCTACAGTTGCTGATTTGATCAAGTTTGGTCAGTCTTTCAAGCTCAAGACTGATATGCCAGAAGATATCGCAGGTATCGTTGCAAAGAATGAGAGAAAGGAGAAGGAGAAGGAATCTGATAAATCAATCTCTGACACCTCAACCAAGTCAAATGCAAAGCCGGACGACTTCAAACAATCCAAGTCACCTTCTTTGAAGCAGTACATGAACATACCCAAGATTCCGCCTTTCAACCCTGAGCGCGTAAAGGCTGTCAGAGCTGAGCGCAATCGTCATGTCTCACAACCGGCTACCAATCAATCTCCAGGTTCACCTCCTGTCGATCGCCGTTCAGTTGTTTCACCTGCCTTATCACAAGCTAGCACATCAACTGCAGGTGGATCAAAATCTTTGAATCCAAAAGCCTTCTCATTCAAACCTAATCCAAATGCCATGTCTTTTACACCAGGTGGATCATCTAACAACCTATCACCAAAACCACCATCACAATCAACTTCTCAAGTTACTAGTACTAGCGCTCCGACGCCTATTAAAAATCCATTTTTTGGTACAAAGCCAATTAAACGTGGCTTGTCTGGGCTGCACGTAAAGGAAGATTTCAATCCATTCAAGAATCAAACAGTAATGGAAGCACAACAGATTGGACCACACTGGCAATTCAGTGGAAAGTCATATAAATCGAGGTTTCCAAGTAATCAGTACTATGGAAACAATGATTATGGTTCACCTGATGAAGCTGTTGCAGCTCAGAATATGGTGATTGCACAAGCACAAGCCGCAGCACAAGCACAAGCACAAGCGGCAATGAGTCAAGGGCAGCCGTACTACTATAGAATTCCATTTGGCGGACAGTCACCAATGCCAAATGGAGGAGGACCAATGGGAGCACCAGGAGCACCTGGGGCACCACCAGGGCCAGGCCCAGGACCATATGGAATGGTACCACAATTCATAGCTGGACCACCCTCAGGACAAGCGATCGGATTTGGACCACAAATGCAACCAGGTCAAGGACCACCACCTGCGCAAATGTTCCAAGCTGCGATGGCGGCAGGATTGCAAGCACCCAGACAAGCATATATGCCACAATTTTCACCTAATATGCAAAACAGGCCGCCAATGGGAGGGCCACCACCTGGACACCCACAACATCAATCAACAACACCAACACCACAGCAATCACAGCAATCACAACCAAGCCAAGGAGGAGGAACAGTTTTTGCAGCATACCCATCACCTTCACCTCAGATGACACCACTGGTACCTTACCCAGCGCCACAGATGACACACATACGAGCAGTGGGAGTTGGCTCACCGGGTCCACCGAGCACAAACTCACCGTCGACATATTCACCAGCGCCAGAAGTATAAAGAGTAAAAAAAAAGCAAGAAAGATGGATTAGTCAGATGAGGGAGGATAAATGTATAGTTTTAGGGATGTATTGGACTTTTGAAGTTTTTCTACGTTTTATATGTGTGTCTTGAGTGATAGCAATCGTAGCAACCAACGGATGGAATTCTATCGTCAGGCGTCGGAGGCAGTTGAGAGGGTGCTTAACAAGCAGACGTCGGTTAAATCGTACGCCCATTCCAAGCGACTGCTCGCTCTTGTACTGGAGACGCTCAAGTACCAGGATGTGATAAAGCAGCTGGTTGGAGTGACTGGGTTGCTAGATAAAGAGAAGAAGGCGATTAAGATTGCCAAGCCACAAGGCGATCCTATTTATCTTGTCATGGTTCTTCTACACGACCTGCTATTCTCAAAGCGGCAGGCGATTGAAGCTGGCTCAGGGCCGATCAAAGATGCAATTCTGCGCCACAAAACGAGATTAAGGGGGGAACTCACCAAGTTGAGAGTCAAGGCTGGTGTGACGACGAATAGTGATTTGGGTAGGAAGGCTGAATCTGAAGGAGAACTTATTCCGAGATACCTGCGCATCAACACAAACAAAATAGCATTTATCGATGGCGTCACCAAGCTGGCTCAGCTGCTGGGTTTGCGCGAGGATAAGACGAGCAATGAGCAGCCACTAGCGAGTGACGCATACAGGGTAGTGGAACATATACCGAGCCTGATAGCAGTGCATGTAAGGCTATCGCAACGCATAACGTCGAGCGACATGTACAACAGCGGGGAGGTAATACTGCAAGATCTAGCGAGCTGCATGCCACCGGTAGTGCTGCTGAATGAGCTCAAAACATATGGCAAGAGGCTGGCGAGTGAATTGGACAGTCAGAGTCACAACATGGGCACGGTCATCGATGCGACGGCGGCACCCGGCAACAAGACTACGCTGCTGTCGTCGCTCATGCACAACAAAGGCAAGCTACTCGCTTACGAGCACATGCCAAAACGATTTGCGACGCTCGAAAAGATGGTCAGTGTGGCTGGTTGCGCTAACACCCAAAACGTCCTGGGTGATTTCACCCATTGCGATCCATTTGCACACGCCGACGTCACACACATCCTCCTCGACCCGAGCTGTACGGGCTCTGGGATTGTCAACAGACTCGATTACCTCACTGAACAAGGTGCGTTGGCGGCGTGGAAGGTTTATAGCCTTGATGTTCACACACACACCAGATAACGACGACAGAGAGGCGCACGATGACCGTCTCAGTGCCTTGGCGGCTTTCCAGGAGACTATCATAGGACATGCGATGAAATGTGGGTAGTGTGCGTATTGCGTATCAACCAACCAACATATCACGCCACTTTAGTTCCAAATGTACGCCGCATCGTATACTCTACCTGCTCAGTGCACGAGGAGGAGAATGAGTGCGTGGTTATGAATTCGCTCATCCAGCATCCCGATTTTAGACTTGCGAGCAGAGACTCGTGTCTGCCGGAATGGCCTACGCGCGGTCACTCTGAGCCGTTTGGTGGTGATGTCGGTTTGGCGCAGAGCGTCATTCGCTGTTCTCCTGGAACCGACCGCACCAATGGATTCTTTGTGGCTTGTTTCGAGAGAGTGGATACTGCAGAAGGAGCCAGAGTAGCAGCAGCTGCCCCAGCAAAGAAACGCAAGAACAAAAACAAGAATAACAAAAAGAAGAGCAAAACTAAAAGTCAAAACCAAAGCAGTGATGTGTAATATAATATGTATGTGTATAGAGTAGAAACAGTCTAAATAAATAAATTACCTTTGATATGCTCCAGTCAGCAACACACCTCACACTCAACGAGCCACCTACATTTCCTCCAACTTGACGATCAATCTCGCGCTTTCATAGAGTTGGAAATCGAGCGGTGATCCTCTAACAACCCTACCTATGTCAGCTTTGAAGAGGTGATGAGGAGTGATGTGATCCTTGACGAGCCTCGCGCCCATATTTCCGAGATCGCCGACCTCGCACGGCGCCCAACTACGTGTTCCTGCGCCGTCATTCTTCCACGCACCAGTGATAGTGCAAGTGAGGGGTGCGTGCGCCTCCCATCCGCCTTCCGAGCATGCATGTCTGCGTCTGAGTTCCCTTACCACCCAATAATCGTTTACGCGATTACTTATGCGGCTGTGCGGTCCCTCAAACTGGCGACATTTATTGAGGAATACCTCCATTTCATCGTGCGTTTTATACATCCATGGCACGCGCTCGGTCGGGGAGTGATGAGCTAGCAGAGCGCTGCGAATCTGGTAGTGCATTACCAAATCGCTATATCGTCTCAGGGGGGATGTAACACGAGCGTAACCATCCATGCATCCATTAAGGGAGTGGGGAATGGGACGTGAAGAGAGTGTTCCGCCTGTGAAACTAGCCTCGGCGGTAGACACGGCAGCGGTGGACACCTCACCCGTTACTTGGTCGCGTTGTGATAGTAGCTCTTCCATCGCACCAGGTAGGGCTGATTCGGGGACGGGTGCGCCGCGGTTCACACCGGGAACGTCACGCTCCCCTAGCCACCGCGAAGCTACTTGACACCCTAGTGCCATGCATTGGCTGACGAGTCGGCGCGAGAGAGAGTCGGGGGTAGGCTGTGCATGTAGTGCTACCTGCGGACGCCCCTCCCATAGCGTCTGCATCTGCAGTGGCGGACTCGGGAGCGGCAGCGGCGATACAGATGTGCTAGGCACATAAGTCTGCCAGAATAGCATGCCATTCGCGACGCGTTGTGCCGAATGCTGCGTGGAGACGTGGACGAGCTTGCGCAGTGTGTCCAAGTGATGCGACGGGATGGCCGGGTGAGACAGTGCGGGTGAGTCTTGGTTAGCTTTACCACGCATCTTACTCACTCTATCTAGCAGTCGGCCATGCATGCGTGTGGCTTCCCCACTCACCCCCAGCGCATCGTCGACATCGTCGTACGTGAGCGTGTGGATGTTATTAATGATAGATGCGCTCACGTCATAGTCGACTAATGCGCCATGTGCGTCTACTTGCGCAGAAAACGTAAGCACCGGCTGCGGTGTGCGACTGCCGAGCGAAAAACCCTCGCGACACAACTCGCGTGGCAGCATTGGGACGGTGCGGTGGGGGAGATAGAGCGAACTGATGCGTTCTTTAGCTAGTAGAGAGAGGGGGTGTGTGTGTGGGATCCCACTAGCTGGGTCGGCTATGTGCACATGCACCCACTGCTTCCCTTCGCCATCGACCTCTTCAAGCGATACACCGTCATCGAGCTCATTTGCATTGGCATCGTCTATCACGAAGACTGGCAACTGTCCGAAATCTCGTCGGTGTGCGTCTAGTATGTCATGCTGTTGCAGCGTATGCCCGCTACTGCCAATGGTGGGACCACTGCGGTACTCCCGTATCGCTGTCTCGCTCAACCGGTCGAACTGTCTATCGACGTGGTTGTCGCGTGGAACTAGTGTTGCGCTGCCTGCCATATGTATGCTCTCCCAGGGTGCAAATACTCCAACATTCTGGAGCAGGTCAAAGGCCAACGATCGCCAGTTTTCCTGGCTGACGTGGTGGTATTGAGGAAAGTTCTTGAGGAGTATGCAGCAGAGAGATTCGTAGGGATTGAAGGATGGTGTGTTGAGCGTCTGGCAGGCGTCAGTGATGAAGCGAATGAGAATGCCTTCGTTAGGAGTGTAGGTGAGTGGTGGAGGTAGTGGCAGTGGTGATTTGATAGACTTGTCGGTTTGTGATGAAGCCTCTAGCAGTTTGTGGGTCTTTTCGACAAAGCTCCCAAGGATGCTTCTCCCTTCTCGGGTATTGACCCAGTCGTGCACCAGTCTGAGGATGCTAACTTCAGTAGCGGGTCGCACACCAAACTTCATAGCCTGTATGGATGAAGGTGTTTCAAGCATGTTGTACTCGGTTGTATTGGAGTAGAGCATGATATGCAGTGCAAGAATGTGCAATTGTGTGGGCTGCTTCAGATTGAAATGACGTGTAGCAAGAGTGAGAATGTCATATTCACGCCACTTCATATCATTCTTGTGCTTTATAGAATTGTAGACGTCATTAACCTGAGTGGTTAGCTGTCGCTGAACGGATTCCAAGTCAAAACGAAGACGCTTGAGGCGAGAAGAAAGCCTAGCTTTGTAAGGAGCAAATGGATCAGTTTCAGGGTTGTAAACGTGATGTTCGGCAGGAGGATTCAGCTTTGAGTGAGATATGATGTCACTAATTTGATTGAAATCTAACTCAGAGGAATCGAACAACGGAGTTGAATGAACGATGGCAGAATCAGGGTAAGGTAATAAAACGCCTGAGGAGTGTAGACAGTGCCAAACGCGCCTACCATCGATGATATCAACGCCTAGAGCAACACCGACTTGGGAGTATCTGTTAGGAGGATTAGAGAGGGAGAATAATACCAAAAGAAACCAACTTTGGGATATATACAAAGTCCCCAGGGGCAGTTGAGTGATTTGGAGTGAAACGTAGCCACCAAGAATCAGTAACGCCATCGTGGAATCGGATTGGTTTAAAATTACCAGCGAGGTTATTTGAATAATCCAAGCCAGGGGATTTACTGAACTTATTTGAAGTTGCAGCGTTTATTAGTTTTACGGCAGACTTCCTTTGTAAATTGAAGGCATTCTTGGATTGTAATAGGGATCTCTTCATTTCAATAGAGGGACTATTAAAATTGCAACCTAGGGCACTTGATACAAAATTAAAATTTCACCGGTCTTCTAAAGCCCACCGGCTTAGTCAAGTGTTAGACAGAGATTAGGGATTATCAACGAGAATTGTTATAAATCAACCACCAAGAGATAATTTTCATTTCTTTTATGTAATGAATTTCTTATTCAATTGGCTAGGCTGGGATACGCAGAGTGGCAGTGGTAGTGGTAGTGGTAGTGGTAGTGGCAGTGACAGCATCACCAACACCACCGCCTACACCCACCAAGAACAGCCACTAAAGCCTCCAGATTCTCAAGATTCTCAAGACAATTACTCACAGCAGCAACCCACAGACACCTCCGATAGCAACAGCAGCGATTACAGCGATTACACACTTCAATCTCCTCAACCCCCCCATCATCGCCCGCCGACCAAGATCACACATCCAAATCGCTCTAATAGCCAGCGCAATAATCTTATAGGCAAGCTATTCAAGAATAAGGGCAAATGCCGCTCCTACCATCCTCATCGTCGCTTATCTTTTGATGGCATCCCCCAACATATCCGGATACATTCTCATCGGCAACCTACAAAACAATTTCATAGACTACACTTACAACAAGTTCTTTATCCTCCTATGTCTAATTTATCCGTTCTTCCTTCCTCATTAGCCGAACGTGCAAAAATTCACAAATCTTCTAGACCTTATTCTCCAACTAGATCTCCTTCTACAGAGAACGCTCCTCAAAGATCCGCCAGCTACGACGATGAAGACGCTGTTTACGACATGAAATTTAGTCACGATGGTAACTACCTTGCCTCGGCTAACTTTAACGGTTTGGTCAGAATTCACAATCTCAAACACGATAAGACTTCTTTCGACGATATTGATGTGAAAGAGTTTAGCGATCATCACTCCGGCGTATCTGGTTTGGACTGGAGCAAGAACAATTTTTTCATCACCGCAAGTCTAGATAAGACTGTTAGACTTTGGCATCCAAATAGATCTGGCTGTTTGTCCACTTTTAGGCACAACGATATTGTCACATCTACCAAATTTCATCCTAAGGACGACAGATATTTTATCTCGTCTAGTTTAGATGCTACAATCAAACTATGGTCAATTCCACTCAAATCTGCCATTTTCTCACACAGACTCAATGAGCTCATCACAGCTTGCGCATTTAGCAAGACGGGTAACTACATCTTGGTTGGCACCCTCCTCGGTCAGCTTGACATATTCACCTACTCTAATAAGGGGATGAAGCATGTAGCTACCATTAAGCTTTACAATTACACAAACCAGACACACATTCACAACGCTGAGAATCACAACTCAAAGAGGATAAACTCCAGCAAAAAGATAGTAGGAATTGAAGCAATTCCATATGTCCACGATGATTTCGTCTTAGTTACAAACGCCGATAACAGAGCATACATGGTTAACCTTGATAGCAAGAAAGTAGTCGCGAAGTTTAAAGGTTTGTGGGGTATTCTTGATTTACACAGTCTCACACCACCAAGGTAATAAAAACAGATCGATGCAGATGGGTATCACACCCAGCAGCGATGGTAGCTGGATCAGCTCTGGCAGTGAAGACAAGCATCTCTACGTATGGCCTACGCAATGTGCGATCAATGCCAGAGCAGATGATAACAGCATCAACATCCCCGGTTATGACCTATGGCAAACACCCGAACTTATTAAATGTACAGCAATACTACGCCAGGAGCATGAGGTGATTGTTGTCGGTGGAAGTGATAGTGGATCTATATACGTCTACAGAGCTTCGATCAACCAGAATAAGGTACCGGAGTTGAAGCATCCGAAACCTAATCAGATGAGTTTACCACTACCATCGAGTACAGGTAGTACAAATAAGAAAAAATCACGACGCAAGAGACCTTTGAGCGCACTACCAATTCTCGGTGGAAGTGACTCATCAACATCTGGACACAAGCAATCACACTTTCATTCACATTCACCGCTAACGCTTACACCTAATTCAACCATCTCACCAAAGCATGATAGGCATCAGTATTTCTGATACAGCCAGTAGCAGGATACACACAATATAATTTATTTTCTTGAAAAATTGACTTTAAATTGCGGTGGAGAATGTGAGACGGGTGAGACGGGTGAGACAGGGTGAGAACCCTTGAAAATCTTGGTGCTGCGGGGAAAGTGAGTGAGTGAGTGGGTGTATAGTGCACCTGAGGCTGTCAAAGTGTATTGCCTCGCTTAAGCGAAGAAAGTTGCGGCGCGTTGAAAATGAAAAGGAGAGTAATAGGAGGGGAAGATAGAGACAGGCTACTGAGTGCTGATTACAAGTCTATCACCTCCTTTGAAATCCACGAAAATATTTAAAATGGTGCACTTTGATTGCGCACTGGTCTTTGTGTCCAGAAGACGCTCAAGACGGTAAATTGACGCACGAAAAATAAAAAAAATAAGCTGCAAAATAGATGAACAGTCACCTCCAACCAACGAGGGCTGCTCCACCGCCGCCAGCGACAGCACCTGCGACTGCAGCGACTGCAAAACCAATAATCAAGAACAACGCAAAGGCGCCGAATAGGAGGGGATGGGCATCGATGAAAGATGATAGCCCAATAATGTCGTGGCTTTGGACAAAGAAGTGGATTGTACTCAATCCACGCACTATAGACGTTTACAAGAATGATGTGGGTGTTGAAGCGGCGTATAGACACGCAACTCACTTTCTTTATTATTTAGTCTGCTCCTGCTCCACAGACAGCTATCCACCTCAGCAATATCATCGCTGTCGAGCGCACCGATCAGAAACCATTCTGCGTTGAAATTACAACGAATAAAGTTTACAGCCTGGCTTTTAAATCTGACGACGAGCTATACGCATGGTTGGATGACATCTACAACGCTAGCCCACTCGGTGTTACCACTCCCACCGATTTCGTCCATCAGGTCCACGTCGGCTTTGACCCTGTCTCGGGCGCATTTACAGGTCTGCCTGAGCAGTGGAATAAGCTTCTGCAGACCTCAGCCATCACTAAGGAAGATTACGCTAAGAATCCTCAAGCTGTTCTCGACGTTTTGGAATTCTACACTGATCAACAGAGAAGAGAAGAAGTTGGTTTCAACCAGGGTCAGAAAGCTGGCCAGAATAACAGATTTCCTCCTTCCGGTGGTACAACGTACACACCTCCAGCTGCAAATGTAAGATTCGGTAATGGGACCGGCCTTGCTGGTCAAAATGTTTCTGCACCAAGAGCTGCACCTCCTCCACCATCGCAACCAAGCGCGAGCGTCAAGAAGGAAAAATCATCAGCTGCTCCAGCGCAGCAATCTTTGCAACCAACACCACCTCCACAGCATCCTCCACCACAGCAGCCCTCGCAACCTTCTCAACCTTCTCATCAACCTCCTCCACTTACACAAAAAGCACCTCCACCTGTGAAACCACTTTTGACGAATAAAAAGGCAAACCAACCTGCCCTCACTCCAAAACAACAACAGGTTCAAGCTAAGCAGCCTGTTCCTCAACAAGTTCCTAATAATGAGCCTTCAACACCCAAAGTAGCCGAGAGGCGTATATCCTCAATGAATGATACACAGATAATGGAAAAGCTGAGACAGGTTGTTAGCCAAGGTGATCCAAATAACATATACTCAAAAATCAAGAAAGTTGGTCAAGGTGCTTCTGGTAGTGTATATGTTGCAAAAATATTAGACAATGGACAGAAAGTTGCAGTGAAACAGATGGATCTTAGTGCACAACCAAGGAAAGAGTTAATTGTCAATGAGATCTTGGTGATGCAGGAGAGTCATCATGCTAATATAGTCAACTTTTTAGATGCTTACTTGATAAAAAATGGAGAACTTTGGGTAGTTATGGAGTACATGGAAGGTGGAGCATTAACAGATATTATAGATAACAATGAGATTGAAGAGGATCAAATAGCGTGTATTTGTAGGGAGACGTGTAAGGGATTGAACCACTTACATCAACAATCAATCATTCATAGAGATATCAAATCAGACAATGTCTTGTTGGATTCACAAGGACATGTAAAGATAACAGACTTTGGATTCTGCGCAAAGTTATCAGATCAAAAGTCAAAGCGAGCAACGATGGTAGGTACACCATATTGGATGGCACCAGAGGTGGTCAAGCAGAAGGAATATGGTGCCAAAGTAGATATTTGGTCATTAGGTATAATGGCAATAGAGATGATTGAGCAAGAGCCACCATATCTCGATGAGGAGCCATTGAAAGCGCTGTATTTGATTGCAACGAATGGAACACCAACTCTAAAGAAGCCAGAGAGTTTAACAAGAGAGTTGAAGTCCTTCTTGGCAGTTTGTCTTTGCGTAGATGTAAAGTCAAGGGCAGCTGCAGATGAATTGGTGAATCACGAATTTATGCAGAAATCGTGCGCGTTATCTGGATTAGCGCCATTATTAAGGTTTAAAAGCAAGCAGTAATTGACTTTAGCTGACGGAAGTAATTTTCACTAGTACATTTCTTGATTTTGATTGTGTCATTTGATAATGTAAATACGATGATTATACCTTTTATACATATTTATCGTTGTTTTATACATTTCTCTTTGTTTCACTGAGTCTTCTCTCTTGGTAACTAACGTTGAGGATGTATCGAGCAGCGGTGACCCAGAGTAGGCGATTAGGTGAGTTTTGAGTGTAGCATATGGCTTATATCAAAACTAAGATTTCATAGCCACTGAAGCTAATTCATCGCGCTTGAATACACCATTATTGAAGGAATACATGAAAGAGCAATTTCCTTCTTTGCCCGGTGAAATGCGTGAGGATACAGCGTTAAGGGCGGTAACACACAAGTCAATAGCTGGAGTTTCCGGGGATCATCAATCGAGGCTTAGTTTCTTAGGGAGAAGAACACTGCGCTTTCAGCTGTTAATGCACTTAATGGAAAGCGGGAAGAGCGTGAGGAATCACAAGTTTAGGTGCTTAGATACGCCTAGCCTTGGGGATTCTATTGGCAGGGATTGGGGATTAGAGAAGGTGATGAGATTCTCAACAAGTCAAGAGAACGGTATTTTCAAGGTTAGAGGATCGACAGTGGAAGCGCTGATTGGAGCAATATCACATGAATTTGGTCAAGACGCTGCTGGTAAGATATTCAAAACAAAAATATTACCCAGGCTTCAGTTTGAGCTTGAGGATCAGCCTACGAACACCACCACCACCAACACCACAGAATAACCCATGGATGAACTCGTTTATTCAATAAAACATAAAGAATTTGATAAGAAATATTATAAACATTTCAATTTAGATGATTTCAAGCCTAGGAATCTCCCTTTGACTGAATATACAGTCAATTGCTTGCTAGACTTGGATATTTCAAGCAATTTGCACTTTTTTATAGAGAATTACTTTATTCACTATCTTCGCAATGAGCTCGTGAGAAAGCTCCTTATAAAGCACTTAGATACACACACTGCTTCTCTTCTTATACGTGAATATCTCAACCAGAGCTCAATTAGCAATGACAGTAAACATTTTCTCATTGAAGTACTTCCTAGTCATGCCTCAACTATCTACAACATCCTAATTACTCACTTCAAGTCTGAATCATATCGTTTACAAACTTTGCAACTAATTTTCAGTCTAGTCAGTCAGCAGTCGATTCACTCACATCATCTTATATCCTCTGATCTGTTTCAACTCATCATACTAAGCAGCTTGACTGATAACGATAGCAGCGTCATCAGTCTCATTAGCTGCATTTACTCCATCTTACTTCCAAAATTCCCAATCTTGCTATCAAAGTATATACCAACATTCCTCGCATTCATCGGTAGAATTCTGGTTTGGAAAAGGCGTAAAAATGCATTCATTCACTCTGAAATCATAAATGAGATTGATAAACTGGCAGTGACACGTACACTCACTCTCAAGAATAAAGATTTCATTCAACTCACTCAAGATAGCAAATTCACTCCTTCCCCTTCACCTCTGTTTACCTTCATTTATGGTATTTTTCCAGCCAACACTCTCGCATTCTTACGGTCTCCGATTGAATACCTCAATTCTTTTGAATTCGACAACCCTTACGTTCAAGATATTGATCAGTGGTTGTTTGTAGATCTCATCAAGGCTCGCTCGCTTCCATTACTACGAACTCATCTCATACATCCATTCTTCCTCAAACACCCTCTCAATGATCCTCACTATGAGCTCACACAGACAAGCTGCAGATGGCCTGACACTGAATCACAAGCTATTCTTGCACAGTGCGCAGTGCTTGAGATCAACGCAGCAAGTATTGTTGAATATGGAAGACGTGTAGCTGAGGGAATTATAATCGATGGAAACACCCACCTCAATCAAGAAAATGCAGATCTTTCCCAACTAGACTCGCAGATCGATCAATCGGTTATCTACCTACCTGAATCGAAAGCTTTGCGTGAGAGCATCCACCGTGCGAGAGTGGAGAAAAAGGAAGATGAAGAAGGTGATGAGAGGGAGATGTTTGGAACAGATGACATCAAGCGTGACTACACGTACGAGCAGTATATTAAAGGACAACTGTTGATGAGATTGGGTCAGTTACATAGACGTAGATTGGCAGAAGCACGCGATGAAGATGCCCAACAGTCTTTGTACATACATCTCCGCGAACTCAGCTCCAGGTTGTCACAAGCACAGGCTGCTCTGTCTAACGCTCGAAGCGAAGCAACTAAAACTCACTCACGTCATGTTACATGGACGGACGAGCTACAGAAGAAAGTAAAGTATTTCCGAGAAGAGAAGAAGAACTGGGATGCAGAAGCTGTTGGATTAAGAGGCGAACGTAGTGCAAGTGAAGAGATTATTCGTGTTAATCTAGGAAGACTGGCTGATTCAGGTAATCAAATATTCGAGCTTGAGAATCAGATCAGAGAGTGGACACCTAAAATTGAGGAGTTTGGCAAGTTACAAGAGCGCAACAAGGAGTTGATGAATCTTTTGGCAGATCGGTGGGTTGGCGTTGTGAGGGAAATGTGCATGTGCTAACATAACCCGACAGAGACGATGATCTATTTAGACACGACGAGCAAAGACGCGAAATGCAGCTACTCTTAGGTAGGTTTAATGTGCTCAAGACAATGACAAAAGCAGAGCGAGATGCACGAGTCGCGGCAGAGAACGAGGCTCGTAAGTCGCGCAATGAGAGCGATCAGCTGCGTTTTAAGAACGAGCATCTGGAGAGCAGGTTGACGGAGCTACTTGAGAGTAGAAACCGCAGTCAAGTGAGGGAAACACCGCAAGTTAAAGAAGTACATGTCCATCCACTCCAGAATACAGATTTGCCCGAAGAGGTGCTCAATTTGAGAGCTACAGTTGAGAGGCTGGAAGGAGAGAAGAGGGAAGCATTTTTGATGAATCAGAATCGCGAAGAAGAGTCGAGTGATGAAGATGTTACATTTGTTCGAAGGGATGGGAGTAAGTCACCACCGATGCGCTCCCCAGTGGCGCCTTCAATCAATTTGTTTCCAGCGTCGTTGTCGAATGCATGGACACAGTCGCAGCCAAATACTCCATATCTAGGTGGTAATTCGGTGTTGTCAGGAGGACATCAGACAGGCGCTAGTGGTACCAACAATACTAATCAAACGAACAACAATACTCACCGCCGCACGCGGCATGTAAGGTCGCCGACGCTGTCGTCTGCCCCGTCTGTGATTGCCGGACTGGGGCTAGGACCACAGAGCAGGGATTCAAGTGGGGAGCGTAAGGCTTCAAATTGAAAGATATAATGGCGTGTATATTGAAAAGAAATTGTATTATTTAGAGCGTATATTTGCACACTTGTGCTCTGACGACGATCATAAAAAATGATGGCAACTCGGCAAGCAGTGAGAGCGGTGAATCTGCGCAGTTTATCGACGTCTGTATGCAGTAGCAGTAGTAGAATTGCAGTTAGAGCGCCGCCAGTCGAAGCCAAAGGGAAGCGTAGCGTGAATAGCGCAGAGAATATCACAGAGAATATCACACAGGAATCTTCTTCACTGCCACCATTTAACGCAAAGGAATGGGCTTCGTCGGTGCCCGTGCGTGAATCTTCTCTCGTGGCTCTGGGACACAGACTCGGACTGAGTGTCGAAATTGACGAAATAGAGAAGGCGTGCACTCATGCGTCATTCAGCGAGTCATCCAACAACGACGAATTACAATCCATCGGCAACACATTCCTTGGACTCGTTGCAACTGAACACCTCCACCTCACCTACCCAAATCTACCACTCAAGCCGCTCAAAGCAGCTGTCAGCATGCTTGTTGGTCCCAAGACTTGCTCTGCTGTTAGTCGGGAGTGGGGTGCGCACTCGTCGCTGAGATGGAGACGCGAATCAACCCACGGCCTTACTCTCCACGAAGACGCCATGGCTAGTCTGAGCAAGAGTGTCGTTGGTTTGGTACTCAAGCATGGAGGTGTAGAGAAAGCCTCTCACTTCGCCAAAGCTTTCTTCCTTTCCCGCTCCCTCGACCTTCGCTCACTCCTCAAGTTTGAAAACCCAGTAACCATAATCAACCAGACTGCCACCAAGTTTGGCTACAGCGGAGTAGATGTGAAGTTGCTCAAGGAGACAGGAAGATATACGCAGTCGCCCGTTTACATTGTCGGCGTATTCGCTGACGATAATATCCAACTCGGTGAAGGATTCGGATCTTCGCTCAAAATGGCTAAATATCGCGCTGCTACTAACGCACTGCACCAGCTTTATCTCCACGTACGTCCAGAAGTATCACTGCCTAGCTCCACCCTCTTTGAAAATGGTGCGTATAAATCCGCTCCACTCGGTAAGAGTGAAGTGTTGTTTAAATCTGCATAAAATTTCTCGTCCAATAGATGTTCTTCCTTACTATACTAGTGTTTATGTGAGTATTTTCCGTTGCACGCTGTAATGCTTTTATGTACCCAGGAATGCAACTGGTATGAAGCTGAGAAGGAGATATTGTTGGGTTCTTCCTGTCATGTCAAATTGGAGGATCAGGCTGCGTGAACATATTACAAATGGGATTAGTCGCAGGTGCGACGCTAGAATTGCGGCAAGCCAAGCTCACGTAGTAGCAGGGGTAATGGGAATGAAAATACAAGCGAAAGTCGTGATAGCTTAAATCCGTGGGTGGATAACAATATCTACATTGTAGTATCCCTCACACACAAACCAGGTTGATCGTTTGTCGCAGAGTGTAAATAACACAATCCCACTAAACATACAAGTCGATCTAATGCAGACAAAAGCAAAATAGTCCATCTCCTCATATTCTTCTCAGCATGGTGAGTGAAATTGAGGTGGCGACGTATGTCTCACTTATATGAGAAAAAAAAAGGTTCTGCTGGCTGATGGACGCTTATGATTACTTCAGCGTAAGTCTGTCGAGTACTTCCATAGGTGAGAGATTCGGGAAAGATTCGACGCAAGTGACTACTGCCATAACGCTCACCTTGCTGCTGAGGCCCGTGGGGGCGTTAGTAGGCGGAATTCTCTCTGACATGTACAACCGCAAATGGGTTCTCGCTACAATAATGGTCGTCGTCGGTGCACTCAGTCTAGCCACTGGATATTGCGACACCTTCAGTGCGTTTCTCGGCGTTCGAGCGCTTTTCGGTGTTTGTGAGTGGAATGGGACTTTTTGAGGAAGGGTCATGAGTTCTCACACGCAACAGTCATGGGAGGTGTCTGGGGCCCTGCTGCTAGTCTGTCTCTTGAGAATCTCCCGAGGGAAGCGCGGGGATTGTTCAGTGGTGGGTGAGCGAGACGATCGGCGTGAGCATGTATCTCAACACAAACACCACCAGGCATATTCCAACAAGGCTACGCATGCGGTTATCTCGTTGCCAGCTGTGTCAATCTCGGTTTGGTGCCAAGTGTGAGCTTGAGTGGGGGTGCTAACTACCGTGCCCTCTTCTTCCTCGGCGCTGGACTATCGTGGTTAGCAGCAGCGATTCAAGCAGCTGTGCCAGTGTCACGAGTACATAACAGCAAAAGTAAAAGTAATAGCGAGACCAAGACCAAGAGTAAACTCTTCCAACACCTCTGCACTATCCTTCGCACCTACTACCCGAACATCCTGCTGGCGATCTGGTTGATGATTCTCTTCGCCTTCTTCTCGCACGCTTCGCAAGATCTCCTGCTGACCATGTATGTGCAATCGAAATGTTTCTCCAACTTCCGAGCCACACAGCTGGTCATAGTCGCCAACACAGGCAGTGTAGTTGGAGGAGTAGTAGGTGGGATCATGTCGCAGAAATTAGGCCGCAGGTTGACTGTAGTGGTGTGCAGCTGCATTGCAGGCGCTTTCATACCGCTATGGGTCGTGCCTTCGTCCTTCAACGGCGTCGCGGCAGGTGGATTTTTCGTGCAAATTGGCGTGCAGAGCGCGTGGGCTGTCGTGCCTATCTACATGAATGAGCTGTCACCACCAAATGTGAGAGCGCTGTTTGGAGGCCTGGCTTATAATTTGGGTCTGATGGTGTGTTTCAGTTCCAAACTGTCATTGCTCACCTCGCTCACTCTCTTGTAGGTGGCGTCTGGCTCTTCTCAGATCGAATCTAGGGCAGGCGAAACGCGCATGATCGAGACTTGTGGAAGAGTGCACGAGGATTACGCTACAGTTAGCGGTATCTTTGTCGGGATTATCGCTGCGCTGCTCATCATCACTGCTCTCCTTGCTTGGGAGAATAAGGGGAGAGATCTGAATGGAGGGGGGCATGACGATGGGCAGGCCGAGAGATACGTGGTTGATAAGGTAGATGCGGTGGATGGCCAGATGACGCCCAAGTCAAGTGGAAGTGGAGTGAAGACGAAGGTTGGCGATCCAGAGGAGAACTAGTGAGTGTAAAAGTGTAGTCAGTATGAGTGAGTGTAAGACATGAAAATTTCGTTATTTCAATATTTGATAGCTACTCAAATGAGATTGGTGTATAGTAGCATCTGAGTGAAGTCTTGGTAGGATACAGAAGTGTTGTTAGAGGTGGACACCATAGACATCATTTTTGTCGCCTGTTGTGGGATGGTGAATGAGAGTATGAATAACGAATTAAAGCTCACCTGCTCATCACTAATCTTTTCTTTAAGCGATCTGATAACGCGTTTCAAGTCGCTGAGAGAAAGAGTTGAGTCTTGAGTGACAAAATGAGGGTCTGGGAAGAAGAGTCTGAAGGTGTCCAAGCTGCTGTCGTGTTGTTTCTGGCTTACTTTCCTTTCACTTTTCTTGGAGGGTTTGTCATGTTCAACTAGATCGCTTACGCGATCACTCTCGGCGTCACTTGGATCACCCGGGTCACTCGGATCACTGAGATCATCGTCGCCTGGTTGAAGCTTGTATGCATCCACGTCGTCGTCATCATCGTCCATTTCATCACCTTGCAAATCCCTGTCTGCATCTCTCTGAGCAACGAGGACTGCTGCCACCGAAGCGAAATCTTGCCAGGGGATAGTGCCAATATCGTTGTCGTCTGCATCACCACTCCCCCACCCTAAGGCCGCTTGCTTAAAAATGTCTAACACTTGCTCATCATTATCGTCGAGATTGAGAGAGCGCAAGATGGGTCTGATGCGGGAGAACGGGAGAAGGGATGTTGTATCAGGCTCATCAGGCTCATCATCAGATTCAACGATGAAGCCACCTGGGTTATCAGAGGGCGTAATATCCATGCTTTTCCTATCGGCGCTCTTGTTCTTTGTAAAATCATTGAAGGCGCTGTGTATCTCTCTGCGCTGTGTGGCACTCAGCCTACGCCAATCGCTGTCGAGATGATCAGGAGAAGGAGAATGCGGGAGAGTGCTGCGAGTGTTAACCTGTGAGCTATTTAGTATTTATCTAAATGACGCGATTAGAGTTATCTGACCATCGTTGTAAGGACACAACCATGGCATTGGTCAAAGCCCACGACAAAGACTGGCAATTGGTGTTGTGAGGGATTATTACATTGGCTGAATCATATTAAATTACTTTATGGCAGATCAAACACCTCTAATCAGATAGTACTCTACCATCCACCCACGAAATCACTTAAAGTTACTCAATCACTCAACCCACAAACCCAACACGACTCAATCTGCCCCAATTGTCTACGCCCGATGCAGCCAGATCCTGCCGATGATATTCCACCTACCACCAACTACTTCCGCTTGCTTAGTGAGCTTGAAGGTGCGCGTACACCTCCTTATACGAAAACATACCAGAAACCACCATATCAGAAGCGTAATTCGATAGCAGATGTTCAGCCAGCTAAAGCAGATTCCCCTCGTAATCCCACTCACTCTTACCACTCGCACGCACATGACGTCACATCACGCGTCGACGGCTATTATGCGAAATTCTTCGTCGAATTGCGGCAAATAGGTCGTGGTGCATATGCCAGTGTACATCTCTGTCAGCACACGCTGAACGATAACGCACTGGGTCTATATGCAGTGAAGAAGGTGGCTGTCGGGCTGTCCTCTGCGTACCTCACCAGGGCACTGCAGGAGGTAAAGCTGCTCGAGAGTCTGCGCCACCCGCATATTGTCGACTACCACCATTCATGGGTCGAGTTGGCGACGCTCACCCAGTTTGGCCCTCGCGTTCCAACTCTCTACCTCCTCATGTCTTTTGCGAATGGCGGGAGTCTGGCTGAGCTGATATATGAGCGCCGTGGTGGGAATGCGGAGGGTGTGGATAAAGCACATTTGCCCTCCAACTCACATTCACAGTCACGCTCATACACAAATGAAAATTTTATTGCCGAGACACGCAAGCAACGGAGACAGAAGAGGCAGAACTCAATTCACTCGGCGCACTCAACAGATACTCACACCAACAATAACACTGATACCCCCGCCCCCACCCCAACACATCAACACCTCCGCAAAGAAGAGCTCCTCCAACTGCTCAAACACATCACTGATGGTCTCGACTTCCTGCACAGCAAAGGAATTATGCACCTCGATCTCAAGCCGGCGAATGTGCTGCTAAGTTGGGATGATGTTGGTGATAGCAGCAATCCTTCTGCTGTTCCTCGCGCAATGCTCTCTGATTTCGGCTCATCCTTGTCACTGGCAGGGGTTAGAGGAGGTAATGGAGATATCGACAAAGCAACGGCCCAACGTACAGGGCAGACTGGGACGATGGAGTATGCTTCCCCGGAAGCGTTGCACGTCGATGCAAACGGTCATCTCACGCAGCAGCACTCATTCACGCAGGACATGTGGTCTCTAGGGATGATAATGCACGAGATGATCTTCCTAGCTCTCCCTTGGCACACTGTGGGTGACTGTGGGGCGACGGACTACGACGTGCTTTCTGCGGAAATAGCCAATTATAGAGGGTGAGTGCTGTTTGTGCGGTTTTGGTTGTGGTTGCGGCTCACATGATACAGCTTCAGCGAGGAGGATGTTAGGCAGGCATCTCTCTCTTTCCCTCACCTCCCCATCTCCCTCTTTCGCCTGCTTGCCAAGCTGCTCAGTAGAGATTCGGCGCGTAGGCCTCTAGCGCACGCGGTGTTGGAAGAGGTGGAGTGGATAGAGAAAGGTATCGGTGTGGGTGGTTATGGCGCTGCTTATTCCAATCACTCTGCTGCTCACACTCACACTCACACTGCCAAACAAACACGCAAACTCCCTCCGCCACCGCGTATACTACCGCGAATACTGCCGGCAATACCATTGAAGGGGTTGTATATGGCTGGAGGGGTGCTAGTGAAGGTTTGTCTGGATATTATCGCTATCCACGCTAACACACACGCTACAGCTGCATTTAATCACCGAGAAAAGAAATATCTGGTGGAAGGTGTTGGTGACGCTGCTGATAGCGGTGGATGTGGAGAGTGTGAAGAGGAGTAAAAGCAGCGTGCTGGTGTTGCTAAGTACGCTGTTTTTGTATATAATAGTAAATTACTCGTGATTTATGTCTTGTTTAGTTTGCTCACAACGATGGTGAGCTAGCAGTTGAGACACGAGTTTGAATTGACAAAACCGCGTACAGACACCAACCAATGTACTCGGACTGCTGATGATGATTGGCAGTGGCGTTATATTCACCTACTACACGCTTTGGGTGTTTGTGACTGTGTGTGGTGTGTTATGGGTGTGCAAATAGGCTAACTCGCGTGTAGCCAGCTATATCCGCACACAGCGCAATACAGGCATACTTCCCAGACAGATATTGGGCAGTGAGGATACCCGCGGGGCTATTGCTGCTGGGTTTATCCACGGTTGGGATCTTTGCAAGCTACGTGGTGTATCAGGAATCGAGGAAGAGGGCAAATCAAGGAATAAAAAGAAGCTAATCAAGATTAAAAGAGAAAGAAATATAAATACATATACTAAAATACAAATTAGTTACTTTGAGCCAGCTGAATTGGCTGGCTGATTCGTAGGCTGCTGGAATGGATTCCCCTCGGTGTTTCTACAAGCGACGATCTTAATCTTATCGGAAGTGAGCAGCTCCCCTTGATCGACCTTCATTTGAGGATTTTTTACGATAAACGTCCAAACTTCATCGCAGAGGCGGTAAGTGTGGAGGTGTCCCTGTATCGGTGTGTTAGAAGGGCTTTTATAACAGCCAATCAGCCAATCAGACAATACACCGCTTACCTTCATCTGCGTCTTGTTCTTCACTTGATTCGATAGAGCATCCATCATCGACTTATCAAACTGCAGAAACGCTCTGTTAGCCACAGCCACGCAACACACGCCACTCCACGCCCACCTGACTCAAAACCTTCATCGCCAGCTGTGGGTTTATGTGTCCAGACGTTATCAGCTCATCCAGCGAGTCTGTCAGCGCTATTCCGATGCTTACGGAATTGTTAGTTTCGTACACAGCACTCTCAACAACGCACCTCGATCTTCTGTACAGTTCAAAGTAGTTCTGTGCGTTGGCCATGATGGTGGCATCACTACCTTGTGTCAGCCAGACATTGTGTGGTCATTTTTTATTTTTATTATCCGCCATTTATTTTCCCTCTCTCTCCCCAACGTCCATCTTCTCTTTTCTCTACACTCCTTCTCATGCCCAAAGACAGCCTTGTCAACGTCATCGTTACTGGCGCAAATAGCGGTGTCGGTTTTGGTATATCCCAGCGGATCCTGTCGCAAGTGAGCAGCCAGCGGGCGACCGATGTGGGAGGAGATGGCAATCATACCAGCGACGATAGCATCTCCCCATTCCTCCACCAGGCCAGAAGAAGGGGGCTTCGATTAATCCTAGCGTGCCGGTCGCAGTTGAGGGCCGAAGGCGCGATAAAGGTGCTTCAGCGGGAGTATCTTGACGCACACGCCAGAACTGAGAGCAGCAGCACACACATCACCCTCCAATACGAACACTGCGATCTGAGCAGCGTGCAGTCTAGTCGCGCGTTCGCGGAGCGTATCAAGTCCAACTACACCTCCATAGCCTCTTTAATCTGCAACGCCGGCGGGGGTACTTTCTCCGGTATAGACTGGGTGGGAGCGACGGTGCAGATGCTATCTCACCCTCTCGCTGCCGTCACGTACCCCACCTACAAGCTACAATCGCACGGCGCGACCTCGTCGGACAACCTCGGGTGGGTGTTCCAAATGAACATCTTCGGGCACTTTATCATAGCGCGCGAGCTGACTGCATTGCTCGAAGCTGAGTCGCGCACTCAGCCTACGTCCATCCTGTGGATGTCCAGCCTCGAGGCTAGCAAATGTGCCTACGACTTAGAGGGGGATTTCGACATGCAGCGCCACGCTTACTCGTACGAAGCATCTAAATACCTCACTGAGGCACTAGCGATCGGACTCGATGAGGAGCTCCGTGCAAGTCACAGTAGCACGCGCTCAGTCATCGTGCATCCGGGTGTCGTGTGGTCGAGTATCTTCTACGAGCATCTAGGTGTCCTGCTGGATCTGCTTATGGCTCTTGCTTTCTACATGGCCAGGTGGTGCGGTTCCCCCCACCATTGCATATCGGCTTTCTTGGGCGCCCTCTCCACTACACATGTCCTCCTCAATCTCGATCACATCAAAGCCCAGCCTGCCAGATACGCCTCTTGTTGCGATAGGTGGGGACACCCTTATGTCGTCACGCAGCCCTCAGTCGTCGCGCAAGAGGGTGATGTGAGTGTATATGCGCGCAGTGCTGTTCGCAAATGCGATGAATTATATAGACGGTTTTTGTAAATAGACTAAATACTCGCAATACTTGAAATACTCTAGTTATATGAGATGGCCAATCTTCTTCTCAAACCATGGCTCGTAGGTGGTGAAATGGTGCGAGTAGGACTGGGGCGCTAACGAGCAGCTACTGCAGCACTGAGGATAGGTTATGTTCCGGAGTGAGTAAAGTGAAAGTACGAGTGAGCGATCAACTCAAGTGAATCGCAGGCACTTTTCATCACCGCTTCTGCAACTGGGTGAACGCGACGGCGGTGCAACGTTCGTTCTGGTCGAGTGTCCGAGCGGCACAGGCCAAATAATGAGCAAGCTCGCTGCGGGCGAGATCGACATATCGATAGCGTTAACCGAGAGTCTTCTGGCAGGACGAGTGCGCGGTAATACCACATTTGAATTGATAGGCACGTACATAGAATCTCCACTCAACTGGGCAGTCATCACTGCCGCTGACTCGCCTTACTCCTCCCTCTCCCAACTCCAAGGAACCACGTTCGGCATCAGTCGGGCGGGATCTGGGAGCCAAGTGATGGCGAATGTGATGGCGCTCGAGAAGAAATGGTCCGAGAAACCTGATTTCGCCATTCAGGGCACTTTCGAAGCTCTCCGCGGGAGTGTCAATGATGGCTCTACTAGTGCTTTTATGTGGGAGTGGTTCACTACCCTCCCATACGTTAAGAGCGGCGAGGTGAAGTTTGTCGGTAATCAACTCACACCTTGGCCCAGCTGGAGCATTGTGGCTGGTGTACATGTGGATCATACCCAAGCAACTGCCTTCCTTGACGCCCTAGACGACGCTGTCAGACTGTTCGACAAAGGTAGATCTGATGGTAGCGCTGTGCAGTATGTGCGCGATACTTTCGGCTATGATAAGGATGACGTGCAGAAGTGGTTGGATGGCGTCACTTACTCTCAGAATCACCTCCGCGTAGTCAGCAAGAGCGTTGTGGAGAACACCCTTAACACTCTTGTCGACGCCAACGTTATTGAGAAGCAGGCTGAATGGGATATCGCTTCTCATGTTAATACAAAGGTCGCCAAGCTGGAGTAATTACTTATTAAGCATATGTATTCTAGTACAATGGTGGTCATTCTTGTCTATAGTGTGTGCTATTTACTGCACACTTCCAGCTAATAATTTACATACTCCCGCGCTGATTATAAAACGCAACGGCTCTCAGCCAAGCTGGGTGAATAGCAGAGACAGTGCGCGCATAAGTGGCCGTAGTGAGGGTAAGTTCGCTGTACATAATACACGGCGCTTTGCGCTGCAGGAGGCAGCTAGTGGGGTGAATCTTGACCAACCCCTGATTGACTATCTGTCGGTAAGTCCCATCACCCTGTCGAATAGCGACGTTATGAAACATGCCCTCGAGTACGCATTGCAAGATGGTTTCATCATCTTGCGTGTGAGCATTTACACTGACATCCATACCCATTTTGAGACATTGGTGGGAGAGTTGTGAGCGAATGTCCCTCGCTCTACGCAGAGTGCGCTCGCTCAGCTTGTTAGCTACACACCACTCCTTCACGTCGCCAGTGCTCCCAGACTGTACGACATCCATGTACGCATCCCAGATATGCAGCAGGGATATATGGTCACCGTGGCGACTGGCGAAGCGGTCGCGTGTGTGTTGCTGTTCCTCCTGCTCCTGCGAAGCAGATGTAGCTGTGTAAATGGGCGAATCTACTGCGAGTAGTGCACAGAGACTGAGCAACGTCCCAACGCACTCGCGCGTCTGTGCAGCTAGTAACATCCTCGCTATACCAGGATCTAGTGGCATCCCAGCAAGTTTCTTACCCACCTCCGTTATCTCCCCCCGTTCATTCACAGCACCCAGCCCGAACAGATTCATGTGCGCTTGCTGCATTGCCTCCTCGCTGGGCTCATCGAGCCATTCAAAATTGCGGAACGTCTCCTCTGACACCGCCTTGAGTTGTAGTATGGCAAAATTCAAATTTGTTCGCTCAATCTCCGGTGGTGTAGTGGGGGGTAGAGACAGGAAGGTTCTTTCCGTGTAGAGTCTATAGCACGTACCCGCGGATTCACGTCCTGCTCTTCCTGCCCTCTGCATAGCCGACGATTTAGAAATTGGTTTCACAAATAACGTATCCACTCCTATACCGCCGTGCGAGGAATAGTACTTACGCTCGCGTGCTAGTCCGGAATCTATTACATGACGGACTCCCGCTATTGTAATACTTGTCTCAGCTACATTGGTAGCGAGGATTATTTTACGCGTGTTTGCTGGTGCATTGACGAATACTTTCTGCTGCTGCGCGGGCGAGAGAGAGGCATAGAGACGCAGAATGGATATGTCATGCTTGAGGGGAGCGCCGTCTGCGATAAGACTGATAGACGCTCCGAGCGTATTGATTTCTTCCTGGCCAGGCAAGAAGACCAGTATGTCGCCGGGCAGCGGCTGGGTCTGGTGTATCTGAAAAATCGTCTTGAGTGCTCCATCAACGTAATCTTGTATATCCTCGCGAGCATTAAATATCCTCACTGGATGTTGACGACCTTTGACATAAAGCACGGGTGCGTTATAGAACCGCGCAAATTTGTCTGCATCCAGCGTTGCACTCATCACCACCACCTTGAGTGGGGGCAGGGCAGCTGAGTGACGACGACGCATTATTGACTTGAGTGTACCGATGATAAGATCAGTGCGGAGGGTGCGCTCGTGTGCTTCGTCTATAACAATCACACCGTATTGAGACAGCAGCTCATCTGAGAGTAGCTCGCGCATGAGCATACCATCAGTCATGTACTTGAGTCGCGTGCCTTTCCACGACATATCATCGAATCTGACACTGTAACCGACAAGACTACCTAGTTGGGTGCCTGTTTCTTGTGAAACGCGGTGAGCGAGGGACACGGCAGCGACACGACGGGGTTGAGTGACAGCTATTTTACGACCACTACCAATTCCACTCTCAAGGAGAAATTGAGGAAGTTGCGTTGTTTTACCAGAACCAGTCTCGCCGAGAACGACGATGATGTCGTTGTTGTGGACAGCATCGATGAGCGCTTCACGGCCTGAGTGTGTGTGAGTGGTGGTACACAATCTGCACGCTCAACGCACCTGTCCAAATAGGCAGCTGTTTCCTTATTTCGAGCATTCGGTTGCGTTGTTCAATGTCGACCTTCTTGTGCGCTTTCCGACGAGCTTTATGGGGGGAATTGGTGGAGTCATGAGTGGAGTAATGATTACTATCGCGTGCACTGTCGCGTATACCATCATCCATGCCATCTGCGTCAAAGTAAATCCGTTTCTTCTTCGACGGAGATGAGACAGATGAGGCAAATGGCGGAGCAGAACCTTTCACCGGAGACGTCTCACGCTTCCCGTTTGTCTCCTGCTTATTTCCGTCGCCGTCGAATTTAATTTTCGCCATCGACGTCCTAAACAAGAAGGTCTTCTCTCTTCCCAAGTAGAACGATATGTTCAAAAGAGCAGCTAAAAGGCAGAAACGCTCAGAATTAGAGGATAAAATTGGACTCGCAGAGGGCTTGAGAGGCGCTGTGTCCGATTCAGACGAGTCTGGCAGCGATAGCGAGGGAAGTGAGGGGAGTGAAGACAGCGAGAATGACAGTGAGAATGGCAGTGACGATGGCAGTGAGAATGACAGCGAGGACAACGACGACGAAAAGATCGACGACGACGACGTGGACGAGAACGACGAAGAAGACAGTTATTCAAGTGCCTCTGAGCTAGAGGATATCACCATCCACAACGCACTCACTTCACCTCTGTTCAGCGAATATCCCCATAAGCGTTGCGCTATTTGCCCAGGAAGGCTGTTTACAGCGGATAAATTTGGAAACGAGCATCTCAAATCCAAGGCTCACAACAGGCGTATAAACAAGTTTAGACAGTTCATCAAAGATAATAACGTGGATACAGACGACGATGTCCATGCTTATATTGATACATACAACGAGCAGCAAGGCTCAATGCCAAAACAGAAATCTAAAAAGGAAGAAAAACGCACTAATCAGGCTAAGATTGCAAAGGAGAAGCGCTTGCTGCGTAAACTACAAGCACAGAAAACACTGCCAGTTCCTTTGGACGAAGTTGAGAAGAAACACGTCGAATCGGATATGAATGAGACAGGTACCCAGGAAAATATGGAGGCTAAGGAGGCCAAGAGAGTGCTTAGACGTGAGCGTAAGAAAGCAAACAAGGCCAAGTATGCAGATGAGCGGCGGCGACTTGCTGTTAGTGAGCAAGATGAAAACAAGGGCAAGAGAGGACAGAACAAGGACAATGCAGGTAAGAAGGATAAGAAGAATAAGAAAGGTTCAGTAAAGACAGATAGTGCTGGCAAAGCTGATAAGAAAGACAAGAAGGAGAAGAAAGTGAAAATTGATGACAAGTCATCGGAAAAGAAGGAAAAGAATAATGACAAAAATACTACAAGCGAATCAAAGAAGCGTAAAAGTAAAAGTTTAGAATGATTGCTTGTTTTGTTACCTTTATACAATCTAACTTGTGAAAATATTCATTTGCACCTTTCGCGGTGTGGAGGACAGTCGGAGACTTGAAATTAGCTGAAATAGGATATTCAAATGATGTAAGATTGCGTTACATAATTACTTTACCTTCAAATAACCGGGTATCCACCACCGGTTCACCGCTTGTAAACACCGGTTGTGAGATGAATATATTATATTATTAGCAAACGCTACCCAGCCTAAAAGAAGGCAGTTCCAGCCAGCAATGCAGACAGAAGATCTCTTAATTCCTGTTTTTGTATTTAGGGTCTTTGAGGTCTCAACCCTGTCGGTTGTGTATAAACGGTCATCATGTCCTCGTTAAACACAGCACTTACAGAATTATTGAATATCAAGCACCCAGTTATGCTCGCGGGAATGAATGTTGCAGCAGGTAGCAAGTGAGTTGTTCTGTGGCTGAGACACACGTGACAAGCCAACGAATCCACAGGCTCGCTGCTGCTGTGACTAATGCTGGCGGTATTGGAGTCCTCGGTGGTGTGTGGATGTCTACTCATACCCTAAAACCCCCTCTTAGACATCCTCAGGACTCGGCTACACGCCTAAGAACCTCCAACACCAAATAGACGAGCTCAAATCATCGCTCAACGACAAGAACGCCCCCTTTGGCGTCGATTTACTTCTCCCTCAAGTCGGCGGATCGGCACGGAAGACAAATTACGACTACACAAAGGGACAGCTCCCGGAGTTGTTAGATGTTATAATTCGAAACAAAGCAAGTCTCTTCGTGTGCGCTGTTGGCGTTCCACCCAACTTTGCTGTTGAAAGGCTCCATGAGGCTGGTATACCCGGTGAGAAGTCATGCGATACAACCGACCACATCTAATCAACGACAGTTGCGAATATGATCGGGCACCCAAAGCACGCAAAGAAGGCGATCGACGCTGGTGCTGATATACTCATTGCTCAGGGTGGAGAGGGTGTGTATCGTGATTGATTTGCTCATCTCATTCAAACTGAATGACAAATTGCAGGTGGCGGCCACACAGGAGACGTACCAACCAGCGTTCTTATCCCTACCGTCGTAGAAGCCGTCCAGGGCACAAAGAGTCCCCTCACAGGCAAGCAGATCCAGGTCGTAGCTTCTGGCGGTATCTACAACAGCAAAGGATTAGCAGCAGCTTTGTCGTGAGTAGGAGTTTTCTGATTGACTCTTTTTTCACATTAGCAGATATGGCGCTTCGGGTGTCTGGGTCGGAACACGTTTCGTTGCGTGTGCGGAAGCCGCTGCACCCAAAATACACAAGGATTTGGTACTAAAGTCGACATGGGATGACAATATTCGCACTCTCATCTACACGGGCAGACCATTGAGAGTTTACGGACACGATTACGTAAAACACTGGGAAGAGGAAAGGCGCGATGAAATCAAGGAGCTCACCTCGAAAGGTCTAGTGCCACACGAAGTGGAGCTTGAAAAGAGACCTGAGATCTCTGCAAAGACGAGAATGTGGCTGATGGGCAAAGTCAGCGGATCCATCGACAAAGTTGAGACTGCGCAGGAGATTGTCGATGAAATGGTACTTGGCGCTGTTAAGATTATCAACGATAACGTCAAATACCTCACCAAACAAGCCAAACTTTGAACAAAGTTTTGTAAGATATCTTGACGAATATTTTCACGATAATGAATTGATTTGGATCGGATTTGATAGACCGGCTGACTGACTGTGTATAGCTGCATGCATACGTTTACGCGTAGCATAAAATGTATTTTTCTTGCGCAAGCTGCCCAAAGCGGAACACGAATAAATTATGTACGTCATAGGCCAGCTGGAAACTACCCTCATCCAAATAATATCTCAGGTACCTCTTAGCGATCTTCCAATGCGATCAATAAGGATATGCGTACTAGGCGCAGGCGCGGTAGGCAAGTCGTCCATGACGGTAAGATTCGTGCACGGTTCATTCTACGAGAATGTGAGTGTAGCGTGCTATATATTGTAATATAGCCAAATAGCTATAATGGTTGAGGCAAAGCTAACGGGTAAACGCAGTATGATCCAACTGTGAGTGTTCCCGCCCCTCATAGAAACCCAAATTCACGCCTGCACGTGCAGATCGAGGACAGTTTCACCAAGATAGCCCAGGTGGAGCAAGGGAAGCCGTGCAGAATGCAGATAACGGATACAGCGGGTGTTGAGCAGATGGTCTCTTTACGTGAATCGGTTATACGCGAGAGCAGTGCGTTCTTGCTGGTATTCGCGCTAAACAATCCTTCAACTTATCACGACTTGATGCCAATTATGGAGGATATCAAGCGAATAAAGGATACAAATGACGTTAAGCGCATTCCAATATTACTTTGTGGTAATAAAGTGGATTTAGGATTTGAAAGTACGTGAAAATGAATCAAGTTGTGAAGCCGGACTTACTTGGGACAGGGATGTTTCCAGCTGATTTCAAGCCTACGGGGGCATTGCAAGGTCTAAGCTACCTAGAAACATCAGCTAAGCTTGAAATTGGCGTTGAAAAGGCGTTTATGGATCTGGCCAAAATGTATATAGACGCGAGAAAGCATCGCAAGCGGAGGCACAGGGAGAGAAGTCGAAAAGGCTCAAAGAGCAAATGTATATTAATGTGACTGTACTCTTAATTTTCATGCAATGGCCTGAGCACAGTCTGAGTGCACATACACATCTCAACGCATCACTCCCATCAGTTAAATATATAGATAATAGACGAATAAAAATTAATGTCGAGCAGTACAACGTTCTTCGTTCGCGCTGCTTACAATTACCAATCGCACGATTCCTCTTCTCTCCCCTTTGTAATCGGGGACGTAATCGAAGTATTAACGACGCTCGACTCGGGCTGGTGGGATGGTCTGCTGGGAAACGACAGAGGATGGTTCCCCTCAAATCACGTAAGTTTTAGTTTCAATTTGAGCCAATCGAGCCAGTTTGAACCACTTTGGACTTACGCACTGTTGCACAGGTCATAAAGATATCCGATGACGAAGCTGCCGCTCTCCTTGAACAGGATATTCTCAGTCCTCTCCCTGAATCTCAGAATATGACCCCGGACGAGTACTGGATACCGCAAGCAAGCTTGGATGGAAATATCTACTACTTCAACACTCAAACTGGCCAGCAATCACTAGAAATGCCCAATTCTGCTTATTTACCCACTTTCAATGGCTCCCCTTCTGTCGATCACCAGCAAAGCCCTTCAATCACTCCAACTAACCCTATTTACTCGCAAATGTCCACGGCCAATCCCACGTCGACCAACGTCACCAGAGAGTTTAGCTCCGATCTCAATAGCAACAGCTTCGATAACTTCGACTTACTCACTTTGAAAGATGACGACTTGCAAGTCGCTATTGCTCTTAGACCTGCCATTCAACCTTCTTTAGAAGACCTCTCAGCTCAGGCTATTGTCGCACTTGAGGCTCTCATCAACGCCTCTTCGCTCAATTGGACAGCTGAGGCATCTGCAATTGGTAGAAGAGACTCTGACATCGAAGGTCCAATCGACGAGCCTAACCCGTCAAATCTCAATGATTCAAATAACTCAAACGAAGATCAGCTTTCACAGCATAGACAGAATGTTCATTTCAAACAGTCAAATGAGATTGAAATAGCTATTGAAACTGCCACAGATAGTATCAGATCTGTTCTATTCAGCACTGGCATACTAAACTCGTCAGTTTCAATCAAATCACTCCCATCTTCGATTATATCACTTAAAGCAACGCAAAGACGACTAACCGCGGCTCTTTCGAAATGCACACTCACCTCTGAAGCAACTAAAAGCATTCTTTGCTTCTTACCTACTGATGAGTCAGGCCGCATTGTTAAAAAAGCTCTTGAGCAAATGAACGAGGACGTCGCGGATCTACAAAACATTCTGCAGGATTTCATCGAGAGTGCTTTGGATGTTAGAGATGGTTTGCCATCCAGACAGACACTCGCTGTGTTAGGACCACGTTCCGAATCGTTAGAGATCATGCACGTAACTACCGTAAGGAGAAGGAGAGATATGGGAAAACCAACTCTACTTCAGCTAGAGCAGTTGGGTGGCGATGCTAGAGAGGCTCTTCGGTCGTTAAATCAGTTCCTTGCGCAAATCAAGCAGGATGAAGAGGTTATATCGACAACAGAAATCAAAGAGGATGAAGAAGCACAGCCAGATTCAGACTTGGAAGTAGATCCGGAAATGAATGAACAAAGTAGATCTCAATCAACAAAGAGCAAGGAGAAGAAGGTAGAAACCAGAACAGTCAATAAACTTCCAGCTGAGCTTCTCCCATCCATACAATCTTGTTTAGTTACACTCACAAGATTTTGCAATTCGACTGAAGAGGTTGACGTTCTCCCTATGCTGGATTTCGACGGGCTACCGCCACCCACTCATCCGCCCGATTCACCTATCTTGGGACAAGATGTCACGACGAAACTGAGTGCCAACGACTCTCAATACATGAACTTAGTCACTAAAGCTCACTCTTTCTTGCACGAGTTCGAGAAAGCTAAGCTGAGCTTGTCGATTTCTTCAGGCAATGCCTTGGTGCAACTCCAGGATCTTATCAGTATGAATCTTGCTGAAATTGAAGTATGCGAGGCTCTGATAGGATGTATATCTAAAGACATATCCAAGATAGAGTCATCCTCATCTGATGTACTTGAAAGTCTGTTGTCTCTGGTTGAGATTGCGGATATACAATACCAACTAACGTCAAATGAGCAACTGTCAGGCCCTACGCAAATTGGAGAAAGATCATTACAGCTCTCCAAGTTGGAGGGAGGGCAATCGATCAGATCGAGCAAGAGTGCAGCTGGTGCGCCGATGGAGTCAGTCGCTGATGACGATAGTGATATCGGTGGAATGGAGCCAAGTAACAGTGGTGATCACACGAATCGACATGAATCAGATTCAGCTTCTAGTCCTCAAAGTCGCACTCATTCTCATTCTCAGACGACAAGTTCGCAGTATACAACACAGGTTGTGTCTGTGGAGGAGCTGCAAGAGCAGCACAAATTCGCGCAAAGGCAGAAGTTGCAGAAGCTGTTGGGAGAAAGCGGTCGTGAAAGTCTGCCAAGTAATACCGAAAATAACACCAACTCTAACTCAGCGTCACTCGGTAGAGTGCAACGCCCTTCACAGAGCTCGACAAATACGCATCAAACACACTTCTTGGATAGTGACTACGGTACCTCTCTCATACTCCAACCAAATGGAAGCGTAAAGGGCGGTACTGTGCCAGCTCTGGTGGAGCGTTTAACGACACATGAACATTCAGGTAAGCTGGTAGTTTTCAATGAGAGTTAGAAATCTCATAACCTCACAGATCTCAAATTCAGCAAAACATTTTTGATGACATACACTTCTTTCTCAACGTCTGAAGAGGTTTTTGATTTACTGATTAGACGATTCCACCTATGTCCGCCAGACTGGTTGGTTGAGAATGAAATCACAATGTGGCGGGAGAAAAAGCAGATGGTGGTCCAGCTGCGTGTTATCAACGTAATGAAGTCATGGCTCGAGCACCACTTTGACGAGAATAGAGATAACTACATACTCGAACGTGTTAGGCACTTTGCTGATTCTGATATACCAATGACCATAGTAGGACCGGTGCGCTACTTGAAAAAAATTGTAGAGAGGCGAGAATCAAGAGGCGGGCTGGAACCGAAGAAGATCATAACGGCTCAAAATTTCCCTCCACAACCTATTCTCCCTAAAAACTCTAAGAAACTCAAGTTGATGGATATAGATCCTTTGGAGATGGCTCGACAGCTTACAATTATTGAGTCACACAACTTCAACAGAATTAAACCTGATGAATGCCTCAATAAGAATTGGAGTGGTCCTGAGCATCTTAAAAAGCACAAAGCTAGAAATATTAGAACTATGATCCAACTTTCCAACAGACTGGCTGCGTGGGTTACCCACTCTGTTCTTGGAATGGGCGATGATTCTAAAAAGAGAGCTGCGATGGTGAAATGGTTCATCTATGTGGCTGAGAGGTGTAGAGCGCTGAACAACTTTTCGACCATGGCGGGTATCATTGCTGGTATCAACAGCCCTCCTATTAGAAGACTGAAGCGAACATGGGATCAGATGTCTCAAAAGGCGCTTAATATCCAACAGTCTCTCGATACTACAATCGACAGCACGAAGAACTTTGCTAATTACAAGCAACTTTTGCGCAATATCAATCCGCCCTGTGTACCATTTTTAGGTGTGTAAAGGTGTTGCATACCAAATATCACAAACTTACGTAACGCAGGTGTCTACCTAACTTATCTGACATTCATAACGGACGGGAATCCAGATTTCTTGAAGGATGCAGAAAGAGGAGGGCAGCAGCTAACCTCGCCACCAGGTGGTGGACCAGATTCTTTCCCTCTTGTCAACTTTGCTAAGCGTCAGATGGCAGCTGATTTGATTTCAGAGATACAGCAATATCAAGCAACGCCATACAATTTCACACCTATACCACAAATATCAAAAATAGTTTTACAGCAGCTGGAAGAGTCTGACAGCGCACCTGACGCGTTCCCAATCAGTTTGAAACTCGAACCTAGGGAGAGAGACGATGAGAAAATGGCTAGAATGCTGTCAGAGTCTGGCTTCTTCTAAGATTTGGCGGTTAACGTATGAGATTAAACTCTCTCGTTTGAACTTGTCTTGCGCTCACAAAATGCAAACGACTAAGTGTATACCCAGACTTAAGTTTATTTATAGAAATAACGGTGATAAATTAGTTACTTTTACATAGATTGTTAAGTGCGGTTAGATCGGTTAGTGTCATGAGTGCGATTAGTGCTCTACCCGTTTTAACAAGACTAATGGTTTCAGTGTGGCTTTCAGTTTGAGACAATTGTGCATGGCTACATTGAGCGGATCGGCGACTGCACTCTGGTCAGGCACGACTGGCAAGCTGCGCACTTCGACCATCCACACATTATCTTCATGTACGCGCTCTCCATTTACCTAGGGGAGGTTTAGTTAGTGTGCGTAACTCATAGACAGACACCGACACCGACATTATGGAGTTGGTAGACGCCGACTATGACGCCGTTGCACATATACGTATCGCCGCGCTTGCTGAATTCGTGATTCGGGTTGTATCCGAGAGCCTGCACAAACTCGACAGCATTGTGATTGGTATCGAGGGGCAAGTTGATAGTGGAGCGGATGAGAAGCTGTGGGTTGTAGCGAGACTTTTGTGCGTTAGTTGGGAAAGTGCGGCTATGGCTGTGCTATGTGATCAGCTCAGCTCGAAAGGCCAAACTCACCGCTGGTTCAGCTCTGAAAATACGCACAGCAGTCCTGGTGGCTTGTAAGAATTGCAAACCCTGCGCCACTTTACACACACGCACCACTTGGCAGACTCATCCGTCTCGTCAATACCCTCCCGCCGCATCACCATCCGTCCATTCGTCGTGTTGGGCCCAGCTTGCACACTCATTACTTTCTCGTGGCAGTGCAGATCACCATTCGCGTCGCATATCACCCGCAGCTTGTCGCGCACTTTGTCCAGTAGACTGCTGTCGAATGTGCCGAGAAGGACGCATTCATATGTGATGGACATGAGTGAAAGAGTATGTATTTTGTTGCAACAATTATATCAAAGAGGATTGGAGCACATTGAATGGGCAAATTAGAAATAGCACACCGTCCAGTGGTATGCTTAATTTTAGGCGCTGGCTTAGAGTGCTAGTGCACTCGCCAATACCAGCGCAGAAGCCATGAAAGTAATTGATGGGATCGCAGTTAGAGAACCGGAATCGCCGTCTTGTTCAGAGTCGTCGTTTTCGTTGCCGTCCGATGGCGGAGGAGAAGGAGTAGGAGTAGAAGTAGGAGTAGAAGTAGGAGTAGAAGTAGGAGTAGAAGTAGGAGAAGAGCTTGAAGAGTCTCCGTGTGTGCTTGTGTAGCTATGCAATTGTTTTGAGCTGGTTTTTGAGATGGAAGCAACGGAAGTAATTGGGCTAGAGTTATCGCTAGCCTCCGAGCAGTACTCGTTAGTCAAGCTGCTGAAATCCAGCCCAGCGTTCGATGCACACGTCTTGCAATCGTCCGACGCGCTTCTGAAAGCATCGCAGAAACAGCCGTACAGCTGGTGTTTCTGCTTGTTGCTCATGTTATCGATACTGTCTGAGTCGCTGTAGCAGTCATTCCGTACTGCGCTGTACAAGCTGCTGCACTCATTCTGGAGGCACTGCTCGGACGACTCCCCAAGGCTGTCCTGTCTGTGCAGGAGGTGTGCTGAGGCTGTTGCGCCGATCGCAGCGATTGATAGCAGTGCAGTGAGTTTCATTGTTCAGTTAGCAGTTGATTGACAGCAGTAAAAAAAAATATATGTGCCTCCTCACTTTCTTATCAGGTACACATTATAGGGGCGGACTGACCGTCTGGACAGCGTCCGCTAATTTGGCAGGTGCTGGAATATGTCTAATTATGTGAAATTACGTATTTATATCGCATTGAAACTATCGCAAGGCACTTTGCTCTATGGTCCAAGCTCACTGCTCCATTCCAGAGGACAAGAATAGTTCAATAGCTGGGATCGGAAAGGTGGATTGCATACATTAAGGAGCGCATTCGATGGAACATACGCACCTGACGTCCGAGAAACCGTTTCAGTATTTCTCCGCGAGTTGACCCATTCGCTTTGAAACATCAAACGGATGCCGCTTAATGAAACATTGATGTACAGAGGAAAAGTTCAGCAAAAATATTTAAAAAAAGAAAAGCTATTTGAGCATTCTCAGTGCTCAGCACTCTAAGTACCCCGTTCCAAGTCCCTGTCTGACACGGATGGTTTGAAGAGATGATGGAGCGTGTGTAAATCTGAGACGTGTTATGTGAGATTCATCTGCGAGAAGATGTCACCCTTCAAAGAAAGCTGCAGGGAATTTTGACATAACCCGACACAGCGAACAACCCTCGATTTGAATTATATCATCGAGCAATTGTTCTTGTACAACGGTCAATTGTGGAAACAAGCTGTACTTGATAGAAACGACGTGGAAATGGAATATGTCTTAATTTTGATTGTGATGGGAGTGTGGACTACTGTACAAGACATAATCTCACACTCGCAAAACTTCAGCTGATACAGCTTGCTTCACTTGAATCCAATCCAATCCCCAATTCGACTCAAAAGTTTATATCTCAGATTCTTGAGCAAATCGTCCATCGCGTGTGCTTTACTGTTTGAGATGGCGAAATAAATAAAATATAATTGTACAAAACTACTCATTGTCATTGTCATTGTCGTCTATCAGACAATCCTCAATCTCCTTGCGCATCTCTGATTCCGTCACTTTCTGTTTCTCGGCATACTCATCTGTCCATCCTGGCAGAGCGTAATTGACATGAGAACGGGCGCGCGAATCAGTGAGATTAGTGTAGCAGCCATAGCAGAGCATATCAGCTAGGGGATTACTCTCATCCTCTTCGCCCGCTAGTTTAGTTATTGCAATGCCATTTTTCCATTCATTCGCTTTAGCTCTGGCCGGCCAACCACACAGAGTACACAGCCTCTCACCCTCCTTAGTTTCACCGGCGAAAGATATCTTGTTGCCTGTGCGCGCCACTGTCGACACTGTCGAAGGAAAACCGCGTTCGAGCGACACGACGAGCTCCTCGGTTAGTCTATCAATGGAAGATTTAGGTGGAGAGAAAGTGGTAAAAGATCTGTTCACCACTGCTTGCGAGTGTGCTGGAATAGCGAACCGGTTGTAGTAGGCTATTTCCTTTGAGGAGGTGTTGAGAAGCGGCTGGTATACATTGAGACCATACTGAGTTGATTCAGGTTGCACTTCGCCAGATCCCACAGACCAGCCTCTGCCTCTGGACATGGAGGAGAGAAGCTTGATCGTTACGCGTGTTGCGCTCGTTCCCAAGAAGAGAGGCGCTGTGCTATCTTTACCGAGTAGGCTGTCGGCATGCTTTCGCGCTTCACGTAGGATAATGTGATGGGTGAGTAGAGCCAGATGCGATTCTTGTGATGATGTTGATAGCGTGCTGTCGAATAAATCCGCAGTGGGCTCAGACGCTGTTGCACTGGGTGGCTGGCCTGGCTGACCGGATAAATAGGCAGATATCGACGCTTGACTGCCCTTCCATGATTCAGAGACATCAGCCTCAATAATCTCAACTGAAGGAAAATCTTTGACCATGTCTTCTATGTGATTGCGAAGATTTTCAGCACCAGGGACGACTTTCGATTGATCGACGTAGATAACGACAAGCTTCTCAGCTGAGCCAGGCCTAATGAAACTACCTTTGCCTTTCCTCGGAGACATTTGAGTGTGGAGAAGCTGGAGAAGATAACGAGAGGAGGGACCACCAGAGACAGCTACGTAGAAGACAGGATGAACGTCGTTGGGTTTGAAGTTTGAGAGGAACCATTTGAGGAATTTGCCGGAAGTGGCGTAAACGAAGCATTCTCTGGTGGGGAATTGAGTGGTGGGTGGTTATGCGTGGATCAGACCAACCTGCAGTACAACGCGTGTCTAATTTGAATAACAGGCGCTGCAGTCTTGCACTTGATACATTGATTGTTCTTTGGTTTCGTACGACCTGGGATTAGGTTGTTGAGCATGGCTGGTGGGTATAAATGACTCAAGCTCACGCTCTGGAATATCAGCGCCCGGATCCTTTACTTCAGATTGCGGATTGCTGCAACTCATCCGAAAATAACTGTACGCAGTGGAATGTCGAGAGGCAAGAGCAGCGCAGGGGATACTCAAATGTATAAATGAATGGCGCATATAATTCGTAATATTTACATTTTTATTTGCACGCTTAGTCGCTCCTTGAACCAACTCTTTCACTTTCATCTTCAGCGCCGTAGCAGCAGCTGATTTTGTTATACAATCCACCCTAATATGCCAGAGGATACAACCCGGGCACCAAAACCAACGCACCTCAAATATGGTTGGATCGTTTACGCGCCTTTGATAGCAGCCGCTGTTTGGACTGCAGATCTTGTCGGTTTACTAGCTCTATGGGCCACGAACGACTACTATCGAATCATTAGCGGAGTGAGTTACCTATCAATACCCCTGGGTTAGTAATCTTACGAAGCTCAATCCGTCAGCGTGGTCTCGTAGTTTATATTAGTGATCTTGGTGCAACATGGAAGCCCTTCTTTATAGCGATGAACTGTGTTACCGTTGCTTTCTACCTCATCGGGTTTGTGTCACTGGATTCCTCTCTGTCCCCCTCTGACAAACCCCAGTATCATTGCGCAACGGTGGCTTAGATCTTTCGAACGTATCCCTGAAGCTCTTAGAAAAAGAGAAGTCGCTTTTGGGTGGATTACCATCATTTTTGGTATCATCGGTTCTGCAGGGCTTATCACCCTCGGTATTATGGACGATGTCAACCACCCCACCGTGCACTGGTCAATGACCGTTGTTTTTGTCGTTGGTATCGCCATTTCTGCTATCTCTCAAACCTGCGAAGTCTCGTGCCTGGCGTTCGATCATCCCGACAGAGCTCACTTAAGAAGAAACGGCATTATGAAACTTCTCGTCGTCGGGCTTGCTGTCGCTTGTGCTATCACATTTGGTGCTTTACAAGGCACTTGTAGTGGCGATATCTACTCCCCCCAAAACCCCGGCAGAAACTGTTACGATATCACCTCAGCTGCTGCCTCCTTCGAATGGATTACCGCGTTCTGGGTTGTCTTCTACTTTATAACCCTCGGTCTCGACCTCTGGCCAGCTGCAAAGACTTCTCCGCGTTTCTTGCGCAAGGCTGCTGCATGGGAGGCTGACCATCTTAGCAAAGCCGAATCTCACCTCATTCCAAATCCACAAGAAGCAAACGAGCCTACTGTCGACAACATGTACTCTGAAAGAACTACAGATTTCCATAATGATGGTACTGGATACGCCACCGGCTACGCTCCCGGTTACGGCGGTACATATCCTCAGCATTCACATAGAGCAGACCTTGAGCATGCAGGAGCTGGATACGCCACTGGTTACGGCGACAGTTATCAAATGAGACAAACATCTCCAGCTACAGTGAATGAACAGCCGGCGCAGCCATATGCGGCGTATGGCCAAGCTTCTTGAGTTTATTACTATTATAGACATCCACTCTTTAACATTAGCGCGTTCAATTTTGTTTAATTTTTATATTTAATGCATTCTCTCGTTCCCTACAGTCAACATGAAGTTTAAATTGAGAGATGTGCGTGAATTTATATGCCCAGAATTACCCGCTTAATGCCAGTCAGACTCTCAAGACTGGCTGGTTCGTCGCTCAAGCTGCTTTCGAGCCAGTGAGTTGTGGGATATGACGTTTGATCGGCTCATTGAGTTTATCAGTATATTGTTGCTTCGGGGGCTTTCTTTATTCCACTCGCACTCGAGCAACTGGCTACTGAAAACGCTGGTCACGATGGTCGCATTTCATTCCTCGGATGGAGAGTTGAAAGCGCATCTTACAGGTGGGCAGGCTTTGTAAACGCTAAACCATCTTGACGCGTCACAAGCTTGTACGTAGGCAGCATAAGCGTCGTCATTCAGGCCTTGGCTGTGATTTCACTGGGTACAGCTGCAGACAATGGTAATAGCTCGACTCATCCTCAGTATTCTCATTAACGAGCGCGCAATCAGTATCACACAGACTACACCTCCTCACAGCATCCGCCGTCATAGGCTCAATCGCCTGTATGTCCTTCTATCCCCTCACAGGGCTCTTCTGGCCATTAGCATCCATCGTGGCAGTTCTCACCCAGACGTCTTACGGCGTAGGCGGCGTCTGCTTGAACTCGTATCTCCCTTTTCTCGCCAAAAGGTCAGCTAAGCGGGTCAAATACGGCCTAGATAACAACTACACTCCGATAATCACGCACGAGCCTGAAGAGGGGGAAGATGTCGACGATAATGCCTCTTTCTCCCACTCAGAGTGCTCGTCCTCATCTGGCGACGCTGACGTCGAAAGTGAGGGTGGATCGGTCGACAATCACAGCGTACAGACGCACACTGCCAAATTATCAGCTTATGGTCAAGCAATAGGATATGCATCTGGTATCGCACTACTCATAGTGTTACTCATACCCCTCAACATACTCTCCAAAACACCTCATCCGCCCAACAACCCTGTCCCGCCGCCCGTCTTAGTAATTGGAGCAAGGAAGCTGTTTAGTGAACGGAGCCCAGTCGTCGCGATACGCGCGTGTGTTAGTCTCACTGGTGTGCTATGGGCCTCCCTGTCTGTACCTGCCATTACACTCATTAGGAAGGACACTCCAGCTACGGAGGGAAGGCTAGGTGAGAACACACTCACGTACAAAGAAGCTATTAAGGCTGCATGGAAGAGACTCTACCAGACATTTCAAGTAGCAGAGATTAAACAACTTCAATCGACGTACTGGTTCCTTCTCGCCTGGGCATCTCTATCGGATGGTGAGAGACTTTCATTTGCGGGTTTCGGCCGAGATCTGACACTTTGCAGGATTTGCTACTATTACATCAACAGCCATTTTATTTGCGAAGACACAGCTGCACATGCAGAGCCAGCAGCTGCTCGCTATAACGGTGTTGTCACCACTAGCTGGTGCGCTGGGGTCGATGTCGTCACCCTATCTGCAGAAGCGACTGGGATGGTCGAACCACCGCTCACTTGTAGCGCTCGTCTTAGCTGGTCTCTTGGTCCCTCTCTACGGTCTCCTTGGGTTTCTTCCACTCGTTCAACAAGCTCCGTTCGGCGGGTTTACCACTCAAGCTGAGATGTTCGTCTTTGCAGTATATTTCGGTGCCATATACGGCGCATTTCAGTCATACGCCCGTACCGTATTCAGCGCCCTTATTCCACCTGGTCGCGAAGCTCACTGGTTTAGCATCTACGCCATCTCCTCAAAAAGCACCTCATTCGTTGGTAGCTTGTTGGTTGGTCTGCTTGCTGACAAATCTAGTAATATCCGTTCAGGCTTTTTCGCTATCGCCGCCCTCTTCATTCTGCCCCTTCCCGTTCTCGTGCATAAAATTCGTCCTAATCAGGGCGCTGTTGATGCAAGAATTTACTCTCAAGCTAGGTCGTGATTGTTATTTCTATTTCCTCTTTTTTCATTTGCTTTTTGTTTTGTCATTTGCCGTATTTACTTTGTTTCACATCATATCGTGTATGTGTCATTGTATATTTCAGTTACAATAGAATGGTCCTTTTGATGTATGCGGGACAACTCCATCTCATTTATCTATATCATTCGTCACCATAAAAGGAGGTGTTGCTCAGCGTTGCTGAATCTTCGAGCCACGACGGGGAAAACGCCGACAAGTAACACAAATCCTACCATCAGTCACCGCATTAGTCTCAAATTATAAGAAAGTCTAAATTTTGTCACATACGTTTTGTCGCTGTTTTGTCGCTGACTAGAATGATCCAGACAAACAAATGGCAAAAATTGGAGCAGCCCGGAATTGAACCGGGATCGGAAAGAAACAGATAGTTGCTTTGCCTGAAAGACAGGACTATGCAAGCCTTCAGTGATAACCATTACACTACTGCCCCTTTGACATCCCAGGCTTGAAAACAAATACAATATCAAATATCTTTTACGTCATCAATTCTGTTATTTTCGCGTTTTGGCGTTTAAGTAAATTTTCCAAGTTTTTCTTGGATTTGGGTGCTTTTAGCTTCATGATACCAATGCAATAAAATATTTTCTTCCTGAGGAGTTAATTGAGTTCAAAAGCGGTGAAGATTTTTTAGATTAATAAATTGGTGTGAAATGCTTTTTTATATGTATATTTTCGTAACATAATTTGTGATGGGGAAATTAACATTTTTGACGGAATCGAGGCACGTTGCTTGTTCACATTCTTTTCGAGCGCCTGACTGAGATTGTAACGCTTTTGACTATGTATCATGATTTATATCTGACTGAGATAAAAAGAGTTAACAGATCTTTGTCTCTACGTTTTAAGGCTAAAATATGACCTTGTTCCGCACTTGTCGGGTATGCCATTTACGGTTTCCTTTTTTTTCGCGCAACCTGCAATGCTGACAACACACTAGATCGACGAGAAAAAACTAGTCTGTTGCGAGGGTCTCGAAATCGACGGTCTCTTTGTTTGGGTGGGTTAAAATAACGTCACGCTCCAGGCTGCAGGCCCCTCTCAATGATCCAAGCTTTTGTGCTATCTTGCGCGGGCGTTCTGTCGAATCGATCGACCACTGCACTCATTTGATATCACATTTGTACTTTTATGCATATAACAGTCAAATGGGCGCATCTGCGAGATGTGTTTAGTGCAGAGTTGTGGTAATTACGGGAGCCATATTAAACAAAAATGAACTAGTGAGAGCCTGAAAGTTACAGAAGTATCTTTATACGTCTTAGTGTGTAATACTTGACTGCAACCGGAGCAACATAGAATCAGCATCTTCGAACACTCATGAATGCTGAAGCTGCTGTGAAAAAAAGGAGCTGCCTTCTTTGAGCAATCCAACATTAGACGGCCGCTTCAAGTCACAGTTGGAGCTGGTATCAAAAAAAGCAAAACTTTGACAGGAGAGGGATTCGAACCCTCGCTCTTTCGAACACGGATGCTTTCGCCTTAACCGTGCGCCTTAGACCACTCGGCCATCCTGCCGTGTAAACGTCTTGATCTTTGTGAGGTCAAAGTGCACACAAAGAGCAAGGCGCTGAGATTAATAAAAGAATTAAGTCTTAGATGTATCAAAAGAAAGGTAGTTGTTTACATAGTTTAGAATTCTAGGGTTATTTCCATTTTTTCGTTATCTTCATTGTTCTCGTGCATAATCATGCATAATCTTCATTGTTCATTGTTCCCATAGCGACCATGATGTCATGTTACCTGTTCCTGCATCTTGCCCGCTGTATTACCTAGGAAGGTAGGGGCACATCCTTATACCGCTTGCTAAGGAGGTCCCGGCTATTAGTATGATACTGACAAAGAAGAGATTCTTCCAAGCGGTTATTTTGCGGCGCAGCGGCAAGCGCGTGTGCAGAAGGTCTACTTCCGCACCTGCGGTTGGGTTTCTTTGTGTAAGCGAGCGGCTTTTGGGCGGGGTTGGCTCCCGCTGCGCCACAAAGGGAGCGGAGAGCACGCTGTGCGCGGGAAATTGCGTTCGAGGCCGGTACGGTGAATAAATTAGCTTTCTTCAATTATGGTGTCATGGAGCCTCTCCCTCAGCATCGACAAATATTCCTAAAGATGTACGTAGTTTACCAGAACCAAAGTCGAAAGATGCAGAGAGAGCAATGGGTAGGATGACTTCCACACAAATCCGCTCAGGCCACTTCCCTACTGCCAAGTCTTACCGATTCCGATTCAAACTGTCCGACTCACCACTTTGCAGCAAGTGAAATGAAGTAGACAGTACCACACACAGAATTTTCAGATGTAGGAATTTCGATCAAGCAAGATTATCGTTGAGGAGGAGGATATATGAATGGGGTTAAGGTTCGAGATGAAAATATGCTTTCAAATGAAAAAGCTCTTAAAGCTCTCTACGAGTTCTTCAAAAGCCAGCTCAGCACCCACCCGCGTGGCTCCGGTAGCTCCACGTAGTTACCTCCCAATTTACGGCACACGTGCCAAGAACCGCATCCCTTTGAGTCACTACAATCGTCAGCTTTCAATGCACAAGAAGTATAGATAGGCGAAAATTATTAATCGTTGTAACGCTTTTGACTATACATTATTATTTCTACATGTTACCAAAAGTTCGTCAGTATTTGTATGTCACCCTGCAAGTTCGCCGTGAATAGCGTTCGGCCGGAGCACCCAATTTGCAGCAGCATCAGGAAATGCTCATGATGACTGAGCATACGGAAGCGGACACAGGAGTAACGGCGACAGTTCAGCAATCAAAATACCACGTGCGGTACAGCACCAGTAACAAGGCCATCGCGCCCCTACACACCAAGTCATCCACAGGAATTAAGGGTGTCAGACCATTGGCGCGTGTGTGCGCAGAGTACATAGTTGGAATAGGAATTTGTGGAGGGAAACACCAGCGTGTCTGTCGTTGAGCTTGGTAATGAGGAAATACAGTCAAGGTATTTGATCACCACATCCTCCTTATCCTTGCAAAGCCCATTCTTGCTTTAATACCTATCGTGAGTGCTGTCAAATACAAGCCACCAATCGAGGACACAGCGGTCTACATGGTTGAGGTATCTGATTAGCAAAGTGAGCAACATGGTGGGCTGGGCCTTCGCAAGAAGAACAACGTTATCGCCAACAATATCTCTGTGCAAAAAAGCTTTAACCAGTGGTATTAGGGTACTTGTGATGAGTTTAGCAGCCTACGCGATTATTAGGCCTGTCAATTCGGAGCATTCTACATTCAGCCAGCGCACCCCACCCCCACTCCGAGATACGTAAACAGCACACAGCACACAGCACAAAATAAGCAATAGAATTATTACCTCTACACACCCTGTCACCGCCAGCTAGTGCACTGCTCAAGCCCAAAAGCACTTGGCAGAAAAGGGAAGTAATAAGTATCACAATATCTGGAAATACTGCTATAATAATGCTTCCGAACGGAAACGCTTACGCTTAATTTTATTATACTTGACGCTCGCTCAAGCCGCGTTCCTGAACTCGGCAGTCCTGACTTATACCATGGACACAGTCGCAGTTTTTGAGAAAAACCGATGCGATTCGTGAACTATGGTTTGCTTAATGCAAATGTAGCGAAATTCGTTATATTCTTCTTCGAACAAGTTATATCGTCAAAATCAATGCCAACAACTGATATTAGTCCTGCGTACACGATTGGAACTGTATTGGGTGGTGGTTTAGCGGGTCTGGTCTTTCTTATATTATTAGAATGTGTGGATAAGTCGATCCTTCCCAATGATATACCTGGTACACCCGCAAGAGCTGAACAACTGAGTCCCAGAGAAAAGTGTTTAGTAAACGTCTTCGCTGCTCTACTGCTATCATTCACATTGCTCCTCACAGCTGGCGTGAGAGACTGTAGTATTGTACCAAGCCTTGCAATACCTTGCCTGGTCCCTGTGATTGTTTTCCTGGTTGTCTTTATCCTAGAAAGGCTGTTTGCTTACCAAGCGCAAACAATAATTGACTTACACAAGAAACCCTTCAGTTATGTCTCGTTGATAATTTTGCTGTTATCATCCGCGGCTGTTTTCAGTAACACAATGCTTTGCTTCTTCATGAAACTTATTTAATTTAATGCAGGGAAAATTATATGGGATGTTTCCAAATTTGATGATTGGATCGTCTTCTTTACTACGATTGTGTTCGTTGCGTCACGCGGTTGCATTGAGGTAATGGACTCGCTCAGCGAGGAAAAGCTAGGGATAACAGCAATTGAGGAGGGTGATCAGCCAGTAGACGAAAGAGGGAGAGATGAGAATGCAGAGAAGACAGAGAACGCAACAAAGACAAGTGGAGAAGTTGATTCAGTGAGCGGGAAGGCATCGTCAAAGAAAGCAGACAATCCAGTTGAGGGATGAGGGAAATTGAGCATATGTTGCCAATCATATAGAGTTGGGAGTATTATACATGAAAAGTACAAAATGTCGTAACAGGAGGGCGAAACGCGCAATACGTGCAACCACAACCACGCAGACTAATTCAAGGTCTGGTCGGGGTCTGGGAGGTAGAAAGACTTGGATACCATGTCATGGAGGACAGTATCTCCGTCGAGCTGATAGAGCCTGTACCAGCCCGAAAATCGATGGGCGTTGGCGATGTCGTCAAGAACCAGTCTGTCCAATTTATCATGAATGAGCTTCCCGATCTCCTTAGCCGTGCCATCGAACGTTGCCTTCACGATGAGGAGGCCGCTGGCCGAGCTGGTGACCTCGAGTGTATCGGCGACGGACTGCACACTCGCACACAGTGCATCGAGCCGCTTCGCGTGTACGTTGGACGACACCCTCAGGCTGACGAGGTCTCTGACGAAAGTGTCATCGAACAACACCCCATTAGCGCTTGCGCTGTCGGTATGCAAAGGCTTCGTCTCGGTGAGGAGGTGCGAGAGCGATGATGAAAGAGGAGCTACGAGGACAGTCTTGCAGGCGGGGACATCGAAGTAGCTCTTCATGTTCGTGAGGTGATCATCCTCCCGCTCACGGCGTAATTGTGATGCTTGCAGACTGTCCAGATGGTCCTCGCCGAGCAGGTTGAGAGTACATCTGGCAAACACGTTGATATTCTGGATTGCATCTACTGCTCCCCTGCCTGTAGCGTATGTTCTTGCACATCCTAGACCTGCTTGAGGAGTACGGCTGGCGAAGTTGCCAAATGCTGGTCTGGTGGCTGATCTGGTTACGCATAAGTGGCCCAGTGTGTGGAAGGAGTTTCTGTGGATGGTGCGTGATGACAATCTGGTAGATGAGTGAGCTGCTCTTGGTAACGCCTGAGTGCGCACTGCTGCTGCTGCTTTGAATGGATTTACAAGGCCTTTAAGTGACCTTACCGGCCTGGCCAGTTTAAGCTGCCGACCAAGTTGCTGATGATGATGATGAAATATAATATATAGTTAAAGCGATACATAGTAAAACTGCGCCTATCTATACTTCTTATGTTGCTATTTGGACTTGTGTGACGTTGATTTGAGAGTATAGCGTTTCTGTGCTGAGCGTAAAGGTTTAGATTTACTCGATCCGACCGATGGCTGTACCGAGAACCCGGAATTGTGCGAGTTTTGGTTAGGCTGTTGTGGTGTGTCGAACTAGTGTACCGAAATCAATAAAAATGAGAGGGTGGGTGGGCCTGAAGGGGGAAAAGCCTGAATGGCACCCGAAAGTACCACTCCGCGTAAAACCCTCTGCAGTTTGTGTGCTCTACAGAAGTCGGTGAGAATGGGAGATTTGTGGCTTGAAGAATTCGTATAGCGCTTGGAGAGATTTGGCGTTTCTCAGCATAGGTCCCAATTCGAACCTAATACCGAGAGCGAGAATCTTCCTTCTCAAAGCTATTCTCGCCATGATGTGTCTTGAGCAGATGAAGATACGGTGTGGGATAGTGTCGTCTAATCGACAGGTGCTGCACTTGGCAGAATCAGTGAGCTTAAAGCGATAGCGATAGGACTTAGTGGTAGGGAAGTGTCCAGAGCGGAGCTGTGTTGCTAGACAGCGAGTGGCCCGGGGCACACTTTCCAACAGCTTGGCGGTCTTGATGGAGCTGAGATTGCCTTTGGCGGTTCTTGCTGTTCTTGAGGTGAGACCCGTGAGAGTGTTGCCCTCCACGCGCATGGGTGCAGTGAGGGTTTCGTGGAGGTTTCGCCGGGTAACAGAGCAGGAGGTTCGGAGTTCTATATCCAGAACAAAACCGTTTCCGTGGTTTGCTCTGCCTTTGTTCGCGGCGCGGTCTGCTCTCTCGTTGCCTTCAATTCCCTTGTGGCCAGGTATCCAGTGAAAGTTGAATTGGGTGTCTGGGTGAAGCGCCTCGACCAAGTTGCCACAGTGATTTCATCGAGAGTAGTTGTGGTTGGTGGTAGTGGTCAGCGGGGTATTGCTACTCGTAAAATAACAACCTCCTAAAATCTGAATCAATCAAATAACTCAGCAAAATGCATTTTACAGCCCTTAGGAAATTTCCACGTGGCTTCAGAACCCCTTTCGCAGACATATATGCCAAACTCAATTCACTATCCACCAGTTATCCAAAGAATAAACATAACCAATAGATAGATAGAAATCATAATATAGTCAAAATCGTTACAATGTTTATAATATTCGCCTATCTATACTTCTTGTAATGATGATGATGGAATCTGATTATATTGTTAAGACGATACATGTTATAAAGTGCGTCCATCAATACTTCTTAAAGTATGAGGAGTCAAAAGGGGTGCTGAATTTACTAGAAGCGTTTCTTGACTAGCGTCGTAATTTTTAAATTGTTGGTGGTTCTCAATAACGCTGAAAAAGCTCACCATAGACGCCGCGTCGACTCAATTTTCTCTTGATTATAACAATAATAATTATCGTAAATTTGGTTAGAGTCCAAAAGAATCTGTCTCGGCGGCAACAATGAGCTTCCGATATCAGGAGGTCCGCGGTTCAAATCCGCGAAGGCGCACATCGCGCTTTTAGCTCAGGGGTTAGAGCGCCTGACTCGTATAGCTTTTTTGCCCTTTTGCAACCTCGACTTCGATTATGGGCAGTTTACTATATGATAGCCAATGTACATTTAGCCCCTGCTTCATCTTCACTTACAGATATATCGTAGCCTATCCAGCGCTCACTCCAAATAGTAGACATATCCAATATAGAACAGATTGACCACTTACCATACCCACGACAACATGTACCACAAACAAATATCAGACTCACCATGAGCAGACAAAACACAAAACAAAAGAAAAACCTATAGAAGAAAACAACAGCAACAGAACATGAACACACCTAAAGCATAAGGTTTTATTATATGGTCGGATCCGTAGCTGATGGCAGTGTCGCAACAGCAGGATACTCCTCCCAGTACCCAAAGAACAAACCACAGAACCATATGAAATCGACTGTTAATTAGGCAGCTCAAGCCTCCACAAAATCGTCGAAGCGGATCCCTTCTCAAAATTGATTAAAAAAACTCAACAAGCCATTCCAAGACATGACCATGGTCCACTCACAAAAATGATCAAATCTTAGAGCCCGCACCACACCCAATCCAAAGCCTTTAAGACTACATTCGAGAAACGCTACACTTTCAAAGCGGAGTCACAGGATTGCAGAATAGTAACATAAGAAGTGTATGTAGATGGGCCTAGTTAAACCTTGTATTGCTTTAATTATACATTTGATTTACTGCTTCTTGAAGGTGAATTAAAGTAGATGATGAGCTAAAATGCATTTATTTGTGGAAGTCGCCACTTTCTAATGTTGAACAATATGTTGATCTTGTTAAACTTTGTCACTCTGGGGATAGATCAGTGCAAGTTTTGCTCTTTAACTAGTAATTCCCAGTATCTGATCAGATCTTAAAATTTTTAATAGCTTGAAAATTTTAAGAACGACAACTCTTCAAGCAATGAAAGTCAAACTTTGCCTGACTTACTTGAAATTCTAACAAAGGTTAATTTTCTAAGCCATAATCAATTTTTTTGGTTATGAATATATCTATAAAGCATCATTGTCTCGACATCTCTACCTTGAAGTTATTCATTGAACTTGATCGAATAGTGTAGGAGGTTTTAAATATTAGCGGTCCTTATTTTGAGCCTGAAAAGGCATCAGCTATATTAAAAACTGAGAAATTCAGTTTCTAGACTGTATATGCATTTCTTGGCCTTTGCTCTGTGAATTTCGTAATATGTACAAGATATCGTCTTTTGATGATAACAAGGTCTATTTTGTTTTAGTAATTGAGATTGGAACTAGAAAAAATCTTGCACCAGAATGCAAAACCTTTCTCACAATCGCTTAGCCGTTATATCGAAGATAAAAGGTAGGTGAAAATGTAAAAATGCTTCTTGAGTCTTCCTTTATTACATTTATTGAGGCTTTTCTCAAAAACAATCTAAAAGAAGTGACTTTAAAATCCATTGAATAAAATAGTGATTGATTAGGTGTTTAACAGCGGGGCAGTAGTGTAATGGTTATCACTGAAGGCTTGCATAATCCTGTCTTTCAGGAAAAGCAACTATCTGTTTCTTTCCGATCCCGGTTCAATTCCGGGCTGCTCCAATTTTTGCCTTTTTTTACTAATTAAAAAATCAACAGAAAACATAGTCAACCCTGTATACGCACCAAGCTTAAACCTACTTTCTCACAAGCCACATCAGCTCGTGGTTTGCTCATTCATATGGCCTGCTACCGTGATTTCGAGGGTGAGGATATGAATAAATAAGTGTCGTCGCAGCGCAATAGGATTAAAATGAATAGCCACATTGAATAATTCTGTATTTACAAGCTGCTTGATGAGCTCGCGCATCTCAGTTTACGCAAATAATTTGCTTCCTTTAACAATTTTACTCCCGGTGTGATCCTGTCATTCACTCCACGCGTCTCTTGTATTACCAGTTACTCCACAAGAACTAAAATGCCAGCTGGTGTGATATTAAGCAGCATAGTGTCTCTTGCAAGAGCACTTTATATTGGAACACTCCTCATGCTCACCTCCCCTGCTTGGTTCTTTGCACTCAGCAAAGTTACGAGCGGTAAGTGTACAGCGCGAACACTTACGGCGATATATGTGGGGTTCATGGCCTCTGTCGTAGTCACATATCTGATAGTAAGGATGGTCTCACTTTTAGCGCCCATCATTTAACAAAGCCGTTTCCACTTTAGATGGAATTGATTTTTAGAATATGTTTAAGATTTGAAAATCCACTACGCTCACTGGACAGAGTTATCGGTGTCACCCTGATCAACCTAGCACTATATGCTTTGATTGGAGTCGGCCTGATGGTTAAATTCCACGTCTACTATCGTCGTGTCGAAGTTGCGCTAATTTTTATTGCTTCTATAGTGCCTGCGGTCAATGGTTGCCTCCGCATTGCAAAGAACGTCTTCAACGATCAGACCTGCATGATAATACAGGGTATTGAGGCGGTGTGTTGGGTCTTAGCTGTGTAATTATACAATTAGCCTGACAGCTTATCAGCTCATATACATTCTCATACTCTTCACCAAAGCCTCAATGTCTTTGGAATGGGAAGTGTCACAGGTCCAAAACCAAACGACCGAAGCTTCAGACATAGAGGAGGCTATGAAAGGGAGAAGCAGCAAAGGTTGGTAGTATAAGAGGTGGTTTTTCCACTCTGACACTTCTAAGACACTGTCTTCCTCCCCTGGAACGTAAATAGTTCCCAAACGCTGGCACGTGCAAAATCAGCGAATTCATCGCAACATATATACAAATCAGATGGCTGCAAGAGTGTTTATGATATAAGTACACCTACAAGCAGCAACATGGACCCGTTTGAGTACGATTTCACGACGAGCGTCAGTATGCGCAAAGATAGCTCCAAAGTACAGACAGGAACTATCAAAAACGATCGTAAATATTCAATCAAAGCGCCTAGGAACATTAAAGGTAACAATATACCTTTAGCTGTTTGGGTTACTCAAGCAGATTCTAAAGAAGATTTCTAACTCAACAAGAGCATCAGTATGAACGCAAAGCAGTCTAACAACCTAATCGACATTTAGCATTTAACATTTCGATCAATCCGTCGGAATTGAGCCACGTATTTAATTCTCTCTTATCCAAGACGTGCTGCAAATTTTACTTACTCATTGACAAAGCGCCCAATTGCGTTTATAGTTTCAACCATCACCTTTTGTAAAATCTTGTTAGCCATAACGCATTCTTGGATGAAATTCGTTTCTACAAAGTTAAAACACAGTGCTGTGCAACTTTATCATCATCTTTCATCATGTTAGATGCGGTAAGTCTGGATCTTTGTAAAATTAGTGCAAAATATGGGACTAAAAATCAACTTATATTGCAAAGATGACTGGCTACATCCCTGCTTTGCTCCTGATAACGCCATCTCTCTTCTCCCTTGTAACAGTCACCGCAGTGCGAGACCATCATATCAAAGCTACCAGAATATATTGCAGAAAATGTATCGCAATGTCTTCAAATTTTTCACTACTATCCATATCCACCATCGTTGCACTCACATCACATCCAGTTTCATCCCTTCCAGCCGAGATTGCTTACGCAATTCTACAAGCAACAGCAACTGGACTTTTCTTAGCCTTTAGCACTTTCTCTACTACGCGTACTGGAATTTTCAGTCTCTTCAATATACTATACGGCAAGGCTTATTATATAGTCAGTGTTGCAACCAGCGCAACAATAATTCTCTTTCCAACGCTATTTACATTAGTACGTTCAAATTGTTATCGCGTTCTTCTATTAACCACCCATTTCATCTTGAAGTTGCCTCTCGTTTGTGCAGTATCAACAACACCTTCGGTATGTCCGTTTGCCACCACCACGGAATGTACTTTACAGCCTCAGCTATTCTGCTAATAAATACGCTACTAGTAGTAAACCGGAAGGCTGGTATACCCTTTGAAGTTGATTTTAATGTGAATAAAAGAGAAACATACAACCCAATGTTTCTCTTCGCTTTGTCTGTTAATTGGTTGAGCTACTCAATAACTAGGCCCACTATAAGTGCGTTGGTTATTTTGCATGTGATTACTAATTGAATGCCCTTTAGCCAACTTTACCGTCACTTTGGCATCCCAAGTTATTCTTACGATTGAAAACGTAAGTCCTTTCAGGGATATAGTCTCGCAACAGGATATTCCAATAGACTTGAAAGTGTTTTTTCTACCTTGCAGTATTCTTTCTGATAATCATCTACCAATCTCAGGTTAGGGTTAGCCGCCGGAGGCCCCCACATGTCCAAAGACCGACTCTATGGTGAGAATCTCTTACACACACCACAGCAACCCAATTCGAGGAGAAGGGAAGTTAAAGCGGATGTTTAATTGGGAGCCTTGAAAACGCCAAGATGAAAGCAGTTGTTCAAAACATGGAATCATTGAAGTCTTCTTATGCAATAACTCCATCGTTCCAAGCAAGACAATCAAGCACTTTTGACGCTGATAGCATGAATACAGATTTTATTAATCTTATCAATAATAAGTCATTGAGACCGTAATTACAATATACTCACCCAACTGAGCTCAAATCGCAAAAAAAAGTCAATATTGGGTTATAGATTGGCAAACATCTACAAGTCCCAAAGACAAATGACAATGCAATCCAACAGAAGTCCAAGTTTATGCTGGATAACCTCGCTGACGATTCGCACGATAGTGTGAACTATGTCTAATACGAAGACAGCTAAGCATTTCAGTTAATTCGTTTGAGAAGAAACAATTATGAGCATAATAAAAGCAAGTACTAATAATCTATCCATACATTTCTCATAATCTACAAAATTTGGAGCATTTGGGTGTGGTGGATGTCCTTCAAGCGCTGGCTGGTACTGATTGTGAGGATTCTTCTGCCAATTTAGATGGAAAAGGGTTTCTGGATGATCCAGCCTCAGCATTCTCTGTGGAAGGCTGCTTCTTGCGTCTCTTTGCGAGTAAACCTTTAGCGACTGATGATCTTACGTTATCGTTCATATCCTTGTTTTGTTCCAAGTACTTATCATCATCGAGTCTTCTCTTTTGAGGCTGTTGATTGTATTTCTTCTCCATTGCTTCAAGTTTATCTTTCTCTTCTTGCTTCTGCTTCTTTTCGCGCTCTTCCGAAGACTCCATGTATTCAGCCACCCTGAAGACGTGTAAGTTGACATTCTTTATTATAATGACCACACCCACTTCTGAGCTTCTTTGAGAGTTGATATACGTCGACCAGAGAGATCTCTGCAAGCGTCTGTGTTGTTGTTGCGATTTGATCTCATTTTGCCACCTGCAGAGCGCAATTGAGCACCAAAACCACCTTTACCACCGAGCATTCTTGGAGATACGCTGATGTCGATAAAGTTGAATTCACCACATAACTTAGCCACTGATTGATTGATATCGCTGGAGCACTTGAAGTCCTCAGAGGAAGAACCAATAATATCAGTGAGCTTTAAAGAGCCATCTTCAACGCGAACGTTTTCATTCTTATTAAAGAAGATATTGTACATGATCGTCTGAGTGTGAAGGAGATGTCAGCCGGTACGGGCTATCAAAATTCAGAATATCGACAGAATAGGGTAATATAAGTATCTATGTGATTCTTGTGATGTATGTAGTTTATCAGGATGATTATATGATTTTGCTCTTTTTTTACCGATATGGCCCACATTTCATCATTCCTGGTTCTCACCTGTATCAATCAACAGGGGAACAGTGAGTGCTGAATGCATATTAAAAACACTCGCTAAATACACTACAGATTTACGTATGAGCGATCTAACGACTTCAACTGACTGGCTAGACGTCGCACCACCTTCATCCGAGGATGACGACTTATCACTCTCATTCCCAGATCCACTCGACAAATCTCACTTTGAGAGCGCTTTAGAAAGCCATTCAAACGCCTCACAAGCAACTGATGATTGCATGTCTGATGCTGATTCTACTGCAAGCACAAATCGCAGCAATCACAGTGACTCTAACCCAAAACACGAATCTCTCAAAACGTCTTACAAATCCACGCCCGTAGAATCTAAACAGTCTCCAGAATCACTCAGCTCTTCCTCTCGTACTGTTACAGACTGCTCAGGTACTCTCACAGCCAAAGTCATCGTACTCACTCAATCCAACGATCTGCAACAGTTTTCGGACGTCATGAAGAAGGCTTTCATTAAATGCTTATTTGATACAAGACCTGGATTCGTCACTGAGGGCGATTCGACTAACCATATTGTCAATGCGAATAACCCTGACTGCTGCTTTCCTGTTAGCGAGCAAGAGTGGCGTCTTGAAAGCAACTACTTCCATCTGCATTATCAATACATCAACATTAGTGGCTCATTTGCTCAAGTATGCCTTGCTGCTATGATACACCCAAACTCACCCGCCATAGGATGAAATTTTCAAAATTTTACTTGAAAATTTGCCTACCATCATCGTTATTCCCGCCAATGAAGGTATTGATGTCTTTGCTGATGTTTTAAAATTGCGATCAAAGCTTCAAATTGTTATTTTCGACTCAACTGCCGTGGACTCTGGCGTCGACGAGAACAAAATTACGCTTAAAGAGTTGACTGACCACACAGCTTCACAAAAGATGAAGAGAATCTATGAAGGTATTGAAAATCGGGGTGCTTTTGCTGACACTTCTACTGCCAGAGCCGTAGAACCTGTCTCAAGGGAGAAGGGTGAGGATGCTGTCAAAGTGAAACCAAAGGTTTCAGCAATTGCAAATTCTCTTGATTATCTTTTTTGGTCATTTAAATAGTAAATATAGCCCTCTTTCTTGTTGAACTACTAACAGCTTTTCTTGCTATCAGTACATGCAGCATCTTAGGATTAGTGCTCACGTCAATGTTGGCTTTCAACACCTATAGGTTAGCTTCTGAGGGCAACTACGATTTGAATTGGCTGTCTGGAGCGAATCAGCCTACTGCTATCAAGCCTGCGATCAGCTCCGCACCTTGCTCCTATAAGCCGTCACTCAGCCTTAGACCAAAGCCCTCCGTCAATAATTACAAGACGATAGACCAGGCCAAGACTACAACAGAAGTTTCTGTCTTTAATCAGGTGTTTGATGTTGTCGCTCGCATACCCTCTATGACTCTGGTCAAAGATCAACTGAGAAGTACAGATGCTTCAGAGAAAGACTCGTTCAATAATGAAGACTGGATGAAGATGACTGGAAATGTTCTGAATAACGCGTACTTCATGTCGCTGTATTATGTTGGCGATCACATACGTCAAGTTGTTGCGATAGCTGAAACGATACTGGAACTCACATGGATAGTAGCTGAAATTGGCTACGAGAATGTACAAGAGCTTTACGAAAACCTAATGAGATATGCGCCGTCATTCATTCAAAAACAGAGTCAAGATATCGGTGAACAATTCATGCAAACATTTCAGCAAATTAGTAGCGTTAGCCGCGGAATAATGATGCGCGCATCAAGAAATGCAAATAGACTGTTAAGAGGGTCAAAGCGAGACCACAGTTCTTTAAACAAGCGAGCTCGTCAGACGTCTGAGCAATGGGAGAGCACAATCAGTGGTGGATACTCACATTTCAATGACAAGACATACAGGCAGATGAAGAGGGCTAAGAATAATTATAAACGAACCTTTAGCAAGTTTGTTTGAGTTTAATGCTTGGGTAAGTGAAGAATTTCTCGCAGCTTTCACCAACTGAATTTTTTTCAGATTAGCTATATTACTACGTCATTGGGACTATTTCTGCTTTTATTAACAGTTTGTTTTATTATGCGTATAATTTTTATCGCAAATTTTCAATCCATGATTACATTCTATATACATATTTTTGCAGCTGCATTAGCATTGCCAAATGCTCTTCAAAGCATCGAGACGGAAGTAATCTGTTTGGACACCTTTATCGTTTGAGTAGTGAAGGCGCGCAGGAACACGACCATCCTCAAAAAAGAAAACCATCGATCCTAGATGTATACCATCTTGTATAAATAGCTCCAACTGTGAGTGGTCAACAATGGCTCTCAAACTGACTTTTTGATCGTCTGGAATATGGATAGAAGTCGCTGAAACACTTTCGAATATAGCATTAGACCATCCAGAGTTAGCTCTATTGATGTATGCGATGTGATCAGAGAACTGCAAACCAATTTCAATTGAGTTCTGAGCATCTTCAGATTCTATAGTGATCCTCGATGCAGATTTTGATGAAGAGTTAGAATTTAAAGAGTTAAAAGACAAATGAGCAGTAAAGTCTACCGCGCCATCAGTTGGAAATTCTACAGAATCTGAGTTCGTTGATGTGCTAGTCTCCTTGACAGTGTCGGTGATGAGGGTTGATAAGTCAACCGGCTTATGTCTCAGCATAAGCGACTCCTCCTGATCGGTGAGGTTGACTCTAGCGAGAGACAACTCGTGTACGAGTGACAGCGATGATCTCCACGGCGCAGTGGGGACTTCTGCAGCGTAAAGCCAGTTGCTAGACCAGCCCAACCACAATCTACGTCCATCAGGGATATTGTTGAAAGTGACTCCCGCGTAATTATCGTACCCAAAGTCCATTTCGTGCACTGCTAGATCCACTGGTGTGAACTTTTTACCGTCGAAATCACCGATAAAGTAGCTGGTGGCCGAACCACCGCCATTGATTGCGCCTGGGTTAACAGATGTGATCAATACCCATTTTTCTTCGTCACTGCCTTCGATTTTAAGCGGAAATAGATCAGGACATTCATATTGATAGCCCAGTTGACCGACATTGCCGAAACGAGATGTCTCAGTCCAGTCCAATAAGTTGTTTGAGTCGTAAATGATCATTTCGTGCTGCGAAGCTAATGACACGATCATCACCCATTTCGAGTCTGGCTCGTACCAGAAAACTTTGGGATCTTGGAGGTGTTAGTGGCATGTTTTAGAATTACGCCAGACAAACCTCTGAACTGGCTGTTGTCAATGTCGATGACTGGCTCTGGTCGTTTTGTATATGAATAACCTCCATCCGTTGAGTACGCAATATTTTGCGTTTGCTTATCATCACTAGCGCTGGTATAGAAGGCAAGCAATCTGTTATCTGATGCAGTGGTATCATTAAAAATACCGGAATCATTATCAAAGTCTATGATAGCGCTTCCTGAGAAAATAAATGGTCCATCTTCGCTATCAGGCGTGATAGCAGCTGGATGCAGGGTCCAATGTACCAAGTCCTCACTCGTAGCGTGGCCCCAGTTCTGATACCCTGGCAAATTAGCCTTGGCATTCCACTGGTGGTAGATGTGGTAAAGATTGTTAGCGTAGATTAAGCCATTGGGGTCGTTAGAGAAGTTCTCAGATGCTGTAGTGAGTTGTTACTGTGTATCACAAAAGTCAGACAGATGTGCGCACGAGTGTAGTGGACTTGAGGTCTCAATGGCTCACTATAAGTTCCCGGAGATAGTGGCATACCAGTAGAGCTACCTAGACACTGTAAGTCTGCTGCCCTGCTTGCTAGCATTGATGCTGATGTTAGTGTAGAGTACGGGATTTTCATGGCAAAAGTTCTTCGAAGTGGGATGCCAAGAAGTAAATGTGCTCATTTATATTGCTCAATTAGTCTGCTGACGCTCCGTCCCCTCGAGGAACCAATATCTTCGAACGTCATAAATTAAGCTCTTCAAAATCAATCTAATCAGGGATAGTTGTTGTGGTAGATAGATAAGGCCTAGTATTACCATTGGTAAAAAGCCGATCTGGATTCCCTATTCCTCGGAGTTCAGTTTGATATCCTGCGTACCTCGGCTCAGGGTTCAAACGTTCATTGGAACTCCGATGCCCTAGTCATGTGGTGTAACCGAAAGTGCATATTTAGCTGATAGTTCTGCTTTGTACTCAAGTGCTTTACGTTGATAGATCCAGTCATACAAGAAGCGCAAATATCTCTGTAAAGAATTTGACACCTTCACGTGATTGATGAATGACGCCACCGGCATCAGTATACCTATGATGCTCCTCTAAGCTTCAAGCCTCAAGCTCAATACTAGCGGCTGCATTGAGTCGCATGAGCAGGCCTCTTCAGGTAGACACACTGGACACTCAGATACTACAAGCGTGAACAAGCGCTGCTATGTGAATGCTCGCTTCATTATCATTCCATCACAGAAGCAGCTCGCTTCGACTTTAAGATTCCGAAAGTATCTGCGAGCACGTGAATAGAGGGGAAAAGAGCCAGTGTAGCTGTGAGCAATCTATATTTATGCCACGCAGATTGTGTTCACAAATAAATTAATGTTCATTCAACTTTTCCCACCGAATTCCACTTTCGCCGCTTCCTTCACAACTACCAACACTATGGCAGCACCAACGAAACGTCTTTATCTCGGTGGATTAAACCCAGATTGCCAAAAGGAAGATCTGTGGGTTGTGTTCAATATTCTCTTTTCTTATCTCAATCAACGCTCAGTGAACAGTTCTTTAGCCCACGTCCTTTAGTCGACATTCGTATCATCTCTGTGCGTAGAATTCCTCTGGAAATGCACAATTGCTCAAATCATCTTCAGCACAAGGGATTCGGCTTTGTCGAATTCGAGAGTCTCAGAGTGAGTGCGATTGCACATTGCTCGTGGCTTTAATTGACCGATTTAGGACGCCGAAGACGTCATTGACTCGTAGGTACACCCTGCAGTCATTGAGCTCATCTAAGCACTTAAACAGCTACAGAGGCCGTGACTTCATGGGTGAACGCCTTGTCATCGACTTTGCAAAAGAGCAAAGACGTGACCGTGATGACCGCTTCGGCGGCCCACCACCTCCAAGAGATTATCGTGATCGCGGCGACCGCTATGATAGGTACGACCGCTACGATCACTATGATCGCTATGATAGATACGACAGATATTCGGACAGAGGTGGCCGTGACTACGACAGATACGGCGGCGGTGACAGATACGGTGGTGATAGATATGGCGGTGACAGATATGGCGGTGACAGATACGGTGGCGACAGATACGGCGGTGGTGATCGCTACGATCGTTACCCAAGGGACGACTACGGCCCACCTCGTGAAAAGCGCGGTCCTAGACCAAACACTGGCTTCAAGGTCTTTGTCCAAGGTATTTCTGAGGAAACTAGCTGGCAGGTTCGTCTTTTATTTGCTATCGCGTGAAAATAGGGATGGGATGTGGTACTTGGTGACTTTCCTTGGATTGGAGCAGGCTCGATTTAGGTCGTTGTCGTGGCGTTCACAAAGTGCTATTCCTTTTTTTCGCGTGTGTAGCTTTCGTGAGGATTTTGGCTAAATTGGCGGTTTCGCTTGGTATAGGATCTCAAGGACTTCGGTCGTGACGGTGGTGCAGTCACTCGTGCAGACGTTGACCGTAGTATTCCAGGACAAGGGTAGGTCTTAGCGCTGTAACGTTTCAATTGCTGAAAAGCTCCAGTGTCATTGAGTTTGCTTCCAAGTACGATGCTGAAGATGCTGTTGCCAAGCTCGACAACACTGAACTTAAGGGTGTCCCAGTTCAAGTCGTAGCTGATGTAAGTCCGGATTGTTGAAAAGAATCGCCATCTCACAGCACTGCAGGCTGCTGAACCTCCTGCCTCTGGCGGCGGATGGGGAGGCGCTAGAGAGCGTTCACCACCAAGAAGATCATCACGCTACGATGACTACGATTCAAGACCACCTCCACCAAGACGTGAGGATGCTGGCTTTGATCGTTATGAGCGTGAGGTGGGTATTTAGCTTAATATAATTAAAGCGACTCACATAATTTTCAGAGATCACCTCCACCTCCAGCCGATGAGTAAGTATGAACGAACTATAGAACGTGTATTTGCTCATTTGATCTTTAAAGTGACAGATACTAGACTATGTAATGTGCTAATCGCCCAGAAATATTTTGTTCTTTAATTATTCAATTTATTGTTGTCTTGAAGGTAACCAGGTAATGTTTTAGATTGTTTGTTGTGTTTTGCATTTGAGCAGCAGCTGACGGATATTCTTGGCTTTTGATCTTGATGGGTGATTGACGATGGGTATACTCAGCTTTAATATACTACAGAGTCACTGAAGTTCTAGATATCGGCAGTCTTTTTTTTTTGCGAGCAGAAACCAAATACATAGGAACGATAAAATTGAGTTTGATCTGTTAATATTTGTCAAAAAGAACACACTCTGCTTTCAGGATCTGAAAATCTGCATCTTTGTATGTACGTGACATTAGCTTACAGTCTCAATCTTGAGTAAGGTTAGAATCATTTTAAAAGAGAGAAGCAGGATTCATACTTTTACTTTAGTATGCATTTACCATACTCGGACTCGATTACTCACTTATCAAGCTCATATCGCAGAGTCAATCAACAATAGCTTCCAGTCGATCTCCAAGCTTGTGCAATCCAGAACTATTTTCTGCACCGTGAAGCACAATTGTTGCAAACTTAGTCAGGAATGTGATTCAGCATTAGCTCAATAATGAAATCAAGCCTGATTAGGAAAATAGCCACATTCCAATAAATGATGCAGTAAATTGCGAATCGAGAAACACTTTGCTAGCGTCCATGCCAAAGGACAGCATAGTTGGTTGAATTTGAGCAGAAAGCACCTCTTAACACAACATCAATGAACAAAATCTTCAACTACTTATACGAATCCCTCTACAAGGTGCCTTACGCAGCGCATTATCCAGGGAGATACCCCTCCACTGATACTATGGGAGAAACAATGTACCCAATTATATGCATAATTGCAAAGTGCATGATCATCGTTTATGCTCAAGCAAGTACGCGAATGTGTTTAGAAAAAAGACATCTGTATATAGGATACTCAGAGGACTTGACATATTATGCAACAGTACTCAGTATCTGCTACCTGGTCGTAATCATATTTGAAGTGTTCGCATTTATGTACTCATGGTTTGTGAGTTTGATGGTATAATTAGGCTTTCACGTCTTACAGATGTACAGGGTGGCCGATTAGCGTTGTGGCATTCGCAACGCATTCATAGATATACCGCTTTCACTCTACTCGCTACCGTATATACGGACTTGCTGATAGTAGCTGAATACCACGTACGTTAAAATATAAAGGTTGCAGCAAGGTTTATAGAAGGTTTAGGATGGGATAATAACTCGTTGCATGCAAGAATATCAAGATGATGTTAGTGTTGACGAGGAGTTACGCGGCAGTGAGTTCTTGATACACAAGAGTATCAAGCTGACATCTATGGAGAATGCCAGAAAGAATGGGATGATGAACGTAATATTCGTGGAATAGTAAGACCACATCAAGAAGTAAAACGCGGGCTAACAGATGGAATAGATCTTTGCGTTCTTGCCGCTACTCCTTCTAGGAAATGTACTTGCTCATAGGTGGTATGCGCTGCGTCTCCTTGAATCTGACCCCAAATACAAGTGAGTTGGTTGTTATGCACACTGAGGAAGCTAACGCGGCATCCAGACCAGAGATAGTAGTGCGCCCAGCAACACCAGAATGGCATATTGATTTCTAAGCAGATTCCAAGCAATTTTCAAGTAATTTTCATATAATTTTCGTATCGTTTTATCACACCAAATTAATGAGACTTCTTCATTGTTGAATTAGACGGCCCGGTCCCACCAAAGAATTAAAATGAAAATATCGCTGCTTTCTCTGCTTAGCGCGGCTGGTGTTGCTATCGGTGAGTGTATCACTGTACTTCCTGCGCAATCTCACGCTTCTCGCCCTTCCCAGCATCTGTGACCAGCTCAGTGAAAGCACCACAGATAGAGGTAAAGTCAAATATAATAAATGCAATCAATGGATTGGCAATCGATGGGAATATCGTTATCAATGGAGAGACCAACACGCTGCTTATAAACTCTATAAACGCAGAATCAGCCAATTACACTTTACAAAGCATTTCTGGAGTATTTAAGAACGTCAAGAATGACAAGAAGGTCAAAGATGCTCCTAAAGTCTCAAATATCGGTAAAACTATCCAAGGTGACTCTAATACAACGCCATACGCCTACAACTTCCCTTCCGAGTTCAAGACTGGTGATTTGAAGCTCGAAGTTAGTCTCACAGTAAGCGACAACGAGGGCATCAGTCATTTGCTCGACGCTTTCGATGGCGTGCTCACAGTCGTCGAGCCTAAGCAGACATTCGATCTTGAAATGTTGTCTATTTACGCCTTGTTGGCTGGAATAGCTTATTTGGCGGCTAAATTTGTCTACGAGACCTACATCAACCCTCTCTCTCCAGCTGAGAAAAAGAGGAAGAGCAAGGCCAAGGAGAACATCTCAGCACCAATACGCCCAGTCAACGTTGAGGATGTCAAAGAAGGCGACAACGATTGGATGCCAGAGCTCGCAAAGCTGAAGCAGCGTAAGAATAAGAGTGCTTCCTCAGCTGAAGAAACGAGTGGTGATGAAGCTGGTAAGAAGGCCAAAAAGGGAAAGAAGGGCGGACGTAAGTAGGTAGAGGTTAGATTATGATAAGCAAGGGATAACTAGAAGTATATAAGCATTTAATTACTTTAATTCATTTCATTCTGAGGATGAAGCTTGCTGATTGTGTTAAGTTGATCTCAGCGCCAGGTATTTGGGTGCTAGGTTCGTGTGCCAGGCTAGCGCGCAATGAATCTGCTGAATTGAGTAAATGACAGCTGGCACATGATCGTATTTACTTCCGAAAATAGCTGTTCGTAAATAGCTGGGCACAGCTTGGCATTTACGAAGTTTCTTCTTTAACAGTGACTTTCAAGAAATGTACCCTGGCCAGCAATACCAAAACAGCCATCCGTGAGTAACCCGTGTATTTCAACGGTCCCGCTCACATTCATCCAGTCCACCGGCTATACCTCCGTGAGTAGAATCGCGATAACAATTGGTTGGTTATCTGATGCAATATTCAAAGTTACGGTTTCCACAGACCGCCACCACCAGGAAATTATGGAGGGTGCGGTACACGTACGCGTCGCCTACTCCTTACTCACTCTCCTCAGAGGTCCACCACTTCCACCACCGCATGGATATCCAAGGTTAGCATGACTGTATTAATCAAGGCTCAACTAATCTCATACAGCCCACGACCACATCCTGCTCATGGCTTTCATGGTCCTCGTGCGTATCGAGAGTTTTGATGTAACAGAAAAGACTAAGATTAATCAGCCCAGCCTCCGTCCGGCATGCAGCACGTATCCACGCCTGGAGGTGGTAACGTAGAATTCAGGTACTCGCAAGCTACCGGGAAACGTAAGGCATTGTTGATCGGTATCAATTACTTCAACACAAAGTCGGAACTGCGAGGCTGCATCAACGACGTACAGAACATGCAGCGCTTCCTTTTACATCGGGGATACAAGCCAGAGGATATGGTTATTTTGACAGACGATCAGCGTAATCCAATGTCTCATCCCACCCGCGCGAATATAACGCGAGCTATTGGCTGGCTCGTCAGCAACGCCCAACCAAATGACAGTCTTTTCTGGCATTACTCGGGGCATGGTGGCCAGGCTAAGGATAGGGTAGGCGACGAGGCAGATGGGTACGATGAAACAATCCTGCCTGTGGACTACAAGATGGCCGGCCAGATTATTGACGATGAACTTTACGATCGTATGGTACGCCCTCTTCAGCCTGGTGTCCGACTTACAGCAATTTTCGACTCTTGTCACAGTGCTACGGCTTTAGATCTGCCCTATCTCTATTCAACTAAAGGCTCCGTTAAGGAACAAAATGGCTTGGAGGGCGCAGGCACCAATCTACTTAATGCTGGTATGAGCTATATGAGGGGCAATACAGGTAGTGCAGTGAAGACACTCTTCGGCCTGGGCAAGAGTGCCATCAGGGGCAACAAGGCGCAGAAGCTTAGTATGCAGAAGACGCATCCTGCAGATGTAATCTCCCTTTCAGGATGCAAAGATAATCAGACATCAGCCGATACCAGCTTTGGTAACATGAATGGTGGTGCAATGTCCCACGCCTTCTGTTCAGTGGTCTCCAAATACTCAAATCTATCATACCTCGATCTCCTCAACGCTATACGTGATGAGATTAGCCGCTACCAGCAGCTGCCTCAACTCAGCTCAGCTCATCCAATTGATCTCAACTTGAAATTTGTTGTTTGAGAGAGATCAAAGTTTGTGTTTGCTTATAAGAAATTTATTTATTGCATTTCATTAGTTGGTGTGCGTGTGCGTGTGCGTGCGTGTACTAGCAAACAAAACAAGCAAACAAAGCAAACTAAACGCAGAGGGAGACACTGAAATATATCTATAGCACTTTAACTCAAATCACATAAACACGGTAACCGGCTATTCTTGCTCAAGATTGCGGAAAGTTACGTGCGTTCAGGCACCAAGCTATAGAATGGAGAAAATCGGTGATAAGCATTTGACGATGAGGAGGATAAATTGGGAGCTGGACAGAGCTGTAACTTACTCCGTGAGGTGGAAGAGTATCCCGAAGAGTGTATTGCTTGATGTAATGCATATTTTCAGTGTGGGAGTAGTGCAGAGTGTCGAATGGCGCATTCTAATAGCCTTATTGCTGTATAAATCTGCAAACATCTCGTACAAATGTTTATCACACGTACTTTTTTCGTCGACGAATGAAATCGCAATCTCTCACCAAAACCATCATGAGTTTCCGTCTTGCAACGAGAAATGTACAATTGAACCAAAGATTGGGCTTGCAAGCCCGTGGTTTGACCACTCTTAAGCAAAGAGTACAAGAATTGATCCCAGAGCGCCAAAAGGAAGCTTTAGAGGTCAAGGCTCTTGCAGAGGAGAAGAAGCACTCATTCGGTGACAACACAATCGACCAAATGTAAGAAAAGCATTTGAAGCGCTACGAATACGTTCTAATATGTCTTTAGGTACGGTGGTATGCGCGGTATCAAAGCTCTCGTTTGGGAACCATCCGTTTTGGATGCTGAAGAGGGTTCGTATGACGTACACGCTCATTATCCATCCTTACACTCTCCCAGGTATCAGATTCCGCGGCTTGACAATCCCAGACTGTCAAGAACAACTTCCAAAGGCACCAGGTGGAAACGAGCCATTACCAGAAGCTTTATTCCACTTGCTTGTGAGTTAAGAGTGCTTTAGAGAAATTCAATCTCACTCACTTGCCAGGTCACCGGTGAAGTCCCAACCCAAGAGCAAGTCAACGCTCTCTCAGAAGACTGGGCAGCTAGAGCTCAAATTCCAAAGTTTATCGAAGAACTTATCGACAGATGTCCAAAGTCACTCCACCCAATGTCACAATTCTCACTCGCAGTGACCGCTTTGAACCACGACTCTGCCTTCGCTAAGGCATACGCTCAAGGTGTCAATAAGAAGGAATACTGGGACACCACCTTCGAGGACTCTATGGACTTGATCGCCAAGCTCCCAACTATCGCTGGCCGTATCTACCAAAACGTGTACGGTGAAGGCAAGCACGCACAAATTGACTTGAAGAAGGACTACTCTCAGAACCTTGCTACCCTCCTCGGATACGGCAACAACGACCAATTCGTTGAGTTGATGCGTCTCTACTTGACTATCCACTCTGATCACGAAGGTGGTAATGTTTCAGCACACACTGGTCACTTGGTTGGCTCAGCATTGAGCGATCCATTCCTTTCATACTCAGCTGCATTGAACGGTCTCGCTGGTCCACTCCACGGTCTCGCAAACCAAGAAGTTCTCTCATGGATCCTCAAGATGAAGTCACAAATCGGTGAGGATGCTTCTGATGAGAAGGTTAAGGAATACGTCTGGTCTACTCTCAAGGGTGGTCAAGTTGTACCAGGTTACGGTCACGCTGTCCTTAGAAAGACTGACCCACGTTACCAAGCACAAAGAGAATTTGCATTGAAGCATCTCCAAGGCGACAAGAACTTTAAGCTTGTTGACCAAATTTACAACATCGTTCCAGGTGTTCTCCTCGAGGCTGGTAAAGCTAAGAACCCATGGCCAAATGTCGATGCACACTCTGGTGTGCTCCTTACTCACTACGGATTCACCCAACAGAACTTTTACACAGTTCTTTTCGGTGTTTCTAGAGCACTTGGTGTTGCTTCTCAACTCATCTGGGATAGAGCTTTGGGTATGCCACTCGAGCGTCCAAAGTCCTTCTCTACTGCACACCTCAAGAAGATGTTGAACAAGTAAGCGGGTTTTGGTTTTAGGTTTATCAAGGTAGACCAATCTTAATAAAGTAAAGTAGTAATGTTATTAGATGAATAAATATACTTTTGTTCTTTATAGATGTGTGGGTGTTGGTGTTTAAAAAAAGTGTTTAGGATGTTGCAGCCTTGAGTGAAACGATTCTGTTAAGGACGATGCGGTCATTGGTGTGTGGAGCAATATCAGTGCCTTCATTTGCCGCATTCAATACAGTGTCTTTATCAAGTGCAAAGAAACCAGCTCTGAGAGCCTGGAAGCGAACGCACTCCATACCGATGAGTTGATCAGGGGTGAGTTTAGGCGTAGGAGAGCGTTTCTCCTCTGCGCTCATTTCTCTATCCTGAACGTCTTTTTTAGCAGTAGCAGTTCTATCTTGAGCGTATTTACGAGCATGGTTGAGTTCATTCTTAGCTAGTTGGTAGATACTGATATCGACGAGAGCGCCACGGACAATCTCCTCAGAGTGTGGGTTAAGATCAGCAACCAAATCGGGTGCTGCTGCAGGATTATCGCTCTTGAATAGCTGGTTGAAGATACGCAGTTCGTCGACGCGCACTGGCGAGTGAGAGGGCGCGTGCTGAGCGACCCACTGAATATAAGCCTTGGGTTTAGGTACTTTCTCGCCATCGCGTGGTGTGAGCAACTCGGCATGCACTTCAGTCACTCTGCCATTCTCCTCACGCCACGAAGTGCATTTGACAGGATAAGGCGCGTTCATTAGCCCCACTACGCGTCCAGGCGCCATACGGAAGTAGTTGGCGTCGGCATCTACCCTGAAATCACTCCTGTCCATATACACATGCTTAGTGAAGGGGATAGCAGCGTCACCGAAGGAGGATATTTTCGGATGGAATGGTTTTTTCACTTGCAAGTAGTAATCCTCGTCTACATTGTCGATGACGAGTTTTAGTGGATCGACAACAGCCATCAGACGCGGCGCTTTTGATTCGAGATCGGAGCGAACACTCTGCTCGAACCTGCTTGTCTGGATGGACGAAACAGCAGTAGAGACGCCGAGCGACTTGACGAAAGATAGTATGGCGGATGGCGGTACACCACGACGTCTGAGTCCAATGAGGGTGTAGAGACGAGCATCATCCCATCCTCTGACATGACCATCTTTGACCAACTTCATTATCTTGCGCTTGGACATGACCGTGCCCTGCATGTTCAGCCTCCCGTACTCACTCTGGCGAGGTTTGTACACCTCGAGCGCATCACAGAGCCACTCATACGATACCCTGCTGAGAACGAACTCAGTTGTACAGAGCGAGTGACTGATTTGTTCGAACGAATCGACAAGACAGTGAGTGAAATCGTACGTAGGATAAATCTTCCACGCATCGGCGGTGCGGTGATGAGGCGCTTTGAGTACACGGTATGCAACTAGATCCCACATCTGCGGATTACCATCCGTGTAATCCTGCTTCATGCGCAGTGTAGCTTCGCCTGGTTGGAACACACCGAGACGCATTTGCTCGAAAGCGTCTAGCGATTCGCTAATAGGACGCTCACGCCATGGGGAAGGCACACGGGGACCACGCTCTTCACCGCCACGTTGCTGTTGCATTTGCTCACCCGTCGAATGGTCGACATACGCCTTACCACGTTTGATGAGCTCAATTGCAAGCTCATACAGCTTTGGGAAGTAGTCACTCGAGTAGGTGATTTTCCATGGCTCAAAGCCTAGCCATCTGGATGTTTTGTTTTAGTGAGAGGAAGCAAAACACACTGCTGACCCACCTGACAGTCTCCAAGATGGACTCAAAGTAGACTTGCTCTTCGGCTTCAGGGTTTGTGTCGTCGTAGCGGAGGTAAGTGTGGCCATTAAAGTGATCAGCGTAGCCAAAGTTGATGGTGATAGCTTTAGAGTGACCGATGTGTAAGAAACCGTTAGGTTCTGGAGGGAAACGAGTGATAACTTTACCACCTGTAGCCTTCAAGTGCTGCTCGCGTAACTCAGGCTTTACTTGAGGGTTTTCGCCTGGTTTATGGAGAGCGCCGAGGAAACCCTGTTCAAAAATGTTTGAAGAGGGTTCTGAGACAGGTTGAGACGGTTTGTTGGGGGTCTTTTGGGTGTTTTTAGCTGCGTCCTTTTGGCGCTTGTTGCATTCATCTCTGGTGCCGTATGTGGAGGTGTACAAGGAATCGACGACGCCCTTCAATTCGAGAGGATTAGACCATTTCAATTGACTGTTTTGTTTTAAGGATTTGATGAGAAGACCGTGAGTGGACCAAGGGTTAGGGAGGGTAGCAGAGGCAGGATCTAACGACTTTTGAGCGATCTGCTCGATGAGATGCTTTGGGACAACAACGCCAACGCCAGTGTGAGCGTTGAAATCAGTTTCATTGATAGAGTCGTTGCGGGTGAGATAGTCGACAGCCTCGTTAACCTGATTAGACTCCTTTAAGTGAGAAATTCTAATCTTATCAATCAAGTAAAGCTTCTTATCGCGGCTGAGAGAGTTGTACGCTTTGTTTGTTGTGATTGTGGATGTGATGAGAGTTGCCAATTTTTCATCCAAATGAGTTTCAATTAGGTTCAATTGGTGTAGATTATCCAATAACACTGTTGAATACTTTGATTTGGCGTATTCCGTTGATTTGGCAGGTGACAGGCCAAATGACTCAAATTGAGAGATGAGTGAGTCGTCGACCACTAAACAAGATGTCAGAAATCCGAATATAGCGTTTATCTCGTGGTAATCTCACTTTTTATAATAAGCAGATGAGCAGATGAATGACTTGATTCAAAGTGCTGTCTGATGAGATTATAGTTACCAAAAATTATTAATATAAACAATTAAATATTGTTTATGTATTCAGTGGAGCAGCATTAGTCACTCATCGTGTACAAATAACAATTGCAAAATGTGTGCTGATACGGATAAGCCAGATACGCCGTGAGCACAGAAAAAGCTCGTGAAACCGCACGAAGACTAGTGAAACGTTTTCATGAACAGTGGCTAGTCAATTGAGTCATTAGGACATCATTGCGGGTGGTTTGAATTTCAAGAGAAGGTTGAAAATTTTGAAGAGGAAAGAAATGCAGAGACAACAGCCAATTAAGATACACGCATGAACACCCACTATACCCAGATAATTTTGATGGACGATTGAAAAAATTGCTCAGAGCGGACACCCAAATTTGAGAAGAGCGCCTCTTCCACTCCCAGCGACAACGAAGGGTGGGAAATACGGAGAAGAAGGTATACAGCACTAACACACATCAACAGGGCAAAATGGTCAGCCAAATTAAGCCAAAGATTGTCAAGAAGACAAAGGGCTCTTTCAATAGATTCCAGTCTGATCGCTTCCATAGAGTTGCTCCATCATGGAGAAGACCAAAGGGTATCGATAACGCTATGAGAAGAAGATTCAAGGGTCAGCCAACCATGCCAAAGATTGGATTCGGTTCAAACAAGGTCACCCGTCACCTCCGTCCAAATGGCTTAAAAACTGTGGTTGTGAACAACGTAAAGGACGTTGATCTTTTGCTTATGCACACAAGCAAGTTCACCGCTGAGATTGCTCACAACGTCTCCTCAAAGAAGCGTGTCGAAATTTTAGCTCGGTGGGTTTGTTGTTTGGGGATATTTTTTAAGGCATACTAACGTTTCAAACAGCGCCAAGGCACTCAACGTCAAGGTCACAAACGCAGCTGCACGTCTTCGTTCAGAGGAGTAAACTGTAGAAACAAATTTTATCCCATGAATGAGTACTCGTTGTCCTATACTTTGTTTACTTGGTGTACCTTGTGTATCTAGTGTGAATAGTAGATATTCTTAGGCTTCTTCTCCTCTCTTAATCCACCACGGTCATGTCTTGTGATGATATCCACTTGCCTTCAAACGCAAGGAGAATAAATGAATATTCTGATGGATTTGATAATCAATCATCTGATAACAAATCATCTAAAGCGAATTCATACCTGGCAAACTTCTTGACTTCCTCGCTCCTGAACTCAGTTTCATTCACGCAGCCACCACCAAACACAACAACCCACAAGCATCCACTTAATCTACAAACTATGAGTCTCAACTTTCGTAACTTTGTTCAGAATACTGGTCCTTTGTTTGCCATTTTAGACGCCGTGGAGGGCGTTATCTTGTGGAAATCTACTTCAATTACCATTCTCGTTGTCCTCCTTTGGACTGTTCTCTGTCTCCACCCTGCTCTTGTCCTTATTCTACCTCAATTTTCACTTATTTGCGTCATTTTATACAATCACTCTGTTAGATTTCCTAAAGAGGACATAAAAGTGGTTGATAATGATGACGCACCCGCAAAGCACCCATCAGCACCTAGTTCACCCACGTCTCCCACGTCTCCGACTTTTCCCGCTTCTCCCACTCAACCCACTCAACCACCCCCTGAACCACAGCTCCCTGACTCATCTAGCCCTGACTACTACCTCAACCTTCAATCGATACAGAATCTAATGGGAACGACAAATGATGGCATTGATTATGTCATGCCCATCTATCGCAAGCTTAATTGGAGCGATATTGAGCAGAGCAACGGTATTCTCAAGTATACAGTTGTATCGCTGTTAGCCACTTTGATTCTCCTTCCAATACTCCCAGCACGCCTGATATTCGCTCTAGGTGGTTATCTAGTACTAGCACTCAATCATCCCCTGGTAAAGGAATATCTTTAATACGTTTACTGCTACTTTGTATCACTAGTTTGTATTGTTGTTACCCCTATATGTGAACGTGAAAGTTTTCTCTTAGTGACGTCATACGTAGGCTTGGAAGATTGCAGAGGAATATATCACGATACGCTTTGAAAGTCCTTTGAAAGCCTGCGAAGACCACATAACTCACTCACAACAATCACACTCTTTAACCACATCCACCAAATGGAGAGCTACAGCAGCGCCACTGAACATACTTATAACGAATCACGCACGCAGCGCAAGCTATTTGTATTGCGAGGCATAGCACCACTCAGCGCATTCACTTCGCTAGCAATTTCCCTGATTACAGCTGTCGGTATATCACCCAGTCTGAGCGACATAAATGACGATTTCTATACGCATCTTACACCCAAGGTGGGTATGAATGGGGTGTTTTCACGGCAATTTACTCAATTCCCTCACAGGCATCGATGGTAGGTATATACTGGATGTTGCTGTACGGACTACAAGCAGGAACCTGCTATCTTTTCGTAGCCTCACAGAAGGAACCCACGCAGCATACTATGAATGTCCTCGGCTACCAATATGTCCTCTCCCATGCTGTTCATGCGCTCTGGGCGATATGTTGGGTGAGTTGTGAGCAAATTACTCCGAATTGAGCTAAGGAAACACCAAAATACTTAGATACTCCGCTCATTCTCACTCGCTGCTCTGCTTATGGGTATTCAATCCATCAACCTCGCCCTGCTCTATGTGCAGCTATGTCGCGTCGAGTATGCACCCACCAAATCACGTCCACTTGACTACATATTCGTGCATCTGCCTATACGTATGTGGACAGTCGTAACTCTCGCCGTCGACGTCAGCCAGTCCGTCTTTATCGCTGCCGATTACCTCAGCACACCGACGTGGCGGTTCGGTAGGCATCAAGTTGCGGCTGTTTGCGCACTCGCGCTGCCACTCGTCATTGGATGCGCAGTGGTGCTGATTAAAGGAGACCATATCTGGATGGGTGCGCATATGTGGTGCGTTTCATACTGCTACTCGCTTAACTTGCAACTTACCACTCACTCACGTCTTAGGGTCCTCCTCGCTCTATTCCTCCGCCATCCAAAACCTTTCGCGGTAAACGGCGTCTGCGTCGCTGGATGGATCCTTCTCCCCCTCTGCCTCGTCGGTCACTCAGCGGCTAAGAAGTTCCTCGAGAGGCGCGACGAGCTGCATAGAGTGAGGCTCGAGGAGGATGACGAGAGCAGTGTGTCTGGATGAGCAGGCATATTTCACTTCAATCAATTTAACGTTAATTCTTGTAATTTGTACAAAGCCCTTTAGGCACTCTCAGCCATGCTGTGTCGATCGTATACACTGCCCCTCGGAGCGAAGTCACTGGTGAGGCCGCGATTAGCTGTTCGAGGTTGAGAACGAGCAACCTTCTCTGTCGCCTCAGCAGCCCCCCACGCACCACCACCCGGTGTGAGGAGGATGAAGACGTCATTCTTACTCATCTTGGCTGTCGCCTTACCACCGAGATTTATCACTCTGTCCTTCTCCCCAGCTGCGCCTCTCTTAAGCCACAGATTGAGACCCGTCTGGCCGTCTCCGCCGCCATGCAAACCGTATGGTCTGATCGCTCTTCTTTCCGAAAGGATGGAGAGTTGAAGGTCCTGCAACAGTTGATATTCGCGCACAACACCATCACCTCCTCTCCTCAATCCCACACCTCCACTGCCCTCTCTGAATTCGAAACGACGGAGAAGGATAGGATAGCGGCGTTCGAGGATTTCCGGATCGGTTATACGTGTGTTAGTCATGTGAACGTGCACGCCACTAACGCCATCTTGCTCCTCCGTTGCGCCGGAGCCACCAGCGACAGTCTCGTAGTACCCCCATCCAGGCGTGACGTGACCGGTGAGGGGATCCTTCCCACCCGCACCAAAGGTAACGTTGTTGCAGCAGCCCTGCGACGCCGCCGCCGCTCCGAATGCGCGCAGCACGACATCCACGACACGTTGCGACGTCATTACATTCCCCCCACACACAGCAGCAGCAGGGGACGGCGAGAGGAGGGAGCCGTCTGGGATGTGGATAGTGATGGGCGCGAGACAGCCGCTGTTGAGGGGTATATCGACGCCCAGCATTGCGCGTGCACAATAGATTACCGCTGAGTGCACTACGCTGATTGGTGCATTCAGGTTCCCGCGCAACTCCGGCCCTGTGCCACTGAAATCGAATGTGGCACTCCCGGACGCGCTGTCGATGGTTATGTGCAGAGCTATCGGCGAGCCGTCGTCGAGATAGTCCACCGCAGATAGCTCAGTCTGCCCCGTAGTGCGAGATACCGTGCGCAGGAGGTTGCGTACTGCATACTCAGCGTTGTCGCGGATGTGGAACATGTACTCCTGTACTAGTGATAGACCGAATTCGTGGCACAACAGGTGGAGCAGCTGAATGCCCTTGTGGTTCGCTGCTACCTGCGCTTTGAGATCTGATTCAACGTCCTTGTAGTTGCGACACCCACTGCTACCCTCCACCTTGCCAGGCTGGGTGACGAGCAGGTCGTAGAGTGTCGCGCCATTCCACTTGCCGCCCTCGACAATCTTGAACGTGATTATCTCAGCACCTTCTTCCGTCAACGCGGTAGAGTTGGGGGGCATCGACCCAGGCAGAATTCCGCCAATGTCGCTGTGATGGCCACGGGAGGCAGTAAAGAAGATGATCTCATTCGTCGTCTTATCGAAGCAGGGAGTCATTATCGTTATGTCGCTGTGATATATGAGTTTGTAACCTATGACATCATCACCGGACTCACGGGAGGTGGGAGCCGCCCGCGGTTGGGGAGTTGGACATGAGAACATCACCCGGATTGATGTTACCCTCGTGCAACTTCATTTGGTATTTGATCGCATACGACATTGCTCCCAGATGTACGGGGACATTCGGAAAATTGGCGATGAGATCGCCTGTAGGAGAGAAGACGGCGCATCTGTGTGGCTGTAATTAGCTATATGCGACCAGAATTGCCAAAAACCCACGAGAAGTCTAGTCGTTCTTTGATATTCGTAGAGATGGACGTTTGTTGAAGGGACTTGCTCATTGCCTCAGCGCAGCTGACGAATCTGTTGGAGAACAGCGAGAGAGTAATAGGATCTGGTTTGTTTGTCTTAGTCATGGATGTTCTGGTTTAAGATAACCTTACCACCTCCAAACTCATTCATGTTATTTAATCTCGGTTAGGTATCATGCATCATACGTCACGCTGAACACGCTTAAAAGTCAGGCGCAGTGACACCCGCAAGAAGTTCGACTGGCTCCCTAACAAACCGCGCGAACGTTACCTTACTGTGATTGCGTGGTGATATACAAGGAAAGTGAGAGATGTCATCATGAATTCTATTCATAGTCGTAGTCGTCTAACAATTGAGATGGTAATAAGTTATATTCAAGCGGCGGAGAGTTTGGCGCGCTATTCGCGTTGAGCTGCTCGTTCAGCTGATTGTACTGACTCGATAATGACGATATGTCGGCGTGCAGCTGATTGACCGTGTTTGTAGTGGAAAGCAGCTCTTTGTCTACATCTTCCACGCTTACTGTGGCTATATATGCTTCATTCGCTGCTATATCGCTGCTATATCGATCCATTTGCTCCGTGTACGTCTTAATCTCATTCTCAAGTCGTATTTGTGTATCTGTGGATTGCTTGTTGTGTTTATCTATCCTGTAAAGCTCATCGCTTAGCTGCTTAATCTCATTCTTAAGCTCAACGTTGCTCTCGTCGACCGTCTTCTTCCTCTGCCGGAGTTGATCGAGCTCGACCTGCGAACCCTCTTTATTACTGTTATCATGTGCTAGCTTATGTTCCAGCTCCCGTATCAGCGCTTTCTCCTCATTACTCTCCTCGTCCTCGTCGACTTGTACATCCACTGCGATATCCAATTTGCCGTATAATCTGAAGAATTGGCGGAATATACCGATAAATACCGCACTTCGCTCAACCACTACGACAATAAACAATCCTAAATCATAGCTGCTCTTGTGCAAAGTCTTGCTCACTATCCTCATTCCCTTCCGTTCACCTCGATAAACACCTTTTTGCGTATCGTTCACCCACTTGCACTCAAATTGTTCAAATTTCGGCTTTGTCATCCCCAGCGCCATGATTAATATCACAAATGCAGTTACTATCGACATGATCGTCATCTTACAAGAAATCTAATACTATCACTCTCTGTATCACGCGTCGGTATAATCGTGGTCGTTATGCTGTACATTTCCTTAGCTGTCTCCCACGTTTCCATGTCGAGCTCAAACACCACCTGCTGTTTGCTCAGTCCTTGTTTGTAATCTTCCTGTGTTGGTCCGAGACACGCCAACAGTATCATCTCCTTTGTCTCCTCATCTTGACTAAGACTCGCATGACCATCTCTTATCAAGAAGGATACGTAAAATAAGTTTTCGACCGACTGCGCAAAATTATCAGGATTGATGAAAAACTTGAACAAATTGATCCCATCGTCGCCACCAACGAGCTCAAGTAGCTCAGATATCTTTTTTACGTTCGTGGTTGTTTCATTTTCTGCTCTCTGTATGTCATTTTCTGTGATCTATGTGGGGTGTTAGAATGTGATCACTTTAAACAAGCCAAATTGTTCAAAACACGCCGACTAACCTCAGTTGGTGCCGTCTTCTCTTCGTTATTCTTATTAATACGCTGTGTAGCCCTTTTTGTCCTCTTTTTCGCCTCTTCTGGGATAGTGCCGAGCCTTGATGAGTGTTAAAAATAACCGACACACTACATAAACACTACACGTACATGAAATCACTGACAGGAATTCTTCGCGTGTGTTTAAGAGCCACGTTGCTAATGATCCCCCAATCGATGGTGACATTATGCTCATCTTCCTCATTGACATCTTGATCGAGATGATCATCAATGTTAAAACCACCAGCAACGCTCTTGAAACGATTTAGGAACTCATCCAAATCGAAAGAATCTGCGTCAATCTTCATAGCTCGTGCCTTCGCAGCTGACATCTCTGACTGGACGATAAGGAAACGTGAATCGAGTGTGGCTTCCTGAGGAGCGCGTACGTTGTCGTATAAACTGTTTGCTTTCATCATCTCAGCTGTGAGCTGCTTGGCTGTAACGTTGGACACGTCCACACTCTGTTCTTCAGCTTTATCAATTAGACTGCGATATCCTTTGCGGATTGAGCGTTTGAGGTTTTTGTCCTGGTCGGGGTCGTAGTAATCCTGTTTGTTGCGCAGCCTGTTGATAGTGTCTCCCTGCTCGTCCATAGAAGCGTCTGAGTCGTTTGAGTTGTGTGTATGGCGCGTGTGTGCTGTGCAATGCGATATGAATATAATAAAAACCCTGGAATCCACCAAACTCACTAGAATCATATTTGCGATCTTCATCTGAATCCATTGCCAGTTTGAGTTTGAGTTTTCCAACGTTGGCTATCAACCACGATGAGCTTCCTAGCAACGAAACGACTTTCAAAGGAATTGAAGGATCTTAATGATAAGGGCTGTCCTACTGGTTGGTTGGATTTGCTGGTGGTGTGCACCCATAACACCAGCTTCAGGCATCCAGCTCCTCCAATCAGATGACCTTCATAAATGGATATTTGAGCTAGAAGCTTATGACAGCATTTATAGCGTGCGTAGTGGTCCGATGGAAGCACGATCACTCTTACACTCTTTATCATCACACTACAGGACGACAAACTGGCGCTTATGTTTAGATTCTCTGGGCAGTATCCGATAGATTCACCTGCTGTACAATTCGTAGTTGGCGAGCTTGAAGGGGCTACATACAAGGCACCTGTTCATCCACACGTCTACTCAAATGGTCATGTGCGAGGGGAGTTATCCGAGTTGATTTATGCTTACACACACATTCTCAGATATGTGCATCCATTCTCTCAGACGGCTGGAGTCCTGTACTCAAGTGGGTATACGCTCTTGCACTCTTGTCGGTATCTAACACACGAAAAAAGCGTGTCAGCAGTGTGTCTCACTATCCAATCGAGTATGTCCCACGAATTCACTCAACCCTCCTTATCATCTCATTCAGTGCTCACTTCGTGCAAATCTAAGCAACTTCCGCCGGACAATGATAGGTATGTTGCACGCGCACCTGAGAATCCAAAGAAGGTCGGTCGTAGTGGTTTCTACTTTGGCTTTTACTTATGTACTCACTTACCCATCATTTAGACACGATGGGAGGTACGTTTGGTTATACTTTACCCCACGGCCCACTCACCCCATTCAGTTCCACGATGATACAGTTTAGCACACGTACACGTACACAATTAGCACACAATCATGTAAGATTAGATGAAAACATATGCATATCATTCATAATAAACGAAATCGTTGAAATTAAGTGGTGGTTTGGTGTTTCTATTTGAATTTGAATTTAGTTGACATCCTGCACAACTCCAACTTGAGCAGCACGCAACACTCTACCCTTATAGCTGTAACCAAGTTTCGAGCATTCGAGGATGGAGTTTGGATCTTTACCTGGCACAGGTGCCATATACAGCGCCTCGTGGTAGTCTGGGCTGAATTGTTCGCCGGTTGGGTCAACAGCTTCGATATCGTTTTCTTTGAGTGCCTTGAGGAGGTTACTCTGGAGCAGAACCAAACCCTCGTGAAGTGTGAGGAGGTTCTTGCGGTCTTCGCCTTCTCCAGCCGACAAAGCCTCTGCTGGTACGCTCTTCAATGCCAACGGGAGAATATCAAGGGTAGGGAGGATGCTCTTTGCGAACTTCATAACACCTTTCTCCATTGACGCTACCTTCTCTCTGTCTGAAATTCTCTGCAAATTGGTGAAATCAGCTGCTGCATATTGGAGATCCTTCTTGAGCTGTTTCTGCAACTCGACAGCTTCTTCTGTGGCCTTTTTAGCTGCGTCGAGGGCGCTATCTGGGCTGGCTGTGCTGTCTTGTGGCTGTTGTTCGCCTTCTGACTTTGGTTTATCAGCGTAACCTCTAGTGGCGACTCTGGTGGCAGCAAATTGGCCACTCAAGCACCTTCTGAATCCAGTAAGTCTAAGCATTTTATCAATTTCAACGTCTTGGTTGTACCGACCAAAGGCGTTGCTGCCTTCTCAGCTCATCACAACGACGATAAAAAATGACAGACTACAGGATAGATGATGATGGCTGGAGGATTCCTGTAAAAACCAATGACTCACCCAACGCACCTTCCAGCGCATACAAAATTGTAGAAACCTCCCTCAGACTGTCCATCCCGCCGATATTCGCGAATGATCCCAAGAGCGGTGCTTTAGAAATGCTAGACAGTTTAGTGATGAGGTGGGCGATGTGCTTGTTGTTTTATCCGCCTAATTTCCTAACCAGATACGTACCGGCGCTGCGAGCAGTTTTATTGACGCATATAAACACTCAATTCAAGCAGTCGGCGGGGTTGATCATTGATGAATCCCCCTTCAGCGTCACAGATGTTCAATTCACAGCTCTAGTGTGGTCGCCTACGATTGGACAGCGAATGCGTAGGTTGTGTGTGGATTTGATGGGATATTAACTCACAACTCTTTCAAGGCGGCAAAGTCACCCTGTGTTCACCAGACCACATCAGTTTGCTCGTTCACCACACTTTCAACGTTACCATCCCGCGCGAGTTCATCGATTGTCAGACATTCAAATACGCAAACGACTCTGCTACTGAGAATAGCGGTGGTGGGAGGTGGTTGCACACTTCTTCTACACAGGTACTTGCTGAACAGGGTCGTGATGTCGATTTCAGCGTGATTGAGCGTAATACTACGAATGGGATGCTCACACTCACAGGCAGCATACTTAACAGTCATCTAAAAGATGGCGTGAAGGATACGAAGAAGCGGAGGAAGAGTGGTACTAGCAGCTCCACCAAGGACGACCAAGCTAATCAATCAAATGAGCCAAAGAAAGCATCCAAGAAGCAAAAGATCCCTATACGGACTGCAAATTCTTCCGACGAGCGTACAGAGTCTTCATCAAACGAATCATCCTCGTCTAGCTCCAACGATGATGCTCAGCAGCCTTCTTCTGCGGCTGTTGAAGCAAAGAAAATGAAACACAAAAAGTAGTAAACAAAGTTAAAGTAGAAAACCGGAGTTGAACACTAATGTACATAATCTCTTAATTTATACTTGTTAGTTAAGTTGCGTGTGTCTGCGAAGAGTTTGCTGTCGATAGCAGTGTATGTGCGAAGTAACCACAGCTGGACACACTCCATCTCCTCAAGAGGGCAGTCTAGCAGCTGATACCATTGCACTTTACCATCTGATGTAGTTGGCAGCTGTACACCCGCGTCTCTGCATGCTAGATCTAAACATGCACAGGCTATAGTTGTTGAACTGAATAGGACGTGTGTCGGTGTGAGGAGGCTGTCGTTGAGATAAGACCACGCTCGCTGTGGGATGTTAGCGGTGTTTAACATATCTATCATTTTTATGTAGTTGATCAGTAGCGCGTATGGTTGCTGCACCTAATGAGCATGTTCAGGGATAATTTTCACCGCAAACATTACACCCACATACACATCGAAGCCGAGTCGCTTTAAGATCTGCATCTCAGCCACAACGATGCTATCTTTCCACTCGTAGTATGTAGGACCATAGTATGACATAGACGAGTACTCTGCGTCTGCGTCTGTGGAAATGAGGCGATGAAAGACATTGATGACGTCTCTTAGACCCAGTGGAGTTTCTTCAAGCTTCGTTGAGAGGTATAAAGCGCCCATTGCGATGTCCTGGGTGGTGTGAGTGAGTCTTGTACACTAGGCGTACAACTCACACCAATGGAGAAGTTATAGAGAGATGAGACGTAGTAGAAGCGTTGGAAGATAACCTGGGCTGTGCATATAGTTGCTTGTGGACTGTAGCGGCGGGTTAAGCATATGTGATGATATTTGGCGTGTAAACTCACACAGCACAGAGAACACCAGCTCGCTGTATTAGACCAGCGCCTCTTATTCTCAAGGCCTGCTCAAGCTCCTCGCTGATCCCATCCTCGCGGCTTAGCGAGCGAGTTGCCTGAACACCACTAGCCAATGCAGGCAGCAGCATGAAAGACAAGTAGAAAGATGTACAAACCACTATCAATCACTACAAACAACTATTTAAAGAATCAAAAAGTTAAATTAAAGGAATTAGAAGCGTACAAAAACCAAATTCAACTTTTCAACTCCCCAAGTAAAAGCAGCGAGTGTATGTAGCGCATCTACTCATCGTCGTCATCTTCCTCCTCTTCAGACTCCTCTTCATTGCCGGTTTCGACGACAGAAGCGGCGATACGATCGAGATCACGCATACCGTCTTGAGAGATTCTTCTGCCACCGTCAACGGCCTTCTCGAGGACACCAATCTTCTCCAAGGATTGCACGACTCTACGGTCAACGCCTCTAGAAGCGTCTCTGTGGTGGTATGGGCGGTGGCCTCTGTTGACGGCACCACCGTGGAACTTTACGAGTGAGCCAACACCGACGGATTTACGGAGGTAGATGTGGCGGGCGACTGCAGCAGCGCGGACGAAGTACCTGTAGCGTGAAGGATGAGTTTTGAGCAGATTTTACCAAGAAACTACCCACCAATCTGGGTTGTATGGTGCAAGCTCCTTGTGGGAGCCAGTCTTGACAATGTCAACCCAGTTTGGAATCTCAATCTTTCCTGATCTCTTCAAGTGTTGAGAGTAGGCCTCAATGAAACTTGGAGCGGAGACGTCGCGTACGTTGACCATTTTGCCTGCATTCAACCGTTAGAATGTTTTTTTCTTACGATTTAGATTTTTTGACTAACAGCTGCTGAGTTGAAAGGAAGATCGATTGAAGGATTTCGTGAACCTCGAAAATTTAAATTTTGCAGCCGCTTTATTACGGGAGGTGGGAGGGTGTTTGGCTGATGTCTATAGCGTGTACTAATTGCCTGGGTTTTATTCTCCTTTCAACTCCCCAAGTCACACCTCACACAATCACACTGGCAGTCTTCTGTCTATGTAAAACCCATTAATTAAATCAGATCATAAATTATTTGGTGGTGGCACTGCGTGGTATTCCTGCTTTGCTTGCGGATTCTGCTCTGGCTGCTGCTGCTGATACTGTGCATAGTACTGTGCATAATACTCCTTCTGCGACTTCTCATACTCCGTCAGCCACTCCCTGAAAGCAGCATCATTGAGATCGTAGCCCTGATCAGTCCAGTACTTGTTATACTTGTCAACTCCCTCTTTGTCATTTGGATCAGGTATCGCTGGCATATCACTATACTGCGACTGATCGTAACCCATCTGCTCGACTTGCGGTACAATCCCTTGCGCTCTCTCCCATTCCACTTTGACAGCAGATATAAGATCCTCAGATAACTCCCTGGCGTAGCTGAATTGCTGTACATCCGGACCTGTTACATTGATGTGCATCGCGTCGTTACTCTCTTGACCAGTGTCCTGTTCTAAAAACCCACTACCAAGTCCTTTAATTTGTACCTTTGTATTGGTTTCTTGTTGTATGTACTTGACAAACATACCACCTGGACCGACAATTTTAGCTCTAAGATTGAAATTACGTAGAGGTTCCATATTAATGAAGACCTTGAATTCATCCCATTTACGCCTCGACGCGGCTCTCTCCTCGAACCTGCGATTCCGATCTTCAACGAGTGGCTGCATGTCCATATCTTTGAGCTCATGGACTTTATTCACAGCCATATCAAACGAGTCCTGAGTTTGGGCTTCGATGAGGAGGTACAGAGGAGGTTCTGCGGGAGTAGCCTTGGATCTGTCAGGGTACCATTGGCCTTTAGTGGAAACCTGCGCACCAGTCTCATTGTAGATGGATTGCTGGGCAGCTGATTTAGTGAGAGTGTATCTGTTCTTGAGGTCATTCACTTCAATGCGTGTGTAGAAAGGCGCGTCAGTCTCTCTAGGGCCGTGGTATTGGGAGGAAAGTTTAGCAGCAGCAGCAGCTGAATTTTGAGTTAAATGTGATTTAAAGCGGGAATATACAACTAACCTGCTGCTGATGCTCTGTCAGGTTGATCCCAGCGGCTGGCCATGATTGTGCTTGAGGAAGAGAGGTGGCGGAGGATAAGAAGGATATGAGCAGCGCATGAAACACCAACGACAGCCATCTATCGTGTTTACAACACATTTTTAATTACGTCCGTCTCGTTCAGACCGTGCGGCGAATAGCCCTAAATTGGCAGTGATTACCCTTTTCAACCCAAACGATGAAAATCTCAATAGCGCTAATATTGGCAGCGGTAATCGGATGCGTATGCGCTGAAATTATCACAACTGCGCCACCAGGCGAATCGCAGACACTTGCAGTCTCTCAGGCGTGGGTTGTGCTCTGTGCCACACGGCTACCAAACTAAGAAGGTGAACAGATACAATGCGGATGACGTGGTTTTCAGGACAAGTATTATGTGCGTGTCGAATTGAAATTATAGGCACCTCTTATTCATTTTATAGGGCAACTTTGAGTCCAACGTCAACACAGGCATCAGCAACTGCAGCTGCAACTTCTAGTAGTTCTTCACCATCGCGTTCATTGGTAGGTGGCTGCTGTATCTATTCACACCCACTCATTCCCCTCACAGGGTACGTTTTATTTGATTGGCTGAAACAGGCTAACAAATTCAGACACATCGGTTAGAATCCATTCTACACACTCAAATGCACCTGCTAATCCAACAGTTTTGAGCATGTGAGTTGTATTCTACTCAATTATTCCCCCCACTAAATTCTATTTTACAGGGACGACTACTTACGGGACAATGACAGCGCTGCAACCAAGCACACATTACCCCTTTTATTGGCTTGTTTAGGTGTTCTAGCTGGAGCGCTGCTCATCTAACCTTTATGTTCAATTTTGTACTTTTTATTCAACTTACTCTTCTGCTTGGCTTTGGCTGGTCTACTTCATTCAAATGGCTCTGTGCGAACATATAGACGCACACCTTCCAAACAAAGATTTCCTACATAAGCTTACCATTGGTGTTAATTGGGGTTTGTACGCTAGTAGCATTTCCAGCAAGGTTTGGACTATGTCTTCCGTGTTTGTAACCTTGATTGCTGATTCCGCGTAAAAGTCAAATCTCTGCCAGGTTTCTAACCTCCCCTTGACACGACCGCAACTCTGCCTCACTTGCGCAAATTGCTTCCATTACGCTGCACTGTCCAACCATTCAAACCAGCATCATAATATCTGTTTTGGTGTGTAATCTGTCCTTTTCGCTGATTTACTCACTCTCTATAGCCATAGATACTCTCTCTGCTTCCGTATTTTGCTCCGTCTGCTGCGATTACATCTACAGCCCACGCCTCGATAAAGTTATCAAATTGCTCAAGCTGAGGCGAGAAGAGAAATCCACAAAGCGGAAGGGTGCGTGGGTTTATCCCAACTAATCCCTTCTAACCCCCACACAGCCGCAAATGGCCACTCCAGATCCGCGTTTAAACCTCTTCCCCAAAATGACGTATCTACTATCGCCCCCGGACGCTACGGAAATCCAATATCACTCCGTGTGTATGGATTTATCAGGGATGGACACACACTCACCTTCCTTAGGTCCCCGCGGATTCAGAAATCTTGGCAAAACTTGCTTCCTCAATGTGATTCTACAGGCGTTTATAGCTACACCCCTCCTACGCTCGTACTTCCTTAGCGAGAAACATAATCATCTTCTCTGCACGCGGGACAAATGCACTGCCTGCGAATTTGATAAACTTTTCACGCAGGTGTGTACGGTGTCTGACATGTGCTCCACTAACACAATTCACAGGTTCACCAACCAGATACAGCTCCCCTAGGCCCAACCTCGCTTCTGCACAATCTATGGACAGCTCCCGGAGCGAGTGATCTGGCTGGTTACGCGCAGCAGGATGCTCACGAGGCGTATATCTCCTGTGCGTTGAATTTCGATGACGTTGACTACATGCTTCCAACTCACACACCCCTTCAGTACTCAATCTCATCCATTCCAGCTGTACTTCCTCCACATCGCACTCATACGATTGCTCATGCATCATCCACACCACTTTCCAAGGCACGCTGCAATCAGAGCTTAAGTGCAGAGTGTGTGGGTACGCCAGCGTCACTAGCGATCCTTTCCTCGATGTCAGTTTGGATGTTGGCAGCAGCAGGGATACGAATGGAGGTGGTGGCAGTGGCAGCACCACGAACGGACCAAAGAATGGCAAAAATGGCACCACCAACAGTGGTAAAAATAGCGCAAACCACACTCCCCCTTCCATCTCACCTCAGAATCTGGACAATTGTCTGAGACGCTATACATACCCAGAACCCAGTGACTGGAAGTGCACTAGCTGCTCAGCTCAGGCGTCCACTAAGCAGCTCTCATTCAGAAAACTCCCAACTGTCCTCGCGTTCCAGATTAAACGCTATGAACATGGTCTCTGGGCGCAAAAGTTGGACGCTCCCGTACGCTTCCCGCTCACTCTTAACATGCGTCCATACACCAGTGACGACAGTAGCGAGCCAGACGAGATGTACCTCTATGACCTTTTCTGTGTTATCAACCACCTCGGTGAGATGGAGACGGGACACTATCTGTGTGCGTCGCGGTTCGGTGAGCAGGTGAGTAAAGCGTTGCCAAGTATGGTGTTTTTGCTAACGTTAAATAATCAAGTGGTTCAGGTGCGAGGATGCAGATGTCTCACCAACTTCTATCCAATCGGTCCTTGATAGCCAGGGATACATGCTCCTATACATTAAACGTACTCTCGTATATTGTAGGTTAAGTGATGGCTTGTCGGACTTACTAACACTGCGCAAACAGATTCAAGCGCATAAAACAGCATTCATTACAATAAGTATCACATTATCACATTATATACAACAAATTAATAGCATTTCGTAAACATCTACGCCTTCATCAGCGCGTGTCTGTACCCCCATAAGATGTGGTGCTCTCGTAAGTATTGGAAGGTCCGGCAGACGACGATCCATGATGGCGTCCGAAGCTGTCTTCTGAGTGTGAATGCGAATCGCGGTTCTGCCACTGGTCATAGAGATGTGCACCAGCTCCACCGACACCCAAACCCGTCCAGAAGCCCGGTCTCCAATTTTGTCCAGCTTGCTGATCTGGCTGTTTTGAATTATAAGGCGTGTAAGGGGGTGGTGGTTGATCACCGCTGGTAGAATATCCCGCCGAATCCCTCCTGTGTCCGCAAAAGAGGTTGTAGAGTATGATGGCGAGGATAGCAAAGAAGATGACGGCAAAGAATGTGCTACCTTTATCGTCACTCCTGTTGCTCACATCAACTAGAGTGTATTTAAGTGCGCATGATCCTTGTGCACCCGTGTGAGAAAGTATATAAGAAAAGCAACTCCTTACTCACCATTAAGCACCTCGTTTGCCGGCCCACTCTCCTCCCACCGCTCACAATTCACCCTCACCTTCCCCAGCTTGAGATTAGAAGGGAGCGTGGTAGAGCAGCTCCATTGCACGGCGTGCGTGTAGGCATCCCATCCCCTGTTCTCGCAGTGTATGCTCTCCGGCGTGTATTGCTCGCATGCACTCCTTCCCTCCTTCTTGTCACACTGCAGTTGCGCTACTGGTGCCAGACGCCGCCCTGTCGTGTACTCGTCTGCTTCGAAATTCAAACTGGTTATTTGCGATAAATTAACCCGTGACATTGTTTGTTGGTTCAAAGCTAACCTGCCTGCCCGGGATAAAGAGATATAGAGGTATATAAAGTACATTATAAATTAAAATTAAGCTGGTTTTCTCTAAGCTCTCTATCAAATCCAACTTGTCAATTGCTAAGAAAAGCTAGCTTTGATTCTCAACCACCACTATATGAAATGGCGCAATTCAAACATGTCCAACGTGCCAATTGAAGTCATCCATATTATTAGAGTTTACAATTTGATACTTTTTGCCCTTTGTGTTGGCACGAAGTAAAGTTCATCGCTGTCTGCAACTCCAAGCAAAGTCTTTAGCACAATAACCATTAACATTAAGCGCTGTAGTGGAGTTCGGCTTTAATGATAAACACAGTAAGAATTTCGTATTGACATGGTTAACTTTCGCTCAACATTCATGATATGATTCGGAGTATTTGGCTCCTATGTTCAACGAGGGGTTAATCAGTTGAGTAACAAAAGCGTCTACACATGCCTCAGCACAAATCTATACCGCACTTGGCCCTTTTTCAGTCTTTCCAATGCATGGTTGAGATTATCCTGTGTGAGATCAAGTACCTCTACAGCTGGCTTAATGTCATGTCTCGCGCAGAATTGGAGCATCTTCTTTTGTTCATATCTTGGGCGGGTAAGTAGAAGAAAGGATCAGTACAACACACGCACCTCGTTGCACACAAACTACCGCCCACTTTATTCTCTCTAGCGAGCAAGGCCGGGTATCTGTTCGTCTCGAATTTTCCCAAAAAATTGGCGAGTGGGATGATCTGTCCGCGTGGTTTGAGACAGTCCAAGTAGTCATCCCACGGCACGTGCGAGCTGGCTGAGGAAAGAATGAAATCGAACTTGTCTTCCTCGTCCTGAGGAACGAAAGAGCTGCCATCCGCGCGCTGTGTGACAATGACCTCGTGAGCGCCGAGCGCCTTGTACTCCTCGCTTCTGCTATCTGACAGAGTGAAAGCAGCGACTGAGCAGCCCCATTTATGTGCAACCTGCAGTGCCAAGTGTCCGAGACCACCAATGCCGATAACGCCCACGCGATGAATCGGCTTGATGTCGAATTTGAGAAACGGGGCAAAAACAGTAGCGCCGGCGCATTGTAGTGGTGCTGCATGTTCTGGTGCTATGCCATCTGGAATTTTGTGTACGAAATCACCATCTAGCTTGGCATACTCACCAAAACCACCCCAATCAAGATCAGCTTCACCGTATACTCTTGCCTCACTGCAGAGAGTGTCGTTGCCCTGCAAACAGGCATCGCACGATGTCTTCCCGCACGCATTGTGCACAAAACCGAACCCCACAGTGTCTCCAACTCGCAGATGACTGACTTTTCTGCCAGTCTCAACGATCTTTCCGCAATTCTCATGACTTAATACGCATCCTGTCTCGATGTAGTGAGTGTCTGTGAAGCAGAGACCTGCGTGGGTCATTTTGATGAGCACATCCTTGTCTCCAACGTCATCTACACAACCAACGGACTCTCTGATCGTACCATCGTGTTGTCCTCTAAACGCTTTGAATTTGATCCCCATTTTAGTATGCCGGCTTTGTTATGTTGGGTATTTGGTGCAGAGAACGTATTCACAGTGTAGACTGGCGTAGATTGCGTCATATTAATGATGTCATTTGGCTTGCTTCAAAACTTTACGCTTACTACATAGTAGTAAAGTAGAAAATTAGGTTAGGTTAGGTTAGG